TTGGGCATAAACTTACAATTGACTTCGTATATATAATTAAACCAAATATTTTTTATGAGATTATTGAAGGCGTTTTTAGCTAGAAAATACCTTAAATAATCTCTTACAAAATGTTGAATAGAGTTATTGAAGGCGTTTCTGGCTAAAAACGCCTTCAATAATCCCCTTCAAAAATTTTTATATGTCTATGGATTATTGAAGGTGTTTTTGGCCAAAAAACGCTTTGAATAATCCCTTATAAAAAATTCCTTCAAAGATTAAACCTATGACATTATAGTTAACAATCGTATGATCTAACCGACAAAGTTACTCCAATTTTATTTAAGAGATAAGCCACTCTCCTTAAATTTTGACAGGATATTTATTGAAGGTGTTTTTTTATCAAAAACACATTTAATAATCCTCTCCAATTTTTTAGAAGAATTATTGAAGGTATTTTTAGCAGAAAACCACTTTAATAATCCCTTATTCATTTTTGTAAGGGTATTATTCAAAGCATTTTCTGTCAAAAATACCTTCAATAATCACTCCAATTTTTTAGAGAGGATTATTCAAGGTGTTTTAGTCGATAAACGTTATTAATTTTTATCTTTTACCGTTATTTAAATATTTAATGACATTTTGATAAAAAAACGCTTTAAATATTATAAAAACACGAAAACTAATAACATTTTAAAGTGAAACACTACTACAAAATTGTCACTAATCTTTTATTTTTTTGTAATGCATGATCAGCCATAGAAGATTAATCCTTCATCATTCATTAATTTGATTTATTAGAAGTGAAATAAAAAAGGAAAAGAAAAGCAAAGCATACTAAGAAGATTAAAACTTTTATTTATATTAACTAATATGAAAATGAATGAAGACATATTTTTAATCAAGTGATGTCTGCGCCGTGCTATATGTAATATGTACTCGTGATTTTTTTATTTTTTGTTTATAAATATTATTATATTAAGTTGAGTATATATGATACCTTTTAATTGGTTCTCGATCCAGTCTCCCAAAAGTGTTTTTATTTTTATATATACACCACGACGACGACGACGACGACGTACAATAAAACAGGAAGCTCAAGCAAAGCTATATGCATAATATTTCCTTTTTTGTAGAATTAATAATAGAAAATCATTTCGACACAACCCCACCAACATTTCCATTTCCAGGCAAATTGCATCTATTTGTTGTTATTGCACATTACCAAATCCCAAAATGACAAAATCAAAGGCAATGGGTTTCAAAACCTTATTATATATATATATCGATATGATTGGATTGGCTTGTTATTAGGTAACTTATGGGGCCTGACGATGGGCCGATGAGACAATAACCACTGACCAACATCTGCCGGCTGGTTTAGTGGCTGTGGGCCTCCTCCACTTTCCGATGGATGCATCGGTACTACTGGATATTTCTCTCATCTTCAGTGCTTTGATTAATTTCAATGTTGTTAATCAGTGTGATCATTAACGTTGAAAATTCGTCTGGAGTAATTATTAGCTTTAATTCTTTTCCAAATTTAATTTAATATTTATGTCGAAGTGGCAAAATTGGGTACGTTATATATATATATATATATATATATATATATATTGTCGGAGGCCCGAAATCCTTTCTTTTCATTGATTTGATTAGCATTGTTGCAAGATTGTTAATTATGACATGCCAAGTGCACTAACTGATATAGTTAGAGGATTAATATTCGGAAAAACAAACTATATAAGAGTTGAGCATCAAAACATTATTATTATTATTATTATTATTATTATATAAAATTATTGCACACACAAATGATAGACCATCTGAGATCATCAGCTTTGGTGATTGATGGTTGCTGTTGCCCTTTGCAAACAGATCATCATCCACTTATCCATTATACATCTTGTTTCTATTAGACATTATTTATACATGTATAAAAGAGACAACTCAAGAATTGTCACGTATCTCCAGTAATTCTTTTATTTTTTCTTACTCTTGAAATAAGGTATGTATATATATATATATATATATATATATATATATGTCCAACAAATATTTTGAAAAATAAGAAACAATGATCATGGTAGCTGTGACATGGACGGAAAAAAAACATACTATATATAATAATAAATAATTTAAAAACTAAATGTAGCCAAATTAGTTACTTATCATTTACATATATGATGGCAATTTGTTAGTTTAGCTGATAATGTATTGATCATCCAATTAAGGTTGTAAATACAAGGACAAATTAAACTTCTTCTTCTTCTCCATAAAATAAAAAGTACAAGTCAACGAATAGTACATAGGTACATTTTTAATAATGTAATTATAAAAAGGTAGTAACCATTTGTTGATCTACAAATTCAAATTATAAAGGAAAGGTGGGGGAAGCTGCATGAAAATCTGGCTAAATGCATGATCAGGAGTTCATGTGAGTCAACAATTAATACATAAGTGCTTTTCTAATAATGTTATTATAAAAAAGTAGTACCAACCATTTAAAGTATCGATTTTTAATTTGTTGATCTACAAATTCAAATTATATATAGTCCACATCGAATCAAAACAATAAATTAAAGCTGAAGACTTTTTTTTTTTTTAATTTACTTGTAATGTTAGCTCTTGGCAAGCAATGATTAAGGACCATATATATTAATTGCTGTGTTGAAAGTTGAAACCCTACACAACATGATTAGAAATATTGAAATTAAAGGATTTTACATGTTGAAATATTAATGATATAATATGCAGTGTAGGGAAAACGTAAAAACAAATATAGTAGATGAGATAGCATTGACAAAACGAAACGAATACAGGCCAAGGAAACCATATTCTAAGGCCATCAAGTTGAACCCAAATTTAATTGCAGTTAACGAAATTTTTAATTAATGGAACATGCGCTGCATGCTCATTACTTCAAATTAAATTTGATTATTATTTATTTAAGACCAAATATTATAATAATAATAATAACAAGAATAATTATAATAATAATAATTCTGACAGCACATGTTTCGGAAATATCACAACTGTAGATTCGATGTTGGTAATGTAAATATATATATATATATATATATGGCATAAGGTGAACTAAAGCGTACGGCGAGAGAATTCAGAGGTGACGGTAGGTTATCAGGCCGGCATGGCATTCAATTATCTCCTCGGCTGATGCAATCCAAAACCCGTCTTGACCTTGTCTACTTTGTTTCATATCGTCAAATTAACTGCCCTGCCCTCTGGCTCGGCGCCGCCCCCCTCCTCTTTTTTTTTTCTTTTTTCTTTTTTATAATATAATATAATTAAATTATAATTTGTAGGAATAATTTTATTTATTTAATATGAATATATATTAATTTTTTAAAATTATATTTAAATCTTCAAATTTTATAACATATATAAAATTCTTAAATATTAACTTATCGTTAAAAAATAATTTTTTTTGTAAATAGTAAGAAAAAAATTATATCTTTTCTTTGAATATTTTTATTTACAATAATATTTATATATCTATAAAATTATATCAAATAAAAATAAATTATACCTTTCTTAAAAAAATAAAAATATATATTATTGAATGATAACTTAAATAATAAAATAAGTATTAACATACGTTCACTTTAGTATTTTTGATTAAATTATTATGTAAAATATGTGAAAATATGTGAAGAAATAAAAAAATATTATTTTTCATAAAATGAAACTATAATAACAATAACATATAGCTTGGAAAAAAGTTATAAGCAAAAAAAAAATTGCAATAGTAATAAATATATTTTGGAAAAAAGTTACTATAAAAAATAAAAAAAATTTATATATAACACATAACATTTGAAGTTTTAAATTTGCAGAAGAATTCTTTAATGTCAATTATAATTAAATAGATAATTTTTAAATTAATTTTTTAAATTTTAAAATGGATATAATAAGTGATAAAGATAATATTAAATTTTTTGCATCTATTGAAAATATAAATTTGATAATCAAAGTTCAAACAAATATAATCATTTTAATTATCTTATTATTCAAAAATTTAAGATAATTTTTTTTTAATTTTCCAAATTTTACATAAAATTTTGAATTTTTAATATTATATAAATTTCTTAAAAAGATAATTTTTTAAATCAAGATAAAAAAAAAGATTATTAAAAGATTTAGATAAACTTAATCTTTGCAATTTTTAAATATATTTAAAAAATTTTTATAATTAAATAATATTTTAAATAAGGTTATTTGGTAAACAACTAAAATTATTTATTAAAAAAATAAAATCAATATTTTATATTTTTAACTTTAAAAAATATATCTCTAAATTGATTTGATTTTTAATTATAATTTGAATAAATTTAAAATTATATAATTTGTAATTAAAAGAAATTATCTTATTTATTTAAAAAAAATTTTTATGTGTTATTTAAAAGAGTTGTCCACGTAAACTTTCATGTGATAAATTTATTTATATACATTATTATAATATATATATATATATATATATATATATATGCAGGAGCAGGAGGGTCACAACTCGTATGCGTCCAGAAAGTAAGAAAAGAAGAATTCACAGGTGATTGCCATTGTACGTGTCTCAGCTGATTGCCATCTAAAATCTAGAACCAAAGGTGTTTTAGGTGTGGAAGGAAGGATTGTTGCACTATCTATCTGTTGTTATATCGCGACCTAATAAAGCTTTGGCATGAATTAGAGTTTATAAGGGACAAGAGACAATACTAAAATCTACCAGGCTTGTTGGGTTTGTTGAAAATTGGGTAGCCAATTTGAAGTGACCTCATTATTTTAATGATCGTCCTAAAATATATTAATCTCATAAATTATTGTAGCTTTATTCGAAGTTAATGATGCCACCCGAACAAGAACCTTTTTCCTTGTCTTCATCCAACATCCTAATTGTGCTCAACGTTTGAGTTTGGGATTGTTTTATTGTTTAGAGTTGGGTTGGCAAGTCAGTATCGAAGAACCCGGACAAAGAAAGAACATAAAAGAAAGGCAACAAAGTCGAAATGGAGTCACCATTCAATGCAGATATATTGAAAGGCAAAGTAGCTTTGGGGACAGGAGGAGGCTCCGGAATTGGATACGAGATCTCATTGCAACTAGGGAAACATGGCGCTTCTATTGCCATCATAGGACGACGCAAACATGTTCTTGACTCTGCTGTTGCTGCTCTTGATCATTCCCATGGCATCCCTGTAATATATTCCTTTTTCTTCGTTGCAATTCTACTCTATAGCCTCTTAATAGTATGTCTTTATTATTACTTTTTTTCCTTGGATGTTTGCTGTTGAAAATGTGAACACCAACTTTTCTCTTCTTGGATGTTCTTATTGCAGGCTATTGGACTTGAGGGAGATGTTAGAAAAAAGGATGATGCAACTAGAACTGTGCAGTCAACTTTTAAGCATTTTGGCAGGCTTGACATCCTTGTGAATTTCCTTGCGCCTGCTGAGGATTTATCTCCCAAAGGATTTCGAACAGGTTGTACATAAAATTTATAACTGCGGAAGGTTCTTTCCTTAAATTTTTCTAGCTGTTTTATTCAAAACCTTAAGGTACTTCTTCAGAGTTGAATGTATTATGGAATTGTTGTCTATTTGTAATTTGAAGGCTCCTCTTGTGTTCGAGATGCTGAGTTTCTTAAGTCAGTCCTATGATAAATAAAACTGAAGTGTGCAACAAGCTTATTAGAGTGTAAGAAATCATCATGATCTTAAAAATGAACTATAAACTATAGATCGATTGAGTATTAATCTCTAATTTTAATGTATTAAAATTCAACTTGATACATAAATTTTCACACTAATTTTAACTTATAAGATACTTTTTAAGAATAATAAAGCCATAAGATTCAATAGTCTGAAAACAGACTATCACATTTACGTGAATTGCCACACTAGATCTAGGAGATATCTTAGCCAAATGAATTCCAGTACTTTTACTATAAAAAAAGCATTTAGCCAGCTAGATAAGGACAAAATTAAAGTTAGCAAGGCATTCGTGCGACCTTTTTTGTACATGTCGCGCGATTTCCTAATCTTCCTCTCGCCAACTTGCGATTCCGCGCGACCCTATTTCGTAGTTGACTACACCATTTAAAAATTCGCATTTAAAAGGAAGAAACCATAATGAGTTCCACGAAATATCTTTAATTTTTATATTTCTTCATTGAAAATGTGTTTGATGAATAAAAATAAGATAGTGAAAACGTGAAGCAATCAGTTACCTCAACATTAAAGAAAAAGAGGTTTACCTTAATTTATACTACTTTGATTTTATTGGTAACCTCGCATGAATTGACTTTCCAATTTTCATACCCTATACGCAGAAAAAAAAAAGAATCTTTTCTCATTTTAAATTGCCTTTTTTTTTTATCTTCTATATATAAATATATATTAATTATAAAATAAGATTTCTTCCATGGTTTCTTCCTTTGATAATTGGTCCACCCATCCAACGCACAAAAATTAGCCACAAGATTCAAAACCAATAGACCATATTAAACAAAAAACGCGACAGCGCAGAAGCATACCTAAATGCAGCGCATCGTAGCATATTCTCCTAATGGACGCGCGACTTTGTGCTTCATCCATCGATGTCGCGCTCTCTTTAATGGGCAATAGCGCGATAACACATCGAGATTATTATTAAAGAGTATATCTTATAGTATAATTAATTAATTATAATTTAAAATTATGTAAAAATAATTAAAATTTTAAATTAAATTTATATTTATAAATCATAATTTTTATTATAATTAAATAATTACAATATTATAGTAAAAAAATTATAAATAAAATGCTCATATTATTAAAGTTTAATTTTAATATATTATCAATGTATATATTTTAATTTTATATATTGTTTGTGAGTCAAATTAGATAATGATATCTTATTAATAAAGTAAATCAATGATGTTATTTAAATAAATTTTTTAAAAATATTAATTATTTATATATTTATTTTAAGAATTAATATTTAATTATTAATAAAATAATATCATCTGATTCATTAATATTGTATAAAATTTATAAACTGATAATACATTAAATATAAATTTTTATTTATTTATTTATTTATTATTATTATTATGTTATTATTATTATAAATTATATATATTAAAATATTATGTTTATTTTTGACATATTGATACTGATAATTTTTTATTTCATAAAAATTTTAAAAATTATCACATATTTTATTTAATTTTTAAATTTTTAATATATTTAAAAATATATATGTCATTCTATTAAATTTATTGTAGAATTTTGTGTCAAAAAAAATTATTGTGAAATTTAAAATTTTGGATTAGATAAAATTTTATAAAGGTATTTATGTATTTATTTTATTTTAAACATTTAAATAAAAATATTAAAATATTTATAAATTATAGCAGAATTTAAAAATTTTATATAGTTTAAATATGTGAAATGTGTTTATTAAATTAATGTACATAATTTTATTTTAAAATTCTAATTTCATAAACTTATATTGTAAAAGTTATGATAAAAATTTTTCATAATTTAATTATAATCATAAAATTCAAATTGAAATCAAATTTATCATTAAAAATTAAAATATTTAAAATAAAATACATAGATTTATTTATTATGTATGATAGTAAATCCCGTCCCCGTTTTTCGTGATGACTTTCGCATGAAAGTGAAAACCTAGTATAATACAAAATCAGAACTCCCTTTCGCTAATAATAATTTAATTAAATAGTGATATCTGATTTTTAAAAAAAAAATTTATGTATTTATTTTAAAAATTTATATTTATTCATGAACGACGTGTCCACCTTTCGTAACTGAAAAATTATAATATTTTTTGCCTATCTTATCTGATAATTAATAAATTATAGATATTTAATACATAAAATTATAAAAATAAAATAATATTATTTTATATTTGATAAGTGTAAAAATTATAATAAAATAATATTTATTAATTAAAATTATTTTTTTAAAAATTTATTTAATTAAATTATTGATATAATTATTAAAGATATAATAAAACATATAAATTTAATATCATAAAATAAAAATAATTATTTTTATTTTAAAAGATTTAAATCACCTTATATTAAAAAAATAGTTAATCTTTATTATAATTATACTAATTTTTTAAATATAAATTAAATATAATACAAAATAATTATTATTCTATCCTATTCATTATTGTGTACCAATCTTGTCCTATAAATACACCGCAAGCGGTAGAAACCTTTGTCAGCGAAACTAATGGCTCCATTCTCATTGCGTTGCCGACTTAGGGCTGGAGCTTTAACAAGGAAACGTTTCAAAACGAAGGCTAAGCATGTAACAATAATCTTCTCTGTTACTCCTGCTGTAATTTTTGTTACATTTCTGGCTCAGCTAGACTATATTGTTTAATACTTTGATCAGGACATGCAGGAAAGCTTCAAGAGATTGAAGTCAGAAATGGAGGAAATAAGCCAGGAACAAAAGAACATCAGAGAAGGCCACAGACTAATTAACAAAAAATTTGAAGCAATTGAATCTGAGGGCGAGGAATTGAAGAGAGAAACTATACTCATAATCCAGCAAAGTGCCAGAACCAAGATTAAACTGGCTCTCATGTTCCGCATATTGAAAGCTAGGGAAGCCGGTGAATTTAATACCGCTGCCGATCTCACTGAAATGCTCCGGTTGGTTGGTTGGTTTCATAATTATTTTGTTCAATATAGCTGATACTATCTCAATGTTGGTTATTTCCACAAAGGAAAGCTATTTAGAATAAAGTCGTTAAGTAACATGATTCGATTGATGAATTGCTAGTTTATTGTGGTTTATACTTGCTTTTTCTTAAAGGTTGTTGGATTATTTTGCTTAGGTGATGGCTGTAGAAATACCCTCAAATTCATATCTTCTTTGCTGATTGTAAGGTCTTACTTCTACAAAGGAAACCTATTTACAATGAATAAAGTTGTTTGAAGCATGACTCTATAGATGGCTTGCTAGTTTGATTAATTTCATCATCTCTAATTCTTCTTAATTTGATAGTCAAGCAGACAATTAGGCTTAATCTAGCCAGTTTAGATCGAAGTTGTTTCCAAGAACCAGAGAGAAACTAGTAGAAAAAAGAAGAAGCGGTTATATATTTATGAAACATGTATCTCATTTTTTGTCTATCTAAAGATGATATTGCAAGAGATCCTTTTCTAGTAAAGAAAAAATAAATCCCTTGTCTTCTTTTCACTGTTTCCCTTTACTAGATTTTGCTCCCATGGCCCTTATTTTAAGATACGGTATTTGTGCAACATGGAAGACTCCCTTAATGCATATAGCACTGAACTGCCTTTTAAGTGTTCCAGATTTATTGTTTGTATGATATTTGTGGGTGCAACTGATACTGTTGAAGGTTGACCAACTTTGTTTTGTTATGCAGTGAAATAGTACGAAGAGAGGAGGAAAAGGCAATCTGACAGCGCGCCCAGGATAAACTGCCTCTGCTCTGCTTCACCAAATATAAAGGAATAAACTTATGCGGGACGATTAAGTATTTGCCGTCTTTCATCGTGTGTTATTGACCACAACTTTATGTTTAATATAAAGGAATGTCTGATGCTAAACATTATATATACGGCTTAAAACCAACAAAGTTCAAATAAACTACCCATTGAGTGGCAAATTTGTGCTACTGGTTTGCTTAGTCCTTGTAATATATAAACTGCTGCACTTGGATGAATATATATATTACTTTGTATTGTATCGTAGGAGTTGGGCTATTTGGGTTAGCGTGGTACACGCTTGGCTTGTGGATGAATTTATTTGAATAAAAATCAATGCAGAATGGTTAGAGCTGAGAACAAGTTATTTCGTGCAGGGGCGGGGAGGAGGGGCCACTGCTTCTCCCCCAACTCAATTACATGGTTGATTTGGGTTGTCCACTCACAATCGGTCTCTCTTTTTTTTTAATTTTTAATTAATGGAAAAGAGCGTATATGCACACTGATGTGCAGGCAAACGAGATTCAGTTTGTTCCCCAATGTCCACCACCTCTTAAGTTTACATTTGAATTTTCCTTGAAAAACGCATGTTGTTTTTATTGCTTTATTTGAATGAAAATTTCAATTAAATATGAGATAAATTTAACAATTTCATTAATAATATATAATAGTAAATTATAAAATACATAGTTATCTGTTGATATTGGTATTTACGTGAATAATTTTTTTTTCCAATGATAAGTAAGAAATTTAAAAATTTTTCATTATAATGATACATAAGATATTTTTTTAATTTTAAATTATTTATCTAAAAAAATTTTGAAAATTTATTTATTTATCAAAAAATTTCAAAATTTATGCAGTCTGGCCTTCCGTCTTTGAAAATGAAACTTATGTCAGCATTGAATATGAAGCTTAAGCGATGTTTAATCTACGAAATGTTGCGATTTCTGTACCTCTTCCTGCTCTTAGGGAGGCACAAAATGACAGGCAGATTGATGGCGAATGGATGTAAATGGAAAATCATTTCAAGGTATTACTGTAGATGAAAGCAAAATTGTGATTTTTTTAGCCCCGTGAGATTAATAAACCGAATTCCACTCAACCAAGCCTTAATCTTGAACGCTTTGCCTATATCTTCATAAGATGTTACTGACAAAGTTTGGACGTATCATGAAAATATGATGATGTTGTGTAACATAAAATGTTAAAGTTGGAAAAAGTTTACATGACACTTTATCTTTTACGTTTTCTTGTTAGTCATGCAGGTATGACTCCAGAAATTCCATCTTAGAATGGTCCATGCTTCTCGTTGATAATTCTAACAGCAGGTCAGTCCATTTTTTTACACTGCAAAGCTTCTTGTGTCTGATATTTTTAATATGCTATTGGTTTACAAGTATTTGTTTCTACTGACTTATTAGCAGCGGATCGATGGAGTTTGTTGTGCCTCCGGCAGACTCATCAGTGTTCTTCCCCACTTCTGTCCGTTTTTCAGCCACTAGTACATACAGTGACCTGAAGGTTTGATATGCCATTTTATTTACATTTGGTTTTTTAAAGAGGGATATTCCAGTGCCTAAAGCCTGTGTTAGCTAAATTAGATCATTAGATTTCTTCTAATTACTTAAATCCCATAATCTTTCTCAATTTTAGATCTTTTAAATGCAAAAAAGGGTCTTCCATTACCCTGTCAAAATTATTGCCCCAGAATCACACTCTTATTGGAGAGAATTATTGATGCAGATAGTGAACATAATTCCCCTGAGAGGTGGAGCTTCTCGCCAGTACTCCCAGAGGACAAATTTGATTACAGAGAATTACCAAGTTGTGTGAATGATATACTCAAAGTGTAATTAATAGGTTGTGAGTTTCTGGTGCAGTTTCAGAGAAAAAGTTCAATTATTCAAACAGCTAATCCTTTTTGCATCTATGACAACGATAACACTCAAGGACTGATGACAATCAGAACTGGGAAAGGGTATTTGGTTCTTGTAATCAATCAAGGTTTGCTTATCACATAATTATTTCTAAGAAGTAGAATCTATATTAATTAAAAATTGTTGATTAAACCTAAACCAAAAAAAAAAAGAAAGAAAGATAATGAGGGAATTAATTAACTTGGTAGCATGAGGAGAAATGAATTGTGATTTAAAGATTAGCCAAATTGCCTTTAAAATTTGAGAAAAATGTGACCTCTCATTGAAACAGAAGTTGAAGTAAGTGTTTCATAGTAATCTAAGTTGTGAGAAAGGAATAGAGAGAGGGACAAAACTGACATACAAATGTCACTCATTCAATGTTTTTTTCTGAGTGGTCCGGCCGGGGAAAATAGATTTAAGAAGAAGAGAGAAAATAAAAGCACTGTTATTACTCAAGGCAGAGAACATTCCCTTTTGCGTATAAAAAAATGAAGCGAAGTTAATTTGATTTGGAGATAATTTTGTGTAATAATTTCTTTCCATTTTTTTCTCTTTTGGGTCTTAATCAATATCACGTTCGTACAAAGTGACAAATGTCATGGCCCTTGTCATTTTCAGTACCCCACACACATTATTTTTTTAACACAAAATTTTGTAATGAAAGATATATACATATATATATATATATAATAATTTTTAGTCCAATTCCGATGAAATTTATAATAAAGAATCTTCTCTTGTTCAAATTTACGCAGATTTGTGAGATGGGATTGGGGATTTGGGAGTTTAGCTTCTATCCAGGACAAGAGAATTAGACAAGAGTCAAGCTGGTGTAAAGGTGCGGGTGAGATGCCATGCGGGCAGCTAAAGGGTGAAAACTAGAAAAGCAACAAGACCCTCTTCTCCTTCACTTTCTCCTTACTCCCCACTCCCAACTCTTCCTTTATTTTCCATTATGGCTCGAAAGTCCTCTCTTTTCAAACATACCCTACTTGCCACCGTCTTCTTCCTCCTCGCCATCTACGCCTTCTTCACCATTTTCTTCCACGCCCCTCTCCCTACCTCCGATCCTTCTTCCGATGACGACAACGACGTCGGCATTTCCTCCCGGGAAAATCTTAATTTCCCCCTTACACAGACCGATGGCTCATATTTCCTCAACAAGGTTAAAGTTTATATGTATGATCTCCCTCACAATTTCACCTACGGGGTCATCCAACAGCATGGCCTCGCTCGTGGCGGATCCCCCGTTGCTGACGTTACCACCCTCAACTACCCGGGTCACCAGCACATGCACGAGTGGTTCCTCTTCTCCGATCTGGTCCGACCCCAATCGGACCGCCTTGGATCCCCTATAATTAAAGTCACTGACCCCGAGGAAGCTGACCTTTTCTACGTTCCCGTCTTTTCTTCATTGAGCTTGATTGTTAACGCGGGTCGGCCCCCGGGGTCGGGATCGGGTTACAGCGATGAGGAAATGCAGGAACAGCTGGTGGAGTGGCTCACGGGGCAGGAGTATTGGAAGAGGAATAACGGGTGGGATCACGTCATAATTGCGGGGGATCCGAATGCGCTTTATCGGGTCGTGGACAGGGTCAAGACTGCTGTTTTGTTAGTTTCGGATTTTGGGCGGTTGAGGCCGGATCAAGGGTCATTGGTAAAGGACGTGATAATCCCTTATTCGCATCGGATCAGTGCTTACACGGGAGATTTTGGGGTGCAACAGAGGAAAATCTTGATCTTTTTCATGGGGAATCGATATAGAAAAGAGGTAATCAATAGTTCATTACAACAATGTTTGAAATTTGTCTCTGTTGAGCAGGTTATGTCGTTATGATGTTTGTTTCCATGTTATTTATCCAAAAAAAAAAATGTTTGTTTATTTGTTTGTTTCCATGTAATAGAATTAGAGGTTTTCGTTAGTTAGATGGATTTAGTTTGTTAGGTTTACGTGGGCATGAACATAGTTGGGCTAAGATGTGCTGAGCTCAATTGGAGATTTAGATAAGGAAATCACGAAGAAGAGGGAAAAAAATACAGTTTTGGAGTAATTACTAGCTTGTGCTTGCTTTTAGCCTGGTCTAGTTTATAGAGGCTATGTAAATGAGGGCATTGCCCTAAAATCTGATGGAGACTCATCTTCATCTCCTGTTTTCACCACTATCTTAAAATTGGGGCTTAATTTGACTGATGCCATATACATAGAGCTGTAATGCATGTCTACCTCATGCTCATCACTGACTACCTTTTTATTTGTCATAATTTGCTGTGTTACCTTTCCAAAAGCTTTTACTTTTGCTCTGAATGATTTTTGCATCCAATCCACAAGTGCCCTGTTGAGTACAAAGTTTTTCCCTAATTGCTAGCTTAAATGCCTGTTCTTGACTTTTTTTTTTTTGCAATTAAGAATTATATTACAGCTCCTCATTGATGCAGATGTTAGTTTGAAATCACATACTATGCTGAAGCAGTCTCACATGAATGACTAGCTTAACGAGATATGTTGATCATAGCACTTGCAGGATAATCATTTTGGATGGACTTATATTCATCATCTAATTTTTTTGTTTGTGGATTCCTTTATTCTACTGATTTTTTTTTAATTTTTGTAGGGAGGCAAAATTCGTGATTTGCTTTTCCAAATACTTGAAAAGGAAGAGGATGTTGTAATAAAACATGGAACACAATCCAGAGAGAACCGAAGAGCAGCTTCACGTGGGATGCACACATCAAAGTTCTGTTTGAATCCTGCAGGCGATACTCCATCAGCTTGCAGACTTTTTGATTCTATCGTTAGCTTGTGTGTCCCAGTGATAGTCAGTGATAGCATTGAATTGCCTTTTGAAGATATTATAGACTACAAAAAGTTTGCAGTATTTGTGGAAACTACAGCTGCACTAAAACCAGGATATCTTGTTTCATTGCTAAGAAAAGTACCTGCAGAGAAAATAATTGAATATCAGAAAGCAATGAAAGAGGTTTGTACTATTTTCATTTCCTTTGGGTTTTTTTTTTTTTTTTTTTTATCATTCTCATTAAAATACTCCATTATTGAGAAGTAATAACATTGATTTTTATCTATAAATTTGACAACCAAACTTTCATTTAACTACATATATAGATATATATATGCATTTTTATATATATACACTATATGCATTTTACATCTTGCGTTCTGTTTAGCAAATGTCTCTTGTTAGAAGAAAGGGTTATGTTTATCCATGGCTGTGTAAGGTCAGAAGAAGAGATACTAAGTGGAGTGTTGCTGGGCTGGACTGTGGTAGTAAAATTCTTATTTACTTTCCCTTTCTATTTGTTCTCATGCAGCTATAAATAGTTCTCAGTGATCACAAAATCACAATTTTATTCTAAATGTCTGTTAACTGAGTTCTGTTCTCGTCAACCAAAAAAATGAGTTATGTTCTCAATTTAAATTTTGTGGGTTCAGGTGAAACGCTACTACGACTATACCGATCCAAACGGAACAGTTAATGAAATATGGAGGCAAGTCTCACAAAAGCTACCTCTTATCAAACTTATGGTTAATCGTGACAAGCGGCTTGTCAGGAAGGATTTGAGTGAACCGAATTGCTCTTGTCTCTGTTCAAACCAGACAGGAATAATCAGTTCCTTATGATAACATGTATTTTTTGGCGATCATTGAACTGTTAAATGGCTGTCCCTGAATATCATCGAGAAGATAATCCAATGGACCCTAGCAGGTTTGAGGAATAATTTATGATACTGACCCATTTGCTTTTGGGGGTGAGTTTTTCTCCCACCGCGGATGGTAGTGAAATTTGCCTTCGCACAAGGCTTTCTTGCATACGATGTTGTAGAGTAGATTGAGATTTTGATTATAGCAGCAATTGTAATTGACTTGTAAATGGTAGAAATAAAAAATATCAGTGATTCTTTTACTTCAGCTTGCAATCTTTTGATTAAGAAAATCAAATTAAGTTAGTTGAATGGAAATTTACCTTATACTCTGTATTGAAATAATCCCAATGACTAAAAGGCTATCGTTTTACTTATTTCCCCTTTTATATTCTCTTTTGTGCTTGAATGCTGACATCAAACGGTCAGTACCAATTGCATATAATTGCACAATAACCTCGTAAGCTTTTGTTCAGGATCTAATCTAACCTGATCACCAAGTTTACAACCACAGAAGCCAATGCAAATCGCGGAAGAATTAATTTCACATAAATAATGAAAACAAAAAAAAAAAAGGGCAAATTTCTCATCTCTTTAAAGTTTTAGATTCAAAGTACATTAGGCCGCTTCAAACGGTAGAAATGAGGATATAAAAGAAGAGAGACTTAGAGAGCACAAAGGAAATGACATAAAAGTTTCAGCATCAGCATACAACTACTTAACCAGGCGGCCATTTCATCTGTCTCCCACCTAGGACATGCAAGTGAAGATGATAAACTGATTGACCTGAAGAGAAAGAGAGAGAGAGAGAGAGAGAGAGGGAGAGACATGAGTATGAACTGCAAAACAAGTCCAAACTATGGAGACAAGATGACAACTCACAAGCAGTTGGACCATTATTGATAACAACTCGAAACCCATCAAGAATGCCTTCTTTTTGAGCAACAATTCTAGCAGCATAAAGAAGTTGACCCAGTATTTCTCCATGCCTTGGTTCAGCCTGACAAGTTAGAAACCAGAAACTAAGATTAGAGTAGTATTCCATCTTGGAAATCAGGGAAAAGAATTTCTACAGGGCAGCAATCTCAATTACACTCTTCAATGAGAATCCAAACCAGGTTTATGGATCTGGTATGCAAATAGTACTTAATCGGTTCATCTGCCTCGTGGACCCATGGTTAATATGTAGAAAAGTAGAAAAAAATTTAAAAGGGAAAACCTATCAAATAGAATAGCTAATTTCACATAATATTGTTCAGATGATCTAGTCAACTAGCGAAGTCATGTAACACAAAATACAACAAATTAGATAGACAGATATAGGAGTATAATTAAATATAACTAGAACACACCTCTCCAAGCTGTGTCAGTCCATCCCTAAACTTTGGAATGACTAAAACATGAACAGGAGCCTGTGGATCGATGTCCTTGAATGCTAAGACTTTATCGTCTTCATACACAATGGTTGAAGGAATTTCCTTTGCTATGATCTTGTCAAATCTTATTGAAAGGGAAAAAAGAATCACTATTAATACAAATAACTATACAGCATAGACCCCTTTGCCTATGTTCAACTCTTAATTCAAGGATTTTAATACTTAACATCAATGTGGTTTCCCCCCTTCTTCCATATCTCATGGAGAGGTTATCAGCACAATCATTTCTTTGTCTACAACCTCTATGTCCTGTTTAGCACTATAAATAGCCTGCTTAAAACTTAAAAGTCATTCCCAAGGTTTTGATTTTTCTAAAATTCCTTCAATTCAACAAAATAATACATAACAAATTCAACGCTGGTACTGGAATGTGAAATCGAACCAGGGAATTATGGATTTTACATGGTTGGAGCTCCACTATCAGCAATGATTGCAGCTGCCTTCGCCGCAGCCTCTTCGTCATCTGTAGCACTAGCACGACATAGATATCTACAGAGAGCGATTCATAGATATCAAGATAATCCAATGGAAAATTAACATAATTTTTTACAGTTTTTCTTCGCTTCAGTTGTTTGCGAGACCACAGAAGGAAATTGAACATAAAAAAACAACAATTACAAACCCAATTGAACATCCATTTTACCCCATTTTCATTGATCAGCCAATTGATAACTAAAATAATATCAGCGATAAGCAATTAAATGCTGAAAAGAAAAGAACTCCCTTGTCTGCTACCAACCAAAAGAAGGCAGGCAACGAAAATAATACCTGCGCGAGTGATTTGCAGTTAGAAAATTTATGAAGCTGGGATAAGAAGAGGGTCCTGGTGGGGCTCTCACACTTGCAACAATACTTCCAGTCGTTGCATAATTACTGTTCAAATCAAACACCCAGAATCAGCCATAGATACATATATACATATACAGAAAATAAAAACAGAGAGAGTCCGAAGAAGAGAGAAAGAGATCAAAGCAGCCATAGATTTTTGGGCTGATATCATTTTCCGTTTCTCTCAAAAGTTTTACTAAACCGAAACTGTGAAAGTGAACAAAAAAAGGTATTAGTTTGGCCAACTGGCGAGTTCTGATGATGGGTATTGTCTGATCTGATCCGGGCCATTGAATTTGTGGGCCATTCCAATCCTCTGCCTTTTGTAACATCCAAGTTTAACAAGTTGGTGTGGTTCTGATTAAAACCGCGTTATCACATCAGAACAAAACACACCATACCATATTTTGGTACATATAACAAAACCTTCAAGATTGAATTTGTAGATTAAAGAAGATACAGAAAGAAAAGAGGTTGAAAAAATGGCCAACTTTGTTCTGCAACTCCAACTGCCAAACAGCCACTTGAGAAGCTTCTCTGTTTATGCTTCATCTAACGGTACTTTGCTTTTCTCTGTTCTCTACGTTAATTAAGTTGGATTTTTTCTGCTTTAATCCAACATTTCTGGTGAGATTAAGATGTTATCTGCTCAAAGTAATAGCCTTATTACTGAAATTGGTATAAAAGAATAACTAGTGCTAATTCATAAATTTATATTTGTGGTATTTTATTTGGTTCTTGCCTGTTTGAATTGAATGAATAAAGGGGCTCCTCCGGGTTCTGGTTCACAAAACGGGGGCCCTGTGGTTTTGGAGCTTCCACTTGATAAGATTAGGAGACCCCTAATGCGCACCAGAGCAAATGATCCAAACAAAGTTCAGGAACTCATGGACAGCATTCGAGAAATTGGACTTCAAATACCTGTAAGCCTTCTATTTTTTTAAAAGAAAATGGCAACCTTTTAGACTTAAGAATGCTTTAGGTATGGGTAGAACAATTCTTGGATATATATATACTTATATAGATCCCGGATTATGAAGAATAACCTTGAAAGTTCTATCATTTAAGTATCTTTTTACGCACATCAGACTCAGTGTTATGGTATTTTGTCTCGTATAAGAGCTAAATCCCACCAAGAGTATATCCAAATCGATGAACCATCTTTCCCAAAGATAGAGGTCCAGCCAGGGTACTTTGACTTGGCATTTTAAGATGGAGAAGCCTACATAAAAGGGTTTTGAGACATAAAACTGGCAAAGTATAATACCAACAGAATACTATGATTTCCTTTCAAATTTCATTTCTTGGTTTCTAATGACATGTGCCTTTATCTTGTTGAACTCCAACTCTTTTGTCTGATAATCAATGCAATTGCAGATTGATGTGCTTGAAGTTGATGGAGTTTACTATGGTATGTGCTCATGTACTTATTTTGAACTGCTTGGGTCTTGTCTACTTCTGGAAGTAATTTTCAAAGGGAACATATTCCGCATAGCCAAATTTGTAATATATCTGTATATCATAGGCTTCAATGTTTGTCCGTGTTTCTAATAACTTGGAGAGTGAGACTTATCTTTAATTCTTTTAATTTCTATGCATTTGAATTGTACAGGTTTCTCTGGTTGTCATCGTTATGAGGCTCACCAGCGCCTTGGGCTCCCAACAATCCGTTGCAAAGTTCGACGAGGAACCAAAGAAACTCTCAGGTTTTGGTTTCTTCAGTTTTTGCTCATAATCAATCTGTTTTGCCTTCAAGCTCTAATTAAAGCCATGCTCTTTAATTTTATCTTCATTTTGCAGGCACCATCTTCGCTGAGTGGTGGTATATGCTCTTAAAGTGCGTTCACAACTTCGATTATGAACTTCTCAGTTTGTTGCAAGTTCAATATATGTATATTCTCAATCACAGCCAATAAATCACATCAACTTTATCACAAATGGGTAATAGCTTGCTGATGAGTTTATCATAACATTAGTAGGACTAGTGATAAAAATAATTTGGGCAAATGATACCGATAAATGATGACGAAGTGGCCGGTGGTTCTAATGATGCAGTGGTAGTGTTAATAGTGGTGGTCAAAACATCATTGCTCGGTTTAAGTCACAAACGTTATTATTAATGGGAATAACAAGTTATTAGTAGTACCAGAGCATTGACAGAGCTGCATTGATTTGTTTAGCGACTTTCAAAGTGCTAGCCATTGATATCAGAAAACTAATTCGTCAAAATTGACAAATCCGATACATCAGTTGGATAAATTTCACAGAAGGGGATATATGGAGCTGACTGCCGGCTACAGGGGATACTGAAAAAAGGTGCGAGGGGGCGAGGGAAGGACTCAGGAGTCTGCATGACGAAAGTGAAGACCTAACCTGATATAATCCATGCCCAAAAAGAATGTACTGTTACATGGAAGCAATTCGTTATATTTGATTCCGCTCATCCAGAGCAACTATAATTCAACGAAATTGAAAAGAAAGGAGAGTAGCCAATTCAAGAAAAAGGAAAAGCAAGAAGAGACAACTACCTCTATGCCCCAAGGTGACAGAAACGGCATAAGCTAACTTATCAATCCCAGCTTGTAGTGCCTCTCTGCAATCTATCCCGAAAGATATCCTCTTTGGACCTGCTCTCACCATCAAACTTCTAACCATCAGCGGTTTTCATGGCAGCCCACTTGCTCTTCTACTCCCATCAACGTTCTGCAGTGGTAGCCACATAATCATACGAACGTAAACATGCATAGATAAAAAATAAAAAAAAATAAAAAAAAAAAGAGAAGAGAAGGACTTACAGTTAGAGAGAAAAATGCAATTTGAGGGATTTGTGAAAGTGAGGATGAGACAGACATATCTCTCCAACTCTTTCGTGGGTCTTTAAGGTTTCAGATTTTTAATTAATTGGAAAAGGCCACAAGCATAGCATAGGTGGTTATATACTTTTTATAGGCTTATGAAATAAAATTTTTTGTAAGAGCTTAATTCTCATGGTATATTTAAAATTGGAAGAAAAGAAAAAGCTTTCATTAAATTTAATTGAAAATTAAAATATTTAATTTAATGTATTGAAAGAAGAAATTTGCTTAAAACATTCTTTAAGATTATCATAAGAACCGCTCAAAATGGTTTATTAGAAGAAATAATTATCCACAAAACACTATTTATTGTGCATTATTAGTCTAATACTATTGTAAAATTGCCTGGTCTTTTCTCAAAAAAGAAAGAAACAAACAAAAAGAAGGGTTAAGAGCTACCATGGCAAAGACCATAGCAACATTATGAACATAAAAGATGAGAAGGCATGAAGCCCTCAACCATTTCATCATCAATCGTGGTTGGTGGATACAACATCAACTCGCCCAAATTTCGCTTTTTAACTCAACTTGAATCATCATGAATTGTCATTGTTTCAAATGCTTACCAGCACCATTTCCATTACCAAAACCCAAATTTTGCCACACTCCGGATAGTTAAATCATTTCCAAAACCAAAATCATTGTTCTTTGATCTAGCTTAAGAAAACATGACACCAATTCAAAACCCAATACAATGTAAGGTGACATGAAATTGCACGGCCTGATAGAAACATCAACAAGAAAGCTACATTTCTCAACCAGTCCACTTCCAGGGTATAGCAATTATCATTCTCTGCGCAGAATGCATCATCTGGTCAGTGCTTTGAATCTTCTTCCTCACAGAACTTGGAGTACGCTTCTGAGTCCATTAAGTTTTTCAACTCCCCGGCATCCTTCATCTCAACCTTTATAATCCATCCATTCTCATATGGACTTGAGTTAACCTAAATTGTGATGAACAAATATTGCGGACATAAGCAAAAGAGAATACATATTACTAAAAGGAAGCCTAATAAAGCAATTAAAAGACACTTAAAACACCCAAATGATCCTTTAAGGCTGTGTAAACAGGACACTTCAGAGAATGAGAAGCAAAAACTCAGTTCAGAAGGCACACTTGCCCATTTAGTGTAACTGAATTAAAAAAAAAAAAAAATTAAAAGAAATAGTATAGGATAGGTTAAAAGTGCTAACCAAAGCAGGAGAGTTGTTAAGCTCTTCATTAACTTCAACCACTTTTCCTGAAACAGGAGAATTAACATCACTAGTAGCCTTGACACTTTCAACTGCACCAAAACTGTCACCCTGCTTTACAGCGGCTCCCACTTCTGGTAACTCAACATACACAACATCACCTAAATGATCTTGAGCATGATCAGTTATACCAATTGTGGCAGAATTACCATTAACCTTCACCCACTCATGAGAATCAGCATATTTCAGATCCTTTAAAACTGCAGGAATATAGAAGAAAGGTATTAGCTAGACCAAAACGAACAATAAGCTATAACAAAGGAAAATAGATAAATTAGCTGCAACTCTAGTCTCTAGACACAAATAAAACTCCAAATTGCAGCTGATTACGGGATCAAAAGAATTGAATATCCTTTTCACACAGGCATCATAGGGAGTATGAAGTAGAACATACCTACGACAAAATATCATAATGAAACTCATCATTTACTTTAACAAAATTTCTCCATTAAGATGTCGTGCTTTTAGGTGCTTTCTTATTCCCTTCAAAGAGCAATGAATCATTCTTCCATAGAGAGCAAAGTTATCATAGTGAACACAGTCACATACTGCTAAGGCTTTTTAATTCCATATGTAAAGCTCAATTCTACAGATAAGTCACCACTGGACTCTAAAATTGAGAAGTTCATAACCCTAAGATGACAGATGCATACTCACCACAGGTTGACGAAATAAGCATAACAAGAATCTCAAACGTTTAGACTCCTTTCATTTTCTGCTAATTTGCTATTGCAAATTCTGATATATTTAACAATATATATCACTAGCCAAACATCCAATAATATCACTTGACTCTGCTTAACAACAGACTGCACCTAATGGTTATGGGAGCGTATAGCATGATGAATCATATTATGAATATAAATACCAAAATGGATTAATACATGATCCAATCTACATATATTACATCCAATTAATCATTTGCACTAAATTGGTGCTATTCCCCAGATGTGGCCAGCTATACCAACCCTCGATCTCATTCTATTTGTTCTGTTACAACAACAGCTGATATTAAGAAAAGAGGACTGCACAAAAGAGGGAGGTGGTTATTGGCAATAGTGCATACAAAGATGTGTATACAGTTTCAGTTGGTTGCACTGCTATGTCCCTGTTTCTTGACAATCTTTTTTCATCTACAAATGAGGGAATGATCGGGACAATCTCTGACATCATTATTTTCATGAGAAAGGCACTATAATTGCTTCAACCACCTGCACCAATAGTTACCAGTTGTCACTATCCCCTTTGTCATCACCACCTGATCAGCATCACTCCTAACGCTCTAGTGTCAAGTATTTAGCATGTATAAAACTCTACAAAAGCTGTCTAGAGAAGAAAAAATAAATAAATAAAAATTAAAACACTTTGGGCTCTTTTTTAATTAAGGATGTCAATCTTACACATACCCAATGGAGAATGTAACTTTTTACCCAAATAAGGATGAAGATGATATTATATTGTGGGTATGGGAATGGATATGAATTTAAATTTTATTGGGTATAGGAAATGGGGACGGGTAATCTAGCACCTGTCTCATATCCGTACCCTACATATATATTTATATGCATTTAGTAAATAAATTTTTTGTTAAATAATATAAATTATTATTTTAAATTAATTAGAATTAATATATTTTTATTGAAAAATATATATATTAATATATACTTATAAAAAATTACTTAAATATACAAAATAAAAATAAAAAACTAAAAATTTAAATTTCGGTTTTTATTTTTTTAAAAGGCTATTGTTATGGAAATTACCCATATCCATTAAATACCGTAGAGATGAGAATGAAAACAAATTTAAAATACTTATTGGGTCTGAGAACGGGGATAAATATAATATAAAAATCTGGAATGGGGACGGGGAATGCTCTACCTTCCCCATTTCCTACCCCTTGACATTCCTATTCTTAATCTTTAAGATGTTTTCTAAAATCAAAATTGAAAGAAAAGCGTAATAGCTGTGAATCAATGACTGAACAGGATTGATCAGAAAAGAAATCCTAGATTATGGAAATGTGGGGCACAATATCTTTGACAAAAACAGAAATCCAAAAACTACTATGCATTACCATAAGAAAAGAACAACACGGTCACATAAATCAAATCTTTTTTTTTTTTTTCTAAAAGGTAAAACCTTGGATCAATCAGAAAAATGAGGTCCCGATTTCCATCAACAGCCAAAACCATTTTTTGTATCAGTATCCTCATGATCATTCGACAAACATAAAGAAACCAAATTAAGAAACCATGAAAACAATAAAAAGGAGAGAGAGAAGAAAAGTTAGTAGGGGGTAAGGGGTTACCGGTGGAAAAGCCTCTCTGGAACACTGAGATCCTGAGGTAAGAAGCCGCCCTTGAAGCCCACAACATTCTTGAAGCCATTTCTAATGTAAATATCGACAAGCCCTTCAACACTATTCTTATGTTTCAATGCAACCTGCGAGCTGCTTGCCTTTCTCCTAGGCTCCTACCAGTGGGGCGATGCAAAATATGCAGCTGCCAGAGTTTTGTTTTGAACATATTTTGGTGGGGGTTGGTGACTGCCTTGTTTTGTTTTTATTCAACTAGGGTTAGGAATGTAAATTTAATTCAAATTTTTGAAAAATTCAATTTGTTATTTGATGAAAGATAAATTTGAGCATTAAAATTTGATATGACAATGATAATAGATATGATTTTTATAGGATATAGAGATTAATATGAGTAATACAGTATTTATATTTATATTTTATATTATATATATTAAATAAATAATTTTTTATTTAATAATATAAATTTTATTTTAAATTAATTAAATTTAATAAATTTTTATTTTAAAAATGATATTTATAAAAATTATATAAATATATTAAATTAAATTAAAAATAAAAAAATTATGGATACAAAATTCCAGTATTTATTAAATCTTGATAAAAATAAATTTAAAATTATTATTTAATAGAAAAATAAATGTAATACAAAAAATAAAAATAAAAATAAAAATAAAATACTCTACCAATTTCTTAGCTTTAAGTACCTACCATCCATCCCAAAGCGGTGCAAGTGTGGCGTTTTTATTTTGGGTTGGTAAGGGCGTGATGATTTGAGAAATGAATATTTGGCAATAAAACGGAACGGAAGGATCTTGGTGAAACTTGGAACCAAAGAAAGTGTCAGAGATGGATGGTAGTGTGTCTGAAATCAATGTATCATCAACAAACCCACTTGTTAAAGGATCCAAGATTTAATAGAGTCGATTTTACTTTAAAAAGATAATATTTATGAAAATTGAAAGGAGACACCGCAAACGACTCCGGAGCTCCAATAGCCCAATAAGAATTACAACTAGGAAACAACCTAAAGGCCCGAAAACCAACTCAATTAAAGCCCATCTCAAGCTAAAATGAATTGGGAAACATGGGCCCAAAGATATGAATCACTAGTGTTATCCAAATCTAATTGTGATTTTTTAATTTTTTTTAACACTAACTTAATCAGAAGTGCATTTCTCCTATTACCTGAAACATTAAAAAAAAAAAAAAAAAAAAAAAAAAAAAAAACCAGCCTCTCTTCCCAAAATCAACAAAGGTTGCAAGATCAGCATCATCTTAATTGACGTCAAAAAGTATGCTTTGGATGTCATAATCTAACTCCTACCTCTCTTCCCAATCCAATGAAAACGAAACAAACTAACTTTAACCCTACGTTCCTAGCTTCCTACTCCTCCAATTTGAAAATTACGTAAACCAACTTAGTGATTTTTTATTATTATTTGGAAAACTATTCGATGAACTATTGTATTTATGTTATCATTTTCAATTGAAACACTTGTTTAATTATTCTTTCTTATTTCTTATTTCACCTAAATCAAATTTTGCACAAATGCTCTGTTGATTATAAGAAATAAACACTAAAAGAATTAATATACCCTCATTTAAATTTATCTTTCATGTATCACAAAATTGTAAAAATGCCCGATCCCTCTTTCTTTTTCTTTTTCTTTTTTTTTTTTTCCTTACTTGAACTGTCGGTAACTACTGCTTAGCTGTTAGTGCCATAAGCTGACAGTTTACACGTGGCATACTTCCCATTGGTAGAAATAACTACCTGTTGTTTTTTTCTTTTTCTTTTTTTTTATCATGTCTTTGAAGCAAACCCTTAAAACACTACACGACGCATATAAAAGCCGCGCCTCACCTTGTTATTTGCTGTTTACTGTCAGCAAACGAAACTAGCGACTCAATTCAATATTTTCCTTTACTTTCCAGAGAAAATTAGCAACGAAATTTGTTGTTTTAGAAAATTTTCTCGGAAAAGTTTTTAGTTTGACACCAAGAAGATGAAGAAAAAGTCCAATTTGTATGGTAAAATGAGTGAAAGCTCAAATAATAAGACTTCGTTGTCTTCCACGTCCGTAGAAGAAGAAATGGAGTGGGAAATGAGACCCGGAGGGATGCTGGTGCAAAAGAGAACCCAGAACGCTAACTTTCCTGCCCCTGTTATTGGCTTACGCGTTGCTTATGGGGCGGCGCGTTATGAGATCTCCGTGAACTCTCGAGCGACTTTCGGTAACATATAACCGGATCTACTTAATTACTTATATTTTTCTTCCTTGGATTTTCATTTTCCTTTACTTTCTTTTAGATGGTTATTTGTTTGGTTGCCGAGAAAGTAGGGAGAAAATAATGGCAATGGGGAATGCAGTTGTTGTTGAGTTTAGTTGCTGCTTTTACTATTACATGAGGGTTGCATGATTGTTTAAGATACCTACCTTTTTCCCTCCTTCATTACTCCAACATTAAACACTTCCTAATATTCTAACCCCTATACAAAATTACGTAATTTTATTTCTTGATTACTATTAGTAGTAATGATTAGGAATGGTAAAATTGACGTGGGAGTTGGCGGTGGACAAACAGGGGAGGTCAAGAAGCTTATAACAGCAGAAACTGGGTTACAAGTGGGAGAGCAGAAAGTGATATTCAAAGGAAAAGAGAGAGAAAACAGTGAGTATTTGGACATGTGCGGAGTCAAAGACCGATCAAAAGTAATAGTGATGGAGGACCCAGCAAGCATAGAGCGAAGGTTCATCCAGATGCGCAGAAACGCCAAGATCCAGTCCGCATATCGCGCCATCAATGACGTCTCCATGGAAGTTGATAAGCTGGCGGACCAAGTAAGCAAATGCCTTTTTCATTTTCTTCTTAATTTCATAATGATCCCATATCAATTATCATTTATATATAGTATGATAATATATTATTTTATACATTTATAGCATGTTAGATGCATAAAATTATGAGTAAGATAGGATATAAATAATATTAGATTAAGTAATATTATCCTATAAATATAACAAAGTTAAATAAGTTCTATATATGTTTGTTAATGCAACGAGAATATGGATGGAGAGAGCAAACAAAGAACCTGGGAGTGTGGAGTGGACAGCTAAAGTGAGTCATGGCTCATGATCAAATACCAGGATCTGGATGATATGAAAATACAGATGGGGTTGTCAGTTATGATTAGGTTTAAAATCTGGACCCTCAGGCGGTGCACCGCTCCTGCATGCAATTATATTTGTACTGTGTCAACTAAAAGCTGAAATAAACCCTGGTCACTAATTGCCGCCATTTTAGGAGGTTTGGTTGTTTAGGGTCCATGGCCCATCATCTTATGTTCACTTACTTGCCCCATCATGTTCCTTTGATTTTTCTAGTGACGTTGCCACGGACTCACAGTTCAGACTCAATTTTAGGCTTAGCCGGAAGAATCCTTGCTTTTAATTTCCTCGTAAATAGAAAACATGAATAAATTATTTTACATCTGCATTAGTTTTTTTTTTTTTTTTTTAATTCTAGTTTGGTCATAGGTTTCTGAAATCAAAAAATCGATCTCCAATGGAGTTAAGGTGCCGGAGGTTCAAATCACGACACTAATTGAGATGTTCATGAGACAAGCAATCAAGCTAGACAACATTGCTGCTGAGGGAGATGCTTTTGCCCAGAAAAATTTGCAGGTACCTGAATTTTGGTTCTTGTTTCTATCAAATGAACAGAAATTTCAGTTAGTTCGAACACTTGTTAGAAAAACACTAAGCTGTTATATTCAGGTTCTACTGCTACCCTAAAATTGTCTTGTAATTGAAATCTACGGCTTTGTTTTCCAGGGCAAGAAAGTTCAGAAATGTGTTGAAACCCTTGACACGTTGAAGATATCAAATGCTAGAGTAAAGCCTGTGATCGTCACAACCAAATGGGAGTCTTTTGACCCTTCTCCGGCCATTGATCAATGGGAAATTTTTGACTGATCCAATGATCCTTTTCTTACCGTCCATTTTCATTCTTTTTCCACCTTTATATCTAGCTAGCTCAAGATGGACATGATGAAACGAGCTATCTATAATATAATCTAGTTGTGCTTGTATCACCAAATCTTGTTCTTTATTTATATTTTACTTCTAGTTTACTTATATCACCAAATGTTGTTCTATATTTCTTACTGGTAAAATGTTGGATAGTCGTATTTGTGTTGATTCTATATATTCAAATACTAATATACAGAGATGAAGGTGAATATTCAAACATGAATTAATGCAGAGTTGGCTCCCTTGCACTGGCCCCATTCACACTAATCTTGAAATGGATTTACATTTTTGAAAGATGGAATCTGGTATTGTTTTCTCGGTTTGTTAATCAGTATCAGTAAGCAATTCAGCATTATTAAGTCACTAGTTTTACATTTAATTTTTCAGAGCTTGGTTGAGTTAATTAATTGTGTAAACCTTTGCTAATTAACTAGTAGATGAAGGTCAAATTTTGATGCCATTCATGGACTGTTTAAGGCCGGTTAATCGTATTGGTTAACACAAATACTTTCTATAAATCATCTGTTTGTCTTGTCTGCAATGGAATTAATATGGCAATCATTGTTTCGGGGTATTAGACGGTGCCCATATGGCTGCAAAACCTTGTAAAGAACACCATTTCTAGCCTCTTGAGCGTTGGACCTGAAATGGAGCCACTTTAAATAACAGAAATTCCAGCCCAAGTTAATAAATTTAGCCTGGAAAAAGAATTTCTTTCGTGGGTTATTAAAATTCGAAATTGAGATTTGAAAAAGAATTTACAGTCCTTTTGTAAAGTGCCGTACCGACGTCGAGGTATGCTTCATTATTGATTTCCAGTCCTTTTTAGATTATCCATTTCTTAAATTGTTTACTTGTTCTTAGTAAGATTAATAGTGCTATCTCTTTGAATGAGGAATGAGACCAGCAATTTACTTTGTTTGGTTATTCATTTTTGTATTCTTTGCTACGAATCAAACAATACAGTTTCAACTGATAATGCGTTTTAGTTTTTTGGTTATTTTAACCAATTATGTGTATTAATTTTTACTTTGATTTGTTGAAACAAGAAGCAATTAGCAAGAACTTATAATCAAATGGAATTATCTACAAGCTTCAATTGCTTGGCTGTTTTCATTTTTCAACGCTATTTCTTCATATTTTTGCTGTAGAGGTTCGTCTGGCTCCTCACATGGATAACTTGGTTAGAAAAGCATGGAAGCTGTTACAGGTTTCAATATTTTTTCTCACTCAGAGCCCGCCTCTGGATAAACCAGCAGGTAATATAGGCAGACATTCATTTATGACAAGATATCATAACATTTATCTTCTTTATTGGATAAGGCACATGAATAGACAGGAATATATTTTGACCCTTATATGTAGTTTGAAAGTTTCCAGTCATCTTCCTTTCCTTTTTGTGTATTACAGATGATGAAAAGCAAGTTGAAAACGATCTCAAGTGAAAGAGTGGATAATCAGGGAGCAACAAAAAGAAGAGGATCAAGGGTGGTCAAATCAACAGAAAATTCTGATCGAATTTTTGTGAAGCCTTCTTTTCTTACCAACCAAAGGGTTCAAGTACCGCCATATCCTCTTTCCGAAACACCTATGCTGTCCGCAAACCTTGGAAGTGGATCGGTTGAAAGCACCGAGGTTGAATCTAAAAGGAGCTCAGTAATTCCAAAGGAGAGTTACATTCTAAGATATAGAGGAGAACCGACACTTTCACCCTTTTTCTGGTTGAGGGAGGAAGATATAGAGAAGCCAAGTCAGCTTACTGATGGAGATCAATGTGTGCATGTAACACCACCTGAAGTTCACTCTTTCAGTGGTATGAAGGATTCTCTAAAGTAAGTGTTCAATTGCTTACGCCAGCTAATTACATTTCCTGAAATTATCTATAGAAATGTCTAAGTAATTTTATATATTTAATAATAACATATACATCTTACTTTTTTTGTTCATAAACTTGGTTTTGATTTATGCCAGATTTTTATTTTACTTAGCTGCTTCTGTTCTCTAACATTTTAATGACTTACTGTTGATTTGAAAAAATATTATGTCCCTTGAAGATGTTCAGACAAATGAACTTTGTAACACTATGATCTTGTAATGGCCTGAAAACTTTTTTTGTTACGTCTCTCTAAAATCATGTAGGAGGTGCATGGAAACACTGATCATGTGAATCTTTTTGATAGCGAAATGTTTGAATGAACACATAGAGCTCGTTCTCCAGAGCTTCTTTCAAGTCCTGTTAAATTGCAGGTAATAATAATCTCATTTTAAATACCCCACCTAAAAAGCTATTTTGCATTCTTTTTCTTTATTTTTTGTGGCCAACTTTTTATCATGTTTTGGTCATTCTAATTTACCATTATTACAAACAAGATGCAGCTTGCTGACACTGATGAACCAGCACTACAGGGTGCAAATACAGTCGAACCCAGTGCAAATAATGGCACATGCATGACAACTAGACATGATGCTTCAGAAGATATGCTGCCTAATATAGCATCTTCCAGAACCACGTCTATTAATAATAAGATTAGGAGTCATAAGTCCAGGGAAATGGGTAGGAAACATAGAAAAACAGCCCAAAAGAAGATAGTTGAAAGAACTAGCAGTCATGTTTCCAGAGATCATGCTGATCCAGGAAAAGTATCTGAAGGTTTTAATCAAAAGCAAGCAGCTGACCACAGTGGCCGTTCTTCATATCTGGCTAAGACTAGGAAAAATTGTAAGGTGGCTGGGTTGAATCACGATGAAACTGAACCAATAGTATCACATATTTCTGCTGCCTCAGGAAAGGCAGAAACTCCTAATCAGGATGATACAAATATATTTAACAAGTTGCCTGCCAGTGTCGGTGAGGAAAAATGTAGTGATGGATATGAGAATTTGAGGATGCAAAGAAGATGCAGGAGGATCACTGCCTGGTGCCAAATGAAATCTTGTTCAAAGTCAAAGAAACAAAAACTAAGTTTGGCTGAGGTTGATATTCCTGAAGAAGCTTCAACCGTTCACAATCAGACAAATGAGAAGATGATTCCACTGAAGTCCTCTTTTCCCATTCGCGTAGCTTATGACAAGGGTTCCAAACAGTTCAGTGAAGGATCAATCAAACATGCTGGGGATGTAAAGTTTGAAAAGCAAAAAAAATTTAAGTTGTAAGAAAAAGATGAAAGTTTCTTTTAGTGGCGACATGAAAAATTGGTTGACTGAAGACCACCAGCAGGGAAATCCTAAAGTTTCTACAGATAGGTTAACTAAAAAGGTTCAAGGCATTCCCATTGTTGGATTGGAATTTCAGATGGTTCAACAGTAAAGAAGCTCGCTCTAGCAATTGGAGTGCCCTTGCGCACATGTGAGACTGTTAGGAATAGAACACAATGTGCTTTCTCTCTTTCTACAGAAGATTCTGAGGTTAGACCTTTGGTTATATCAAGTGCTTCCTCCCAACTAGAACAGCTTATCTTTTCTATCAATTGCCGAAGCTTATTTGCTAAACAAAATTGCAGGCTTCAGGAGAGATGGTTCATTACTATGATGGCAGGCCTGTTCCTCTAGATTACAGTGGTGGTTTCAAGGTCATACATTCACACAAGAACTGCAGTGAATGGTAAAAGAGTTTGTATTCAATAAATTGTCTTTCATTTTAGAGTCTTCAATTAAACAATTTTGATATTGTTGATATAGTATTATTTGAAAAATGTTTGCAGGGCCCCTAATGTTTATTTTGAAAATGATAAGGCAATCAACCTTGAAGTTGAATTATCCAGAAGTCATAAAATAAAATTCTCCTGTTGTGGCCTCAGTGCAGCATTGGGCTGTTATGCAAAGAGTTGCCACAAGAGTTTTCATGTTCCTTGTGCAAAATTAGTCTCACAATGCCGGTGGGATACTGTAACTATTCTGCAGATTGAACTGCTTTCTGTACTTGATATGATAATTTCTTTTGTTTTTGTAAAGTTAACACACAATATTTCTTGTTAATGTGTTTATTTATTTTTTTGAATCTCTGCAATAGGAGAACTTTGTAATGCTATGCCCTCTTCATGCCTCTTCTAGTTGCCTAATGAAAATTGAGAATCTCCAGAAAGCAGAAAAAGACGTGTTTTGAGAGGGTATGCAGAACTTTCATTGCGTTATTGTACATCAGAATACTAAGAAATTATCAGCGTCGTCTACCAAAAACCAAAAATTTATGTGATATTTTGACTGCTATTTTGTTTCCGAAAGATATTGAAACAGGGCAGGCTTCTTGAATGAATCCTGAAAATGATGCTTGCAAGTGTATGTTCACACTGAAGCTACCTGCTGCGTATTTGATTTTGTTCTGACAATTTTTATTGACAACAATATTCTTTGCAGCAATCATAGCTTTTTGATGGGTCTAAGTTCTATGTGATAAGAGATTTTGAACCTTCTTATAGGGGATATCATTCTGCATAGAAAACCCATTTCAGGTTATCAGGAAGCCCCATTATCCGGTTCCCCTGTATCTTCAACTTTCATAATTTACAGCGTGGAATTGCCTGGTAAGTGTGATCCCAGCAAGAAGCCTATGCTTGTAAGCCGCAGCAATCTGTTGCGGAAGCACTGGCAAGTTCAACAGGAGCCAAAGCAGTAAGCGATTCATGGGTTTTGAACTCCATTTCTGCATGCAAATTGCAAAGTCTTGGTGAATGATGATATAGATTATTATAGAACGATTCTTTCCTTTTTTAAATGTCTAAACAGTTCTGTACTCTGTAGATTGTATTGTACATGTGCAATATGGCCTCTACTAATAATAGATTTTATTCATAGCTCGGCAGGTACGATGATTGTGGCCAGAAAATGAATTTGTTATCAAAATATTAACTGTCTTAAGTGTAGAGCTACTTAAGCACCAACAATACACTCATGTAATAAATTTTCTTGCTAGTTGGACGAGAAAATCAGAACTGTTCTATTAGCATATAGCAGAATAAAATTATGCAAAATCTGTAAATCACAATATGATAGCGAGGCAGCAAAAGTTAGAGTTTACTGATTCTCTTCAAGGAAAAAATGTAAAGATTATGATGAATTGAATGTACGATCTATGATTTGATTGAAATCAATTGGCATCACAACAATATCTGTCGTAGGATAAGGAGTCAAGTTATTAATAGAAAGAGCTTATAAAAGCAACATGAAGTATATGTTTGTAGAACCCTTTTGATTCCAAGATGAGATGGGAAAATAACAAAATTTGGGGCTCAAGCAAGCTCCTAAAAGAAAACTGAACTAATTAGTCAATGTAATAATTCCAAAAAGGAATAATTCTTGAATTGGCAGATCTATCAAACCTTCTTATACTGGACTAGGAAAGGAGACATACCCGTACTAGCATTGATCTCAGTTTCTGGTGCTCTTCTTTTGCATGTGATTTGAAATCTTCATGTTGAAACTCTGGAAAATACACTCTAATTCTGAAATTTCCTTTTCAATATCTGATTTCTGTACTTCTTTTGTTGCCAACTGCTGCTTGAGTCCATGTATTAGTTCAAGCCCTGCTGCTACTTCAACCTCCATTTCCTCCATTGTTGTTCGAATTCCTATATTTTCCTCTTTTGCATCTTTATATTTCCTCTTTAAGGATCTATAACCGTCAAGGGACTTCGACAGTTGCTCCGAAAGTGCCTTGTTTCGCTCTTGAAGGGAAGCATAGATTCCCTCCTGATGAGTCTCTCCACCATACTTGTTATCTCTATGGTCTGCGGCGCAATCTCGTACTTTATCCAACAATGTCTCGTTTTGTGCTTTGAGGTTATTGATGAGTTCCTCCATTCCATTCAATTCTTGAACTTTTTTACGAAGTTCTGATGCCATAATTTCCTTCTCCTTTCCCAAGCTACTACACAGTGCTTCAAGGCTCTTCCTTGCTGAACTGCTTGAATGCAGCTCTCTCCTCAACTTCTCTTTCTCATCAATTACAACAACATCAGCAGACTTCTTGTCCCTTGGGGCACGGTGTGGTCTTAGATCTGTGTTGCAGCGCCTAAACTCCTTTAAACTTTTGCCAACTGGTGGAGAATATTTTTGGATCCGTGTCCTAACATCGTCTAGGATGGTGATCATGCCAGCAACCCTTTGCATTCTCCGTTCATCAAGGTCATCAATGCTGGCGTGGCTTTGTTCGTGGATTAATTTCAGAAGTAGCTTTACATTTGCAGCAATTCCTAAGAAGGAAATTCAAGAAAAATCCGCATATATATACATATATGAATAATCATCATCATGTATGTATACATAAATGTAATTAAGTCGAGAAAATAAAAGATAGAAGGATATATACCTTCGAAAGTAATGTCTAGATTAGTTGGCACTTCACTATGGGAAGAAGTTGCTATTTCAGGAGAAGAAAATACTCTACCGCCACGGTTGATCATCTTCAAATTGGCAGAGAAAAGCTAGGTACGAGGATATGATTTTGTATATGAGATTTACTACTAGTAAACTGGGCTGAGTCAGGGCTGGAGGTGTTCTAATTATGAGTAATTATATATATGTTTAAGTTGAGGGATCCAAAAGAGAGAGACTGCGTTTGCAATCTCTCCTTTGCCATTGATGATTGATCCTGGTCTTTGCCTGTAATCTTATTCTATGAATATCTTTAGCGGAAGCTAATTCTGGGAATGGTTGGTTTTTGGTTGTAAAATATTATGCGTAATTAATGCTGATTGCTTTGACCTTTTCATTTCATTGGCCGTTGGGTTTGCTTTGACTTCCTGCCTCTTACCTGTTCTTCTTTTTGTCTTTTTCTTTAATGAGATCAGAATGACATTTTTTTCGTACTTGTTACGACATAATTACACAATTTAGATAACATTTGATTTGAGTGTAAGATGATTGATATAATTAGAAACAAAGTTAGATTAGGTTCTTTTATTGTTTTTAGTATTTGGAGAGACAGAGAGAGTGAAGAAGAAGATCCTGTTTGATGAAGTCTTGGATTTGACAAGCAGCAAGCATAGGAAGCGGAATGGAGGAAATTAAAGCATGGTGGTTGGCAGATGGCGGTAGGGGTGATCTTATGATCCACATGCTTGATGCATGCATGGGAAGAGGGTTGCCTTATTAATTCTGTCTAAATTTTTGTACTAATAATTCTCTTCCTCATCATTATAGGAATTATAAGACACAGAAAATCAAGTATTCCCTATTGTTTTGGTTCATGGGGGAGAGACTAGTGAGTGATTGAACTCTTACAAAATTTGTTTCCTTGGATGTGCAGCTGTGAAATGATATTCCCATTAATAATGCCCATGCATGCACTGCACAGCTGTAGTATCAAGAGTAAAGAAAGCGTCATGGTCTGAGTTTCTCTAGTAGAACTTCATTTTGACCAAAATCCAAATATAAAATTAGTGGATGTTGCCAGCATTCATGTGGGTGTTTCCAACACAGCTACGTGCCATTCAATCTACCACGTGAGCCAAGTCATGTGCCCCCGAAATCATTGCCTGCTCATCACTCGCCATACATTAATTTTTTGTTACTGCTAATTAAATTTCTACTATTTTTCATCACTTATACGTTAATCTCAAGATTCTGAATCTTGTTGCTTCACAGTAACACCATCCCCTTTCTTTCCCACCCATGTGTTCTTTTTCTTTTTTTTTTTTTTTATATTTATAAAAATTAACGACTTAAAAAATCATTAGCAATTGCAAGTATTATAAGTAGTAGATTGGAACGTGAGGTACCAGATAACATTAATGGTATTAAGCATCCAACCTAAAATCAATTAACGGTAAGTGAAAGAATCAACTTGAATGTAAGACTATAGTATATTTGATATTCATTAGACGTATGATAATTTACTTTAACAAATGTCAAAACTGGAATGAAATCAGGCAAAAAAACAAAACTCCAGATGGTCTAGCTGTTTCCATGCAATATCTCGTTATGCACTCTTTAATGGAGAAGCGAAATGGCCACCATCATGAAATCGGTCATCTTTAGGGACTTGAAGACACCTCTGTTAAAGAGGCCATAATGTTCCCAACTATTGATTCTGGAAAAGTCAAAAGGATTGAATGATGATAAAATATTAAGGGAATCCAAGATTTATATAGTTAAATATTACCTAGGCCTGAGTATGCAAGGTTCTCAAATAGTTAAATATTGCCATTACAACATAGGAACCTCATAATATTTGTGGAGATCTCATTCCGATTATGCTTTAATTCATCTAACTCTACATTTCCAAGCATCCATCCATTCCACCATAAAAACCTTGACTTATACTTCGACAAAGGAGTTGCTGCCGAAACATCAGATCTGCAAAACATATATATATATATATATATATGTATATAAAGAAAGACACACAATTACTTGAACACTGTAAGCATAAAAGAAAATGAACAATGTATACGAATACGGTGAACATACCCGCATGCAGCATAGAGGCACTTTCCATAGCCTGTATATGAGAGCAGCAAAAATATGATAACTCTATGAAATAGAGTTATTTAGATTTATTTTTAGTGTTTAAATGAGTTAAATTTGCTTAGTTCTTTGCTAAATAAGATTGTTTTTTTCCTACTAACGTGCTTAATTTGTTATGTTTATAGGAAATTTTGAACAAAAGATTGAATTTTAGTGAATCTTTGAAGAAAAGATTAGAAGGGGAAAATGGAAATTTCCTTTAGCTATTGGGTCTTGCCTTTTGGGATCGAAACAATAATGAAGTTTCACCTCGGAAAGGCTCACCTGATCAGCCCAATGATTTATGCTGATGGCCTCACCAATAATACATTTTGAGGAAAATGGCATCTAAAGGAGGCCGAACGCATTATGACTACATCGTAGGCTCGTTTTCAATTTTAAGACTGGCTCGCCTGGCCCCAGCCCATCTCGTTCTGAATCCACAAATTATAAAAAAAAAAAAAAAAATTAAAATACCCTTAAAATTATTCTAATGCGTCGGAAAAAAATAATAACCAAAACTCCAGTATTACTCTTCAACTGAGATTTCGAAAAGAATTAAATTGGTGAATTAAATGAAATTGTAATTTGCTTTTACTCTCGTCCATATAAATAACATAAATCATTTTAGACAAAACAAAAACTTTTCTTGTGTTAAACAATATGGTCTTTAACTCTTCATGTTCCTTAAAAAGATTTATTTGTTGTTCCCTTTGGAACGGATGCCATATTTTGTAAAACATTTTTTATTTTTTAATGCACTTTGAATACATGACGATATAGTTGAGAATGCTACAAAAATATCATGAGAATAATAAAAGCAATGTTCCAAAGATGCGACTGAGGTTCCCATCAAGGCTGTGAGGAGCGCCCGACCACCAACTTCCAAGTGCCCTCTCTTTGTTCGCGATTGGTTTAAACTTAATAATAAGGCTTACCTTTTATTTAAGCCCATGTGCCCTTATATTTTTCAGTCTATTCTTGTTCTTTCATTTCATTCCCATTGCTTTCATTGCAGTCATACTAATTATATTCATTCTAATCAACTTCATCACTACCCTATCCTTAATTAATTATATTAGTCATCTTTAATTTTTAATTGTCTTTTAGACAAAAATCAATATAAAACCTTAATTATTTTGAGTCTTTTGAGATATTTTTATCTGAGAGTTCATAATAATAGATAAAATGTTTCATATAGATTATGTCCTTTTCACCTGGTCTAAGGCATGTCAGAATTCAGCCTATCGCTTGACTCGTCTTTGTGCCCTTTTATTTTGTTCCCAATGTTGGTAGAGACTAGAGAGGGAAAACAAGGGAAAAATCACTTGAAATTTTATGAATTTTTTCTTTTTCTTTTTTGCTGAATGATCACCTGGGAATCATTATTTTCTAAAAAGTAGTAATATTCTTGCATTGAAGTACTATAGCTTTCATGTCATTGACGTGACAAAGTGAGTTTTGATACATTTCTTTTTTATTATTATTAATTATGTTGATTTAATTTCTCAGAAACATGAGAGGAAATACATCGAAATCGTATATATACACTCTCGGGACTTTGGGGGCCAGCCATGGACATAGGATACTCAGCCAGCTGGACGTAGCTGGATTTTGAGAGGGGAGATTTAGTTGGCTAGTAATGATTGGTTTAAGCATTATTTTTTATTCAGATATTTTATTTGCTTTATTTTACGAAAATTATAGTAAGCATTGATTTTAAACTTACCACCAAAAAGAGAATGTGGAGAGAATGAAAAAGATATCACCTGCATGCTTATAATATGTTCCCATGCCATGCATGCTACCAAACCCTGCAAATTCTTTTTAGAAGCAGCAGTGGGTTAGCTACCTAGTGATGCTGCTTAATTATTAAACAGCTTTTCTTCTAGCTCCATCAAAGTGAGGGCCAATCTTCATGTTAAAGAAACTTATACTTTAAACCTTGATAACTAAGCTTATTACTAATATATAATTGGATTCCTCAATGAAATAAACCCTTCTGTACCAATTCTAGCAATGGAACATTTCAAGTTAGATTGAATAATTAAGAAAAGCTGTTGTGTCCTTCCCTTTGCATTTTTATTTTTTTTTTTGGTTTAGGGTTACGTAATGTGCTATTGGCATTTGCGAGATCTAAAATTTAGAGCATTTCAAGAAATATATATGAGAAAGTTTTGGTTCCTTTTAATGTTTACATGTAACTGCTCCATGGATGGCTAAAATCTCATGAATAAATGTGCTTAATAACCAAATTCTAATTATAAATTGATGTTTGTGAGACAGAATCTAGCAGTTAGATGTGTAACCACTAATTATTCTAATTATAAAGTCGAGCAGACATAGAAAGCAACTAAGAACAGCAAACGGAGACATCAGGCTTTCTTTCTTTTCTTTTCTTTTTTTCACATTTTTACCATACCAAGAAAGGGAAACTTGGATTCGATCCCCACAAATTTTCTTTTCTATTTTTGGGTTGTTCATGATACAGTCATCTGTCATCGTTATAATTTTTTTTTGAAGTTTCAACCTTCAAAACTGAGTTTTGTACTAAATTAGTATCATAAATCTGAACCCCATATTATCATATATTAAGTTGATATCATGACTTTCAACTAATGTTGATTAAATTATTTCATGTTGAAGAGGAGTTTGGTCTGAGGTGAACATAACTTGTCCGATTGTCGGCCTATCAAAACAGCGGGAATATTGGTGAAGTGCTTACTATCAACTTCACTTTTTTTTTTATTTTAATTTTATCATTACTTGCTTGTTTCCTTTGCCCTGCAATATTAATTGATTTTCATTACCATATAGTAATTCATAAACGTTAATATATGCTTTCGTTACTTCCACTTTATGATAATAAAACTACTCGATCTTGGTCCTGCTTGTTATACTTTTAATTGATGAACATAGATTTTAAAGTTTAATTTTGTTAATTCGTACAACCATTTTTAAAAATTAACATTTAATAAGTTTAAATTTTAAAATATTAACACTTATAAATCCTTCCCACATTCTCTAGTTCCAACTCTTTTTGTATTTAAAAAAAAAAATCAATAAAATCTTAGTGGATGCATTGACTTCTCACAATTAATTAGTTTAGACCACACATTAAGAATTGAGATCCACATGTTTGAGCTTTAAGAATAGATTATATAATTATGAAATCAGTAGCATACATTTTTCTAACTCAAAAATTATTAAGTGGAAAGTTATAGTCTTTTGGATTCGCCAAAGAAAACGAAAAATTAATAATCCTATGGTAATGTTATAAGAGACAGAGAAATATATATTATACTCTATATGAATGCATCTTCTGCAGTGGGTTTAGTTATTAATGAAGGGAATTTATTAGCAATGTATGATACTGTCTTAAGAATACATGACAGGAGACGACAAATCAAATACTGTGTGTTTTGCGTTATTGTCTTATTCCCTGGAAAACAGATTGATTTCGCTTTAAAATTTTAAAGATTTTGGTACAGTAATAAGCAGGAAGATTGGAAACAGACATGGCTGAAATTTGAATTTAGTTTATAAAAAGAGATCAGTAGTGCAAATGCTTCCAAAAAAAAATAATTAATCCAACCTTTAATGCAGTCAAGTGCCAAGCACATTTCACAACATTGGATGCCAAATCTTTCTTGTAATCTCAGTGATCACTTTGAGTTCAAGGTTAATTTTTTCAGGTCTTCAAATAATTATTGACAACTTGGTTATTAATCATATGAAGAGCGGAAAGAAGGCTTGAGAAAATGCCAAACTAGGAAAAAAAAAAAATTTTACCAATTCGGAGCTATTGATTTACATGTGATTTCCAATGCTTGATTTCAGAGTTTTGGGCCCCTTTCATTTTTCCGCTCCTACAGCATCAAATCAAGCCTTAATTAATTATATAGATCATCATCTTGTCTACCCTACCAGCCCCGATACTATAATTATTGGTTTCTCTCTGTTGTTTATGATCATTAATATCAACATGACATGATTGGCGCTTTATCATATGATCTACCCTGCCTCAAATCTATTCATAGCACATTCTTTTGGTTTTTCAATCTGAAACCAGATTGCCATGCCTTCCTTCCACCAGGTGTATCACTTGGCCCATTGTTCACAGGTTTCCCTGTTTTGACTTTAAATTTGGACCACTTCTTGTTCTTCCATGCCATGCCATTGTCGGTGGTGTTTATTTGAGATTGTCCATATTTTACAGTATTGAAGGATTGGTATCTTGAATCATATTATTCTTTATGGAATATTTTACAAAATATTATAGCTAATAATAATAAATTTAGTTATATTAAACATTTGATTTTATTATTGACACATGATCCTCTTGCGAAGAGAATAAGACTTGAAAATTTCTTTTTCGAATGAATAAGGGTGCCCAGATTCAAGTTTTGGAGAATTCTCATCTGATGGTACTCTTAATTAGGCATAGGCACAGCACAGCAGCTCCACTTTGTTGCACTTTATGCTGGCCTTTTCCAAGGCACCCAATGCCCAATTCCCTAATAAACTTTATTCATGGGGCCCTTTTTTGCATCAATTTCAAAATTTTCTATCTACCCCAAAGTTTTGAGAATATTAGTATATAAATAGTATGAAATATAAATAAAAAAATGATGTTAGGCTTTTAGTTTTTGTTTGGTAGGAAAAATTTTTAAAAAAAAATTACTAAATTTTATAATCACTTTTTTTTTTTTTTTTATGGTTTAACTAAAACATTTGAATTAACAAATTTCTATTTTTATTTTTTTAGCAAGCAAAGTTAGGAAAGCAAGGTCTTAGGACTTGTTCCTTTCAATGGGACCCCGGAAGTCCCATCAAAGGGTTGGGACCTTAACTGTTGCAACCCCAGCCTTTGCTCCCAATCTGACGGACATGTCATGCAAGCACTGTTTTATTTGGCCACGTGGGTTTTAACACTAACAGTCATGCTTCTCGTTGGTTATATTGCTTTCTTCAATTATTTGTTAAAAATGATAATTCCAAACTTGTCAAAATTTCTTGCAATTTGCTTATACAATAACAAAAACGCCAGCTGTGACCCGACAGGTTTGCTTTTAGATTCAGGTAAATAATTTGTTTCGTGAAATATTTATTAAGCGAAAAATCACTAAAGAAATGGAAAAAAAATCATATTAATAATTGAAACACCGATCTAAACATGCCATGAAAAGATATTAAAGAGTAAAAACATGGCATGAGGAAAATGAGCAAATAAGGTAGGGTGTGTCATTCAGAAAAATAATTGAAATTGTACGTGAGTAAAAAAAAAAAAAAAAAAAGTAGTTGTCTGAATTGCATGCAGTTAAGATGGGGTGTTTTGTCTCCTAAATTCTTCTACGTTCGAAACAAGGTAGCAAAGCTACTTTAGGCCTCCTATGGTTGGAATTCAAGTGGATCATAATTCATATATTATGACATGTTCATTTCTGTTTCTGTCCTCAGCAAGGTACGGCTCTAACTTCTCCTATCTTCCATCCATTGTCCAAACCCTTTTTTTTTTTTTTTTTCATTCTCTGAATCATTGTCCAACCCAAAACACATAGCATGTGTTAGATTTACAATTGACGTTGAAAAGTCTCATAATTTTTCATCACTAATATATCCAATAATAATAATAATAATTTGCAAATCAATGTCAAAAGATGGAAAGAGTGAATATTAAAAAGATGTTGAACGCACAATTTTACAAAGGGAGTCAATCTGAAATTTGCTCGCTTAAAGTCTTTGGGGAAAAAAAGCTGTAAAGAATGATTATTCTTTAAACCCCAATTTGAAGTTTTGACAATTAAGGATGAAATGTACCATGTTGTGAATTAATTGAAGTAGGGGTAATCTCGGCAATGCCGTGGAAAGCTTCACGGAAGCTGTCAAAGCAGTGGAACCGCACGCGGTTTAAAATTCCAAAGCGAAGAAACAAGTGTCGTCAGTAGTGGAAGAAAAAACATTTTCTAGTACCAGTAGTAAAACGCAACCTGTGCCACATGACGAACACCCGCACGTGCCTGTAACACAACGTCATCATATGTAAACAGCAAAATCTCCATTTTCACCACCCACCTCCTTTTTCTTTAACCATGGTTAAAACCCTGAACCATTAACCGCGATTTGTTGCTTCCCTGATCGCCTCCGTACATTCACCAGCATAAATACTCCCACCTAGCTCACTCATTTCTTGTTCCCTATCTCCCTCTTAACAATAACCAAGCAACAAGAAACCAAAGAACGAAAGGCCCAAAGCCCTCTTTTCTTTTTTATTCATTTTGCTTGTATCTCTCTGAGAAATTTAGCTCTGCGTACGGACTGGGTTTTTCTCAGAAACCCTAATTTTCAGGTCCCAGGCCTCATAAAGTCTGCACTGTTTCAAAATGAGTATTCAAAGCATTTTTCTGAATCCCCTTTAATGCCCCTCCATGTTTCATTTTATGTTATTAATCATTTATTTTCTGTTTTATCTTTTTTTCTGCTTTTTGCTTGCACACAATTTTTGACGCCCTGCCCCTGGCACACATATCCCTTGGAAGTTCAAACTCACTGTTCTTCCACTCCCTTCATCTTAGCTCTTTGACTCTTCTCTTCGGCTTCCTTACAGGTATCTGATTCGATCCTCTATATCTTCATCCATCGTCCTCTAGAAAGAAGTTCAAAGCTCATTGCTTTCATCCACTGTCTTCTAGAAAAAGTTCAAAGTTCATCGCTTTCATCCACCGTCTTTCTGTTATTTTATTCCAGTTCCTCCCTCTTTTTGACTTGTTCAAAGATTTTTATTTTTATCTTCTCTCTTACAAGAGAGAAACAAATGAGCAAATCAAGTTGAGAAGCATGAAATGTTCGAGTACAAAAGTATGACGGAGATTGAGTTCAGTTCAGAAACAAGGAATTCATCGAGTCCAAGTTCAATGAGTGGTGAAAGCCGTAGCAGCTTTAGTCGTCTCTCTTTTGAGCTCCCAACGTCTCGGTCGTCCCCAGAGAACCTTTCTCTCAAACCCCATCGATCTTCCGATTTCGCTTACTCCGCTATCCGCTCCGCCACCTTCGCCCGCAAAACCGGCCTCACGATCCGCGATTTCCGAATCCTCCGCCGCATCGGCTCCGGCGACATCGGAACTGTCTACCTCTGTCGGCTGGACAACGTGGATGAAAAATGCTATTATGCGATGAAGGTGGTGGATAAGGAAGCGTTGGCGATGAAGAACAAAGTGCAACGTGCTGAAATGGAGAAGAAGATCTTGAAGATGCTGGACCATCCGTTTTTGCCTACTTTGTACGCTGAGTTTGAAGCTTCTCATTTCTCTTGCATAGTTATGGAGTACTGTTCAGGAGGTGACTTGCATTCGCTTGGACATAAGCAACCTCAAAAACGGTTCTCTTTGAACTCTGCAAGGTTACTACATTTTTTTTTTTTTTGGTTTTTTACTTCCATAGTTGACAGGTTTTTCAACTTGTACGTTACATAGATTTTACAGTGATATTTGTTGCATGCTTGAATATGGGTGTTTTGCGTTCTTCTGTTGTGCTGCAAACACATAGCCTGACTTGTTCTTATCTTTGTCTGCTTCATCTCTGCAAAGTCTACTTCAATAATAAACCTTATCTCTCTTATTCTTCTTTCTCCATTTGATATTATTTTTGGTTTTATTAATGGCGGACTTAGGATATAGGAGTGTCAATAATCACTTTCTGTTTCCCTTTTTTCTTCCTCGACAGCTTAGATTTTTCACTCAATTACATCTGACTTTAGCCGCAAATTTCCCTTATTTGATATTTTTCCATTATTAGAATTACGGAATCATCTTTTCTGGTTATTTTCTGGGTCCAATTCCTTGCCATGCAAGCAACCTTTAGATGGATGCTTTTTATCAAAATTTTCTACCCCTGCTCGTTGCTGAGAAATTTCGTAAACTTCTTCTCTTCCCTGTTTTGGTAAAAAGAAGAAATTTAAGCTAATAATTTATATTATTATGTTATTTTTTCCAGGTTTTATGCAGCTGAGGTTCTGGTAGCTCTAGAGTACCTTCACATGCTAGGCATTATTTACAGAGACCTAAAACCGGAAAACGTTTTAGTAAGACCGGACGGTCATATCATGCTCTCAGATTTCGACCTTTCACTTTGCTCAGACGCGATCCCAACAGTTGAATCACCGTCATCCTCGCCGGATCCTACGTCTCCACAGAACCAGCCCCGCACTCATTCGCAGCCGACACGTCTCTCCTGCCTCTTTCGTAGGCTCTTCCGGTCGAAGAAGATCCAAACGCTAACACCCAGCAAGCTCTTCTTCGTAGCAGAGCCTGTCAGTGCCCGGTCGCGCTCCTTCGTTGGGACCCACGAGTACGTTTCTCCCGAGGTGGCGTCAGGTGGGTCCCATGGTAACGCCGTTGACTGGTGGGCCCTCGGGATCTTCATCTACGAGATGATCTACGGGTACACGCCTTTTGCGGCTCCATCAAACGAGCTTACGCTGCGCAACATTGTGAAAAGGCCACTCATTTTCCCAACCCACTCGCCTTCTTCTCTTCTTGAGCACCACGCGCGGGACCTCATATCCGGATTGTTAAACAAGGACCCCAAAAGTCGGTTGGGATCCAAACGCGGAGCTGCCGACGTGAAAACGCATCCTTTCTTTAAAGGACTCAATTTCGCGCTTATAAGGTCGCTTACGCCGCCGCAGATTCCGCAGTTAAGGCGGCAATCAACGACGTCGCATTACCACCCGAAGAGCGAGCATCAATCGACCTCTATTGATTACTTCTGAGATGCTCAGCGGCGACGATTGCGCCACGTTCAGTCGGCTCTGCCAGATTTTATCACCGGCGGATGACAGAGTCTTTTATTTTTTTAAAATTTTTTGGTCTGTTGACGGGTTTTTTAACTTTTGTTTAGGTTGACTATGTATGGGAGATTTGCATACCTAATTACGTAAATAGATAATGGGAAAATATTAAAAAAAAAGGAAAATAAAGGAATGGATTATCATTTATGGGTTGATGAGGAATTTTTTTATTTATTTATGCAAAGCCTAAGCATCCGCTTATTATTTATTTGTTTAGGACGACATTGGACCGTAGAGAAAGGGATTGAAGGCTCATGGTAGCAGCAGCAATAATAAATTTAAATAGATAACCAATTATCATCAATGCAAGTACCAAGTACCTAGGTTATTATTGCTTGCTATAATGAGCCGTTTGATAGACTATATATAATTGATATGTCATTTTGCTCTATTAAGAAGGGATTCCCTTTTGGTAATGTAAATTTGACTTACTTTTATATTGTTCATATTTTTTTTATATAATTTGTATTTTGTTAAATTAATTATTGAATTTAGTCTTTAATAAAATAGATCATGTATCCCAAATTTTGAGTTAATTAATAATATTATTAATATATAAAATATTATTATTCTCGATCATAACAAGAGACTAAAGTCATTGCAATTCAAAGCAAAAGGCAAAATTTATTGAAGTGGATGTTAAGGTAATTTGTTGGTGAAATTCAACCAATCTTTTCCTTAATCTTCTTCTCTTATAATATTTTACTAGAAAGTATAAGCCAAGGATGGTATTGGTCATTGCTCCAAACAGAAAAACACTAACTATAAAATTATTAAGATAATCTCAACCTTAATGTCCAAACAAGACTTCCACCAAAAATGGGAAGAATTTCCAATGACAAAGACAGTTTAAGATGTTAATTATTACTTTAGCTTTAATACAAAGAAAATATTAACAATGCTTAATGTTAATGATTAAGATAATATTTAAGAAAAATATATAATTTTTATATTGTTTGTTAAAATTTTTAATAAAAATAGTGTATCAAATGCAAAAGTTTTTTTTTAAAATCCTATTGGCAAATATCTATAAAAACAGGATTATATAACATTTAGAATTGTTTAAGATGCAGTATAGAATTCATATTTATAAAGTGATGTATCATTGTATAATTATTTGTTATGATTGAAGAATTTTAATATTGTAATAAAAATATTATAGATAAAATGCTTTTCTTATAAACACTATTTAAAATTAGTTAAATATTATTTAAGAGATCAATTAACCCTTAGATAAATTGAAATGTTATTGGAGTTGATACTTAGAGATTATCAGTTTAAAAAATTTATGTACATAATATATTTTTCAATCAAATAACAAAGTAAAAAGATTTAAAGATAAATTAGAAACTTAAAAAAAATGATTTAGGAGAAATTTTTATATTTAATGAACTACTTTCACAAAATCTAATAAGAGACAAAATATTAATTGCAAATTTATTTTTTAATACAATGTTAATTAATGATATTGAAGTCAATTAACAATTAATTTTTATTTAAATAATAATTTAACTAATATTCATAAACAAGGGTTAACCCAACCTTTAAACTTTATTTAATAAAAATTTGAAAAGAGATAAAAGTAAAAAAAAATTGTTAATTTAGTTGTTAAAATTCATAATAAATTTTTTTATTTTGCAACTTTATCGTTAGATTAACAAAGTTTTATTATTATTATTATTATTCTAAGGAAGCAAAGTCTTAATATAATGATTTCCAAATTACAAGATGGGCTTAGTGAATCATTTTGGGTTTCTACTACCTAAGATTTTTGTTATTATTAGGGCAGTGGAGTAGGTTGATTTATGGTCATAAAGTGAGTTAATAATCCTCCAAAAATTCTGTACCTTTTGACAAAAACAAAGACTTTGAATTTTTCTACTTTATATATATATATACTTTGATGTCTTCGGGGTTCGGAATGAAGTTGAGCATTTTGACCGTCGCTTGCCTCTAATTGCGTCATGCATGACCCGGTTTTTTGTTAGCAATGTTATCAATAAAGTTCAATTATTATGTTATTATTATTATTATTATTATTTCTTTAGCTGTAAATTAAAAAATTTATAAATATATAAAGGATTTTAAAAACCAATGTTATTATTTAATAAATATTTTCAATCAACCATTGCAATTCTTAGATAATTTGATGAATTTCAGGAGTGAAATTACGGGATGAAGAGAAGGAATGATAAGGTTTTAATTTGATGTAAATTTTGATGAAATTTTTTTTATATAATTTATTTTTGAATTAATATTTGATATATTATTAATGTATAAATTTTATATATAATCATTGAATCAAATTATATTATTTTATTAATAAATAAATATCAATATTTTAAAAAAATATATAAATAATTAATATTTTTAAAAATTTTATTTATTAATAAGATAATATTATTTGATTTATTTTATTAATAAAATAATATTATCTGATTTATGATAAATATAAAATTTATATATTAAACATAAATTATTTATTTATTTAATATAAAAAAATGAGTACTATAATTAATTAACAATTACACGTTTAAAATCTCATGCTTGCGTATAAAAACTACACTTACTATTAAATTATTAATTAGTTTTTCTTTTTTTATTCCGTAATATTATATTTTATGTTGGAAACCTGAAAAGAAAGGCCCACATCAGAAGGGGCCCACTCTAATATATTAGGAAGGGACCCACAGAATGTGCGCCGCGTAGAAAAACATCAAAAAGTGGCAAGCAAGGAATCCAGTGGGACCAAAACCAATTACTAGGATTTAGGAAGACCAATTCATCAACGGCTGATATTTTCTTTCCAGTCTTCCCCCTTTATCAATTTTTCTTTTTTTTTTAATATTCAGTTCTGATTAGGGTTTAATAAATCATTGGATACTAATAATTTTTATTGAAACCTAAAGCCAAAAGGCCGTGTAAAGGGAAAGTAGTTTTTGCATAGCCGCCGAGCGTATAGAAAAAGGATCACAAACATTCTGTTCCCACGCGCTCTTTACGCCGTTTATGTCACATTTCCCTCAAATTTTTTTAATATTGTTTGTGTTTAAATCTAACTATTATTTTTTAAAAATGTGTAAAATGTAAAAATAAAAAAAATTATAGAGGTTACAATTTAAATTTAAAATCGATTATTTATTTTCATTGATATTTACAGTAGATATTTATTAATAATAATTTGATATATTATTTATAAATGATTAAACACTCAACTAAAATTAAAAATTAATATTTTACTAAAGATCATATTATTATGTAACGAAATTGGAAAGTTTTTTTTTTTTTTAAGAAATTTCAGTTGTTTTAACTTATCAGAGTATAGGATATAATTATAGGCGCTTGATTTATTTAATTGTGGGGAAACTGTTAACATATAATAATATTAGGTGGGGGGAACGGTGGACAATGGACAACACATGAGGCTGTCCATGTGACCTTCTGCCAACCTGGCAGCTCTACCGTCTGGCTTCAAAGCCATGTCTCCGCTCTAACACAATGACACCAAACAGCTGTCCCCAGCCCAATCATATCCCCCCACGTGGCATCCCCATGCCTGCCACATGGCCTTTTTTCCATCAGGTTAATTATATATGCTTGGCAATTGGTCGCTTGACTTACAGAAAAAGGATGAAAGAGAAGCAAATGAAAAGGACAGTGCATGAAGGAAGAAGAAGAAGAAGAAGAAGAAGAAGAAGAAGGAAATGTGTGGTAGGGTAACACTGTTTGTTTAATTGATATATATATATATATTTATAGTTGTGGGTTTTGTTTAGTTGTTTTTCCTCCATTGGTAACGGTGATGTAAACATTGTAGCTAGGTATAACAATTAATTATCAAAGTGAGATAACAATCTAAATAATAAAAATTTTAATTGATGAGCAAGTCTTAAGAGAGATTTGGGAATGAATTTATATGATAGATATATTTGGAAGGGAAGGGAACCAACTAAGATGATCCTCTAATTAAATGGTTTTATTTTATGTTATTTAAATGTTAAGAGACAAAATGAGAGCTTTTTCCGACAGATGCTTGTCCCACTGACCTTTAATATTTAGAGAAAAAAATTTTGTTGGGTTGAGAGCGGATCGATAAGAGAGAAAGAGAGAGAGAGAAGATTGATTCTACAATGGGAAAGGGGCAGCTGAGTGCGGTTGTGCAAAACTAAATTCCAGCTAATTCGCCCAATCGATGTGAAAATTTTAAACTTTGTCACCAACCTTCGATTCAACTCTTCACTGAAAGGACTTAATGCTCCACGAACGGCACCAATGATTCATTCATTAATCAAATACAATAGTTAAAGAATTCAAGGATCAAATGCTAGCTTGCTATCTACATGTATATAATTTTATAAGCAAATGCTAACTGTATGGCATCGTCACTGACTTGTTTCCCTCTCCAACCCCCTATAATCTTATATCAACATTGCCGCAGTGTCAGATGTGAAGGAATCAAAAGCACAAAGTGGCAAATGGGTTGAGAGTGTCAGATTGGATAGCCAAGTGAACGGAGCTTTGATAGCCAAGTGAACGGAGCTTTGATAGATTGGTCATCACCACCAAATCTTCAATTCATTTAGTTTTTTTATTTTTTATTATTGATGCTCCCTCCCTCTGCCTAACGTGTCAGTTGAAACAGCTAGTCCACCCTAGCGGCTGCTAAGACTCTGATAGAAACGGCGTCGCACGCAACTCTATCTCTCACACCTTGATTAATTAATTAATTAATACTTATAATTATTATGCACTAGTAGTAGTAATTGCAATTGCTGACATTTTAGTATTATTCCACTATGTTTTACAAGTATCGCAAAAAAAAAAAAAAAAGTTGCAATGGGATGAGTAGGAGAGAGAGCAAAGAAAACAAGAATTGGTCACGTGAGTTGAACATGCAACGTAACTTGTGCCTAGTGAGACTATGGGGGCCTAGTCTTACGTGGCCTATGGTTCTTAGAATATTGGATCAGTCATTATTTACTCCCATAATAATAAAATGCAAAAGAAATGCAGGCAGGCTTCCCCTGCCTCATGCTGCTGCGTACACCCCATGTCATGTCGTGTCAGCTTCTTCCTTTACGTGCGCTCGTTTATCACTCTTACTACTCTTATTTATCTAATTCAGAAATTATAAGTGCTCAATAAATCGTATATTTACATCAGCAAACTTTCATACACAAATAGTAATAACTAAAAAGGACTAGTACTAACGGGAGAACAATATTTTAAATGAAGCGTCAAATATTTTCACGAGCTGGGTGAATCCCAGCTGTCATTGAACGTTTCTGAAACGAGAGAGAGAGAGAGAGAGAGACTCAGTTGAAATCTTATTAGTGAATATTCCCCCTCCAACCCCCAAAGTTTGGGTTTAAAATGACCTTCAAGATTCAAGTTTTAATGCCAATCATCTGGGTTAAGCCCAAGTACCCAACTCATGAAAGTTCAGGGCCAGACCAACAAGCCTAATGGCAAATACTTGTAATAATTAAATGTATAGAATACTACATACCCCAATGTGTGAGAATATGCACTTTCATTCAAGAAAACAGACAAAGCTCAAAAGGAATGTTTCTTCCGCACGCTAGATAAAATATGAAACGAGCAAATTAGACGAACCACATAAACTTGGGCTATTAAGCAACTAGAGACAATCATAAACTTGCAGCACATGATTCTAAAAGATATATTAGCTGCTATTTATAGATAGATGAGTATACCGAACAAAAGGTATAACAAAGGCCCCTCCAACAAAGATAGCTGTTTTCTTGAGGAATCATGAACGTATGAAGCCTCTCAAACAGTTGGCAACAGACAAATCAGTAGAAGTCAACCTTCCAAAAAAAAAAAAGGACGAGAGATTTGATGCTCGTGAGCATCCTGTTGAGCCAGCAATAGCATCACTGAATTTGCAGCTCCATCTTATCCTCATCCTATTAACCTACAGCAACAGAGCAAAATGGTTTTAATTAGACAGACTGGCAATATGAATGCAATGCATTTTGGTTTAAAAGAACTTTTCACAATGTTTACTTCAGTGGGCCGGTGAAACTGCTGCAAGATTCTTTTGACACCAAAAACAGGAGAAAATAAGTACATGGTATGATCACCCCCTTAATTATAAAAAATAATCTTTCTATAGAAAGAAAAAAGAATAAAACTACAGAAGTGGAACACCACCACATAAGATGCACAAAAATATTAAGGATAAGGTAGTCCGTTTATATAACCTGGTTTTCTAGTCTGGATGGAGTAGTCTCTACTTCATAACCGTTAGCCAAAAAACAAGTATTCATCATCATAATAGATAAGTCATCGGCCCCTGCGAATTCCAGGTAATCATAACTAGACATCATGTCAATGGCAGAAATTCCAGACGGGTAATCTTCATCTGATGACCCAGTGTCATGAACTTCTGCATCAAACTCATAACCATGAGTTGAATCATAAGGACGCCGCAAATATTTTATGTGTTCAACACATCTTTTCTCCAAGTTCCCTCCCAGAATAACATTGAAACACTGATGCATGTCAAGGGATTCAAGGTGAGGACAACCGTCGAGAATGGCCAGCAAGCCATCATTTGTTAGCTTGTTTCCGAAAAGCTGGAGGTGGCATAATCCGGGCATAGTTTGTGCAATAGCTAGTGCCTCTTCATCAGAACCTGAGTGGAATCTTCTGCATCCCTGCATATTGAATTTGAATGATTTCAGAAGAGGGCAACAGCGCCCAATAATTTCCAGAGCATCTTTCGAAATGAGCAGTATGAAATTTCAAGCTCTTCTAGAAATGGAAGTTCAGCAGCTGCTTCGCTTAATCCTTCATCTGAAATTCTATAGCACTATATAAGTTGAAGACACTTAAGATGACTAGACCTGTGACAAGCATCATTTGAAGAGTTAAAATATGGGCAATTAGAGTTAGCAGTTGTAAACACCTGAATAACCATTTTAATATCGTAATATAGTGAAAATAAGTTGTGAAAATAAGTTATCTTTGAACTTAAAAATGTAAACAAACAACCATCTTTTTAATAAATGTTCATGCTGCAACATCATTTTGAAATCATTTGGGTAATTAATTGCACTTGAAGCAATGAAAGCAAAACACCAAGTTATGAACAAACAAGAACATCTATGGGTATTGCTGAAACTTCAAATATTCAAGTGCATCAGCTTAACAGGTTGTCCTGGAATCGGCCAAAAATAAGCTGCAGTAACAGCCTGAATAGGTCTCATTGCAAACAGAAAGGCCTATCATTTGATCGTAATCAAAATTTTAATTAAAAAATATAAGATTGAAATTTTATAATATATAAAAAGCAAAAATAAGTTCAATAAAGCACCAACATTACTACCTTTACAAACAAAATGCAATCAAAATCCTAAAATGTTAAAGCAAGAAACCCTAAATCCATAAAATGCCCAAAAAATTGTCTTTTAATTAACCGAACATAGCAAATTAGAAACACTCCAATTAAAAAAAAATCAAAATTGATGAGTAGCGTAACTTGAAAAACATTCTGAGGTTATGAAATTGTAAAGAACAAAAAATGAAAATTGACCTCTCAGCGATATGAATTAGAAGCTCATCGGTACCAAAATATTCGACATTGATATCAAGTAATTGGCCAGAGCTGAGATCGACAGCGTGGACGCACATTTTCTCGAGGTCATAGTCCATATCCCATACCTCACCCAAATTGCGCATATCAATAGATCTCCACAAAGGCTCTTTGCAGATCTTTCGCCACTGAGAGCACACGATCTCAAATGCTCCCAACCGAGAGAGATTCGAAGCCGTCACGTCCAAGGGCAGTTCCAGCCAATTACGGGTTTCAGGTTCGGTGGCCATCGTTCGTTTGAAGGATTATGGGAGAGTTTTTTTTTTTTTTTTTTAATTTTTTTAATATCGGTTAAAAACTTAAATATAAAAAATAGTGAGCATTTCGGTTTTTGATATGTTGGGTCGGTTCGTGGATATTATCCATTCCATGTTTTTCGGATCCTTTGAAAGAATAAAATTTGAAACTATACAATTAACATAAAATCATTATTAACAATATATATTTTTTTTATGATTATTAGTATTAAAGAAACATTAAACCTGATAGACAAACATAAAGCTAAACCTTGGAAAGGAAACCATATAAGAATATCAGACTGACATGCTAAACTTGTCCCGAAACTAGACAATCAAAATTCTCCTACAAATAGGTTGTACCTAAACAGGGATGCATAAGCATTAGAAATTAGCTCCAACAACACTGCTGCTCACCAAAAATACCGCTGGAGTAGAGTGCTCTGCTTCAACCACACTTGTTAATTTCAACAAAAGGTTCCGAGTTTCAGAAATGTCACCCCTTAGACCATCCCAAAACTCCTTAACATCAACTTGTTCTCAAGATCCTTCATCTTATCAGTCATTACTGGCTATATAGGGCATGTATTATAGTCGGAATCAACACCGAAATCATCACAATCGCAGTTCAAAGAAAAATAATCATGGTTAGAAAATATAAAATCATTAATTCCTGCTATGAATTGATAGTCATAAGTTGAATCATTGACGAGCCTCAAATTTTTAATCTGTTCAGCACATATTTTCCCCATATCTGCATCTAGATTAATATGTAAACACTCGCGAAAGTCAAAAGGATTCCAGGTAAAGCACCCGACAAGCCTTGATTTTCAGCTTATTTGCAACTAGTTAGAGGTGGCATAATCCATGCATGTTTTATGCAATAGCTGTTGCGTCCTGGTCATTCTGATAAGAGGGGTCTCTGATTCTCTCTTGATTACATTTGAATGTTGGTGGACATGCTTGTTTGGGATTTTCCTCGGGAAAGAGCTGGGAATTTTAATCATCCTCGATTGAATGCCAGTCATTGCACTTTAAATGTGAATCACATCTGAAAACTGGGCTTGGGCCTTCAAAAGCTCTCTGCTTCCCCTCATGGATAATCCCGCTGTTTTCTTTTTTAAGGTTTACACTTTACTTGCAGTTTTATTTGAATTACTCATTATACCATTTGCATTGCATTTCAATTACATACGACTTTTACCTATTTCTGTTGATGAAACAGCTTTCAAATAAAAAACATAGTCGAGGAATAAGTTTTGCATCACATGATACCTCAACAATCATTATAAATTAATTAAGCAGAGCCGTAAACAAGTCACGATCAAAATTCTAAAACAAAGTAAATAGCCCCAAAAAGAAATAAGTAAACAACAAAATCTATTGAACTCCTACAGACTGAAAAATCAACGTGCCTTGCTGCTTCAGCTTCACTCTTCAAACGATACGACTTCTTCCGACACATCCAAGAGTTCCTCTACTTCAACTTCTTTGGCCTCATATTCCTCTTCTTCATCATCACTAGCTTCTCCATCCCTCAACTTCAGCCTCTCCATTTTTTCCTCGTCATGTGCCCGCCTCCATTCACTAACCCACTTGTCCCATTCCTCTTTCAACATCCTTCTCTTCTCACGATCTTGCTCACTCAAAAGCATCGATACATCCTGATCCTCTGCCTCGTACTTCTTACTATACTTCTTTAAGTTCCTTGCAATCTCTTCCTCCTTCTCAGGAGTCAACAAGGATGGTGGCCTCGGGCGCCACAGGAACTGCAAACAAGAAAGCAAATACCAAATAGAACATCAACTGGGCCTAGGCAGAAACACTTGTAATAAACAATCTAACTGCAAGAAATCATGTATGCTTATATTAGGTAGAATAATTCTTTTACCTGGAAGAAATGATCCTTCGGTATCCGGTAAAGTAGCTTGCCATTAAAGGACCATATATTGAAACCATTTTCCATTTCATGAACTGAAGTCACTGAAGTTGCAACATACCTTACATATACAGAGAGGGCACTTGTTAGAATAAAAACTTAAGCGATGAACCTTTTTTGCAAAAAAAAGTAGGCAATTTCAATTCCTTTTAATATTAGAGCATCTTAGTTCAGTTAAAAACAAAACCAAAGATCATAAATAAGTAAATCCAATTTAGATGTCATCAAATTGTTACTGGCTTACCTTCCAGTGGGATCCCACTCAATATCTGTTGCCATAAAATGTTCAGCAGTTGCCATAGCTTCAAGCTCATCAACATTGAAGAATTCCAACTGACCATTGAAACCCTTCAATCCAGCAAGTACTATGAAACGGCCACCAGGTGACCAGAATAGAGCATTTGCTTGCTTGCCTTTTATAGTAGTGAGCTTTGAAACTCGGCCCATATTGTGAGTACTTCGCATCGAGTAAAAGCTAACATCAGGCCTTGGATTATCCCCATGTATAACAGCAAACCTATGACCCTTGGGCTCCCAAGCAAAAGCAATTATCTTGTCATTTTTATTATCAAGCTCCAAAACCTCAATTGGTATGTCCCTTTCTTTGATGCGGAAGAGCTCAAAACCTGTGTATGTGCTTTTCTTTGTTTTTGTATAGCGATCAGCCTTGACAGCAAGATATTCACCATTGCTTTGCCAGTACATTTTGCAATCACTAACGCTGAAAAGATTCTTTTGTCTCAACTCCTCTTTACCGGGTATTTGTACTAGACTCACCTGAGAAATACATGCAAATGGCATATTAGTTAACATCTAAACTCCAAAAATAATGGAGTCTCTCAAATGGAGCACAAGTGCTTACCCTAGCAGGTTGGTTTCCACCTCCAAGTTCAGGAACAAAAAGTGCAAGAATGGGATCTGTTGGTGACCAACTGAAGTCCACAACATTTTCAACCTTCAAAGATTTCTTGTCAATAAGGCTGAAGGTCTCTGTTTCATAAACAGATATCATATTCTTCCCAAGCTTGGCAAAATACTTGTCCTCTTTTCCACCTCCCCATCTGGAACATGAAAATTGTAGTTCATTAGACATAGGGATGCTCACCAAAATAAGATGAAAGGAGAGGCTCAAAAAAATATAAAACAAATGATTTCATTAAGGATGATGAGAAGAAAAAACCACCTGAATACAGGCCAAGAAACTCCAGCAACGCCACCAGCTCCTCCAATTGCAAATTCATCTGCACTTCCCTTAAAATCTCTCATCACTTTCCCAGTTCTAATGTCAAAAATGTTTATCACAACCCTCTAAATACATTAAGGTTATATCAGAAGTGGCATTGGAATAAGAGAATAAAAATTATATAACAAGTGCTTGGTTCAAAAACCTCACATTTGCATCACGTGGATTGCTTGGTTGGTGGCTGCTGTAGGTCACCAAAAATTTCTCACCAGGAGAAAAATCAATAAAATTAACCTGCATCAATATCATTACAGGTTAAAGATGAGAAAAAGCAAAGGTAAGAGGATATGTTAACCAAAATCCTAATTCTAACCTGAAGATGGGCATAACGCATTAAACGATTAAAGGTATTAGCACCTCCCCAAACTGCAGCTCCTTGCCTGTGAACTGTTGCCAAGTATGTTCCCAGGGGAGACCATTGCACAAAACTTTCGGTCCAGTACTGTAAACAAAAGCAGTTATAATCAATTATAATGCGTTAACAATTGGATAATGAAAATGAAAACCAGCTTACTTACGCAACAAAAGCAATGACTTAAAGTAAATCAACCAATATTACTCTGTCTAGAGACACATACTTGGATCACTAACCACCATGCATAGAACACACACAGACACACTGAGAGAAAAAGAGTTTCATGAACTGCAAGCCACAGTATGTGATACAAGGGCAAGCTACTTACAGCGCGCTTGTAAACAAGCTCAGTTTTAGACTGCCTTGCATCATTCCATAGAACCTCGGTATCATTGCCAGCACGAATTACAAATTGATCTCGTGCCTTTTCATCAGTAAGCCACTTTTGAAGATTTTCCTGTAATGACAACAAAGTATTCAAGTAATGAATATGTAAATATCTAGCACTAGGAGACATAGAGAGAACACAGGTTTTTGTGTATGAAAAGAATAACATGAGATTATCTGTGATATATGATGCTTAAATAGTATTTAGAAACACACGTCAAATAGCAATAAAATCTACATAATGCAATTTAAAGAAGAAACTACAGTTCACTAAAATCTTAATGCAAGTGCACTGCTATGCTAATATTTCAAATATTCAGCTCTAATCCTGGCCTCAATCAAATCAAAAACATCTTTTACATATTCTAAATGCTTACGTAACGTATAAAACCATTGATACAAACTTCATTGTCACTCATGGAGATGCATTGTAAGCAGCTTACTATCAATGTTTGAACCAACACATAGTATATATGAGAACAACAGCAATCAACAAATTTACTCCCTATGTTTGTATATAGGATACAGACATCGAAAGGAAAACAGAAATCAATGCATTCGCAACCAAAACAATGGAGATAAAAAAGTTGTAATAATCTTACCCCTGATGTGTAGGCTATAATCTCAGGAGGAGCCCATTCATCCGGAACTCTCATGTACTTGTCAAAATCATCAAACATATTAACAGCAAAAATATGTGCTCTATCCAACTTGTACCCATTAGTCTTCTCCTTAGAAAGCTCAGCTTCCTAACATATCCCATCAAAAGAAACACTTCAGATTCTGAAAGCTAAAGCCATCAGACCAAAATAGTTAAAATTCAAAGGCCATAAGCATCGAACCTGAGGAGTATTATACTCTATAAAACAGTAACCTAGGGTTTTCTTAGTCTCAGGATCTATGGGCATCCAAAGGCCATCCTCCTTAATCACCCCAATCTGACTATAGATTTTTCGAATCACACCTTCGAGTTTCTCAAACTTCTCACGAGGAACAACCGGGAGATTATCGACGACGAGAACGTTTCCAAACCCCGAATCAAACTCCAATTGATCATCATGATAAACATCCTCATCGTCGCTATCCACAAGCGAAAATTATAAGAAAAAAAAATTCGGTATAATATATTTAGAAATAAAACTAGGTTTAGTACCTGATGATGCCATAGTCTTCGCCGGAAGGAAGTTGGATGGAATTGAAATCGATATTCATATCGATGCCCATGTGAGCCGCCGTCGCCTCTATCTCGTTCATTAGTATCACCTCGGCCGCCATGGTTAGCTGATTCTTGATCTGTTTTTCGCTTTTCGATGAGAGATAATATAGCGCTGTTCAATGAAATTTGTATGATCTATTTTGGCTTTTTGAATCTGGATAAACTGGAACTAGAGGCAGTGTTATTTGTTGGTTTTATTAGGGTTTTGAGGCGGTGGCGATTTCTATCTCGGTTAGGTCTGTTGCTTCGTTTAAGACATAAACGCCCTTCCTAATTTTATACCCAATTTTTTTTTTGGCCAAATAATTTTACACCATTTCAGTTACACTTTTATCAAAAAAAAAAATGCAAAATGCCTAAAAAAAAGTTTTTTAACAAAAATTTAATAATTATTTAAATCAACCAATCAATTTAGTTTTAAATTTTTTATTTTTAATCAGTTGAGTCTTTAAATATTTATTTTTATTTAATTGAATCTTAAACATTTTTTTTTATGTTAACAGAGCTTTTGATTAGATAAAATTAATGTTAATAGTTAATAGACGAAAATAGAGTCTTAACTCTCAATATAGAATTTTAATGATGATATTCATTTAATATGTAATTAATTTTTTATTTTATAATATAATTATAATTAATATATAATGTTAGTATGATTGTAGCTCATGATTGAGTACAAAATTTAAGTGAATTTTATTAAAAACTAATAGGTAAAACGTCTTTTTTAAAAAAAAGAAAGAAAGTAAAGATACAAAACTGACGCTTTGGTTGGAATAATTGCCCAAGAAATTAAAATAGAAAATCATAGAAAAATGACATCTATGATCTAACCAGTGAAAAAAGAGTGAAATCTAAGTAACAGTTCCAGGCTTCCCCAGCTCAGCATTTGCATAATGCATAACTTTATCCAAATGAAAAAACCCCAATGGGGCAATGCCAAGTCTTCAACAACTATATAAGCGTATCCATTTCTGGCTTTCTAAAGCCACAGGTTGCTCATGTGGCTCAAGTCTCAGCAAGTTTTATGGACCCTTTTAAACCCAAAGTAATGAACTAAACTTTATCAAACTAGAAAGAGAGGGATCGATCACAGAACCATTGAGCTGCTTCTGTTTATCATTTGAGATCAGCAAATGTCAGCTACTGCAATGACTGCTCTCCCTCAGTTCAGTGGGCTAAGACCCAAAATTTCTGCAGTCCAGTTAAGAGCCTGGTTAGTGATCCTTGAACTTGATTCTGGTTTCTGGTTTTGTAGGTTTAGTATAAATTGCTCAGGTCATAAATCTTCCAAGTTTATTCGGTAACTGCAGGCAGCAATTCAACCAATGAGGCGCAAGGCAAAGGGTGCTCTAGGTGCTTGCTGTGATTTCATTGGATCTCCCACAAATCTGGTCAGGATTTCATTCACGTTGCCATATTTTCCTTTTTCATCTACCTATATTTTACTAAATTCAACACCATATATTTATTTTGAAGCTTGAACTTCAGCATAAAAACAACTATGATTTAAGTACCAAACAGGACAAAAAAAAAAAAAAACCAACTAAAGTAGATATTTGAAAGAATATACTAATTTGATCAGTTGTCACAAATTAATATTTGTTCCAAATGACATCCAATTCTGCAACATTTTATTTCTGATGACAATCAGTATTCACTAGTTATTTTTAATGCTTTTGTAGCTTTCAAATAGATTGTTTAGATTTGTTTTTTTTTTTTTGTGAGGGTGACTAATAATATTAATTGGAGGTATCGGACATGCAGATAATGGTGACAACAACAAGCTTGATGCTCTTTGCTGGGAGATTTGGGTTGGCTCCATCAGCAAACAGGAAGGCCACTGCCGGACTGAAGCTCGTAGTAAGGGACTCTGGCTTGCAGACTGGAGACCCAACTGGTTTTACTCTTGCAGACACTTTGGCTTGTGGCGTTGTTGGCCACATTATTGGTGTTGGGGTTGTTCTTGGCCTTAAGAACATCGGTGCTCTGTAAAAAAAAAAAAAGGCATTTTGTGTTGATGCTCCTCTACCATTCCTGTATGTTTGCACCAAAAATGCATTGTTGTACCAAATAATTGGGGTTTCTTATTGGTCTAAGTTGTAACCATTTTTATCGCCTTTATCCGTCCCAAGAACATTATGAGAAGCCCTAGATAAGCGACTTCACAGGAAGCATTTTCCGGTTATTGGCACCAGGAGCCGACTGATCATTGATCTAAATAGGATTCTCCTGTCGCTAGACAGCCATGTTGGATCATGAAAGTAACAATTGCTAGCGTCACATATGGTTTTCTTTCCATGTCATTATTCTCTATCCTCAGTGAAGTTCTGCACGATGTCAACTATCAAGTCAATATTCTTTAAGACTTCAACAGAAAAGAAGGCACATTTCCAAAAGTCAACATCCTGATAATTAACAAAACCAGCCTAATAATAATAATAATAATAATAATTAGCAAAGACCCTGTACTCTCGCTTTCTCTCCCTCTGTTCAGCTCATTCACATATTGAGTAGTGACAATTCCGGCCGCAAAGCATTTCGTACAATTCCAGAATTCACTCAAATTTAGTTTCTTGAGTTTCTGATTCATTACAAGGAATTTTGGTATAAGTGTGGCCATGAATGGCCTCAAAAGCCAGAGCAGAAGCTTTTGAGAATCCCATTAATGCCTTAAATACATTGGGAAGCGTAGTTTTCAGATTGTTTAAAGTCATTGTCTTGCAAACTTGGACTGAGTTCAGATGTTTGCCCTTCTCCATGTCGACTCGCTTCTTTAAAGCTTCAGTTTTGGCACTCTTCACTGATAAAGGATGCTTGGGGCTCAGAGTGGAGTTCATGTCTGAAGCTGCTACACTTCGCTCGACCTTTTTCTCCATCTCAGTCAATGAGGTTGACTCCTTCTGCAACCTTTTCTCAAGCTTAGCACATTTTTTTTGCTGGTTGTACTCCTCAGCCTGCTGTCGGATTATTGATTGGATGGCCAACAAAAAGCTCTTAATGGCCTCTGAGGCCACCTGCAAGCACAATATATTAGTAAGAGATAACTCCAGATGATAGCATGAGACCAGATACTTTAGTCCAGGAGCTGCTTGTGCGACACATCCCTAATACTTAAAAGAACATGGGAAAGTTTACCTTATCAGGCAAATTTTCAAAACCAAGCTGCCATTCTTCGCAGATCCTACTAACTGCAGATAAGCATCGGTTCTGCTGGTGGTCATCCGCAAGGCAATCAGTGAGTTGGATCCACCTACAGAGCGTTCTTACATATTCTTGCTGAGATTTTATGAGTTTACAGAAGCTGTGGTACCAGAAAGAAACCTCACTTTCAAGCTGAGCTGTAGCCTGACGATGGGATTCAGTAGTCAGGTCCACGTTTAAATTATCAGTCAGATGATTCAACTGCTGTGAAATATGGTTCTGAACTTGGTGTGATTTATACATCATTTTCCACATGTCCATCAGCCTGTAATTGGGAAGATTGGAGAATTTGAGCAAAAAAACAATAATTCAACCTCATACACTACATAGATGTAAATCATAATTCAATCTTCCTATTGAAGACTACCAAAGGCCAATGGACAATTTCAGTTGGAAACTGAAATGGGAAAGATAAGATAGATTTAATTTGGAATTATAGTTAAGAAGGTTTCATCACATACTTCTTATGGTTTTTTCCTTGAATTATGGATTCACAACACCTTTTGAAAGTTCTTTCGAAAATAAGGGTCAGGAAAGATATCAAATCATTTTAAATTGTTTTTGATAATGAGGAACCTAATGACAGCCAATTATAAACCTTCTTGCATTAGGACTGCAACGTTTTTGGAGTATCTGGAAAATAATTATTTCTTATTCTCCATTTAGTTATTACCAAACCCATTTTAAATTTTAATAAGAAAAGTTAAAATAAGTAGAGCACAGTGACCAAAATTTACCCCAAAGTTAATGCCACCAGCTGGGGGTAAAGCTCCTCATCAATGAGCTTCAATATAGATGAACGATTTATACTTATTGAATGTTGCAGGCGTCTTATGTCAGTCTCGAGATTCTCAACACTTGATTGGATTTTCTCAGTCTTGGTCTGGTCATGGTTTTCATCTAGCTTTTGCAGCAACATCAATTTCCTTTCATGCTCCAATTTGGTAATTTCTTCTTCCTACAAATGCCGTTATCCATTACAATATAAACATTTGCACAGAATAGAATATGGAAATAAAAACCGAGGCAAAGCACTGTCATAAAATAGTCATCATACACTAACATCCAGGCACTGAAGAAATTCTGATATCGCACCAAAACCATATACGTAATACGTAAATGAATAGGGAGATCCAAAGGTAACAAAAATTTGACGGAGAAACCACAATCAAATAGCAAATTCTAATTATTCACAAATTCAAGTATCAATGCAAGATGCAGGCTAAGTATCACTCTTACCTTTATTTCCTTGTAAAGCTTCTGCTCTGCATCATATAGCTTATCAAGAGTAATGCAATGAGCTCCAGGCATGCATGGATCACTAGATCCACATTGAAGAGAATATCTTGCAAACTGAAGGGACTTAGAAGACCAACTCCATGACAATGCACTAAAAACGTTTGCAGAGTTGCTCCTTTTCCCTGTAGTGTGGACATGTTCAGAAATAGTGAGTATTGAGCACAATGCAGCTACCAGATACTGGCTATTTGATGCTCAAATCACTGACTACAAGATCAAATAATAATAACCGAAGCAAACAAGTCATTAGAATCCACTTTAAGGCCTGAATTAGGATTCATATTGCCAAGACGGCAAAAAGCACAGAAAGCATGAAGGTAGATCTAGTTCCACCTTTGGTTGACGTTCAAAGGTAAATTAGCAAATAGCAAGTGATAAAAACTTGAAGCTCTTTTGTGCTTGCAGAAGCAGTCAATTGCATCAGACAGAACTTCCTATCAAAGTTGTTACTAACAAAAGTCAAGCAGCAAATAAAAATAGGAAACGGATAAACATAAATAAACGAATTGTTGAAAGGTTTTCTTACTTTTGTTTTCGTTGAGTTTCCATGGAACAGAATTGTCCCCTATGTTGATGTCTGTAAAAACAGCTATTTCCTTCCCACCAGCTGATGCTTTAAGAAAATAGTCATCTAACTCCTTTATAATTCCCTCCAAAGTATTGTTCTTCCATACTACCATGGCCGCATCTGGAGAGTCTTTATTATACCAGCTCATCATTGATGAGTTATCATCAACAATTTCCCCAGGGTGAGGCTTCTCAGGCAGAGGACTTACTGCAGTATTTTCAACAAGCTCCTCTCCCTGATTAATCTCTATGCTTTCTTCTTGGGCAGCTTCTCCTTTATTACTGTCAACAGCCTTTCTAAAATCAGGGCCAAAAGAAGGTGGCGGTGGAGGAGGAGGCAATATCAAGCCATAAGAGATATTCTCAAGTTCCAACGAGTCTGACTCAGTAAACTGTCTAAGAGTTACACCAGTATTCCTCAATGCCCTTAAATATGCAAACTGGGCAGCTGCAAATTCTCCTCTATATCCCACCAATTGTTTCATAAGCATTTTCCGCTCCTTACAAACCTTCACCCTTCCTTCTTTATCGATTCTTGAAGCAACACAGCCCATCTTTTCAATCAGGGACCACAAAAGTATTCGCCTTCTCTACTTTAACCTGCACATAGAATACAGTAAACACAAAAGCAAACTCAATTTTCTACAACATAAATGCGGCTTATAATTTTGAAAAAAGAACAGTAAGATCCCAGCAAATTTCTAAGGTTGATCAAATATTCTGGTTCCATTAAGTTGAAATGATCACAGTGATAGGAAAAAAAAAAAACGAATACAAAGTTCTCTAAAAGCCAAATTTGCAATTCTCATACATATATGCATTCCTTTCCTGGAAATTCAAGGAGCTCAAATATAACAGAAACCATGGCAAAGCGATCGATCAATCTCAAGATCTCTACACCACACAAATTGACAAAACAGCAGCAAATTACGCAGGAAGGAGTGATTTCTCCTCAAGTAATTTAGTTACCTAGGCTAAAATGATACTCCTAACCACAATTTGTTGCTTCTATAGGAATTTCGTACCTTACTTTTATGGAGATCAAAGGCCTCATACTAGCCAAAAGAAAAAGACTACCAAACAAGAATAACCAGTTTCTTAGTAAAATATCACCATCCACCTACCCATAAAGTAGCAAAAGGTTCAAATTAATGCCCTTTAACTTGATAATTCTAACAAGGTTTCTCAGCCAAAATGATGATCTTTAATAGAAACTGGCAGAGATAGAGACTTGCTTATTCTTTATTTTATATATATATATATATATAGTTTATTGGTTTTTTGCTGGAAAAAGAAAACAGTAAAAACAAAAGGAACCAATATACCTATTACTGAAACAAGGATCATATGGTTCTGGGTTTGGAAACGTCAATACTCACAATAGAAGGGAAATGAGAGCAATGCTGTTCAAAAAAGCTGTAAAACTCCCTACCAGAAAGAAACCTGAAAGATCTTTGCTTTGGTTAGCTTTTCTAAGAGTAAGAGAAAGAAGTGGCAAGCAAGTGAGCTTGACATCCAAGGACAGAGCCCAGTAGCATGAGAGAAGCATCCAAAGCAGAAGGTGCTGATCACTGGCGCATTTTAGCAATTCTCCTCCCAAGTCCCAACATTTATTTTTCTCTTTCTTTTACCTTTTTTTTTTTCCTCCTTTCCTGCTTTAATTTGTTTAATGAGTATTTTGCTTAAACAAAAGCTCTTTCCACGTTAGTCATGACCGCTGCCTAATGTAAGATTATTACGTTTTAAAAAGGTCCACGTCAGTCGTTGACGACGCACTTTAGAGTTTGGGTACCTGCGCAAATTAGCCTGATAATGCTGTAAAGAATTGTTTTATTTATGATAATTTAAAATGTGAAATTAATATAATATAAAAAATATATGATAGTGATAAAATTTAAATTTTAAAATATAAAATTTTTATATAAAATGTGATATAAATATATAAATTTTAAATATTTTACATAGTAAAAATATTCAAATAGATTTAATTTTTTTATAATTTTAAAAAAATCCAAATCTGTTTTGAAATAAAGTATATTCCTTTTCCTAGAGACATGATTTTTTTTTTCTTATTAACGCCTATTTTGGTTAATGTAGTTAGCTTTGAGAGAGTTTGACGGAGCGCATTAACTATATATTTTACCAATTTACGTGTAATAATTTTTTTTTTCTCTTTTGCTTTCTCTTTAAGTATATGCCACGTCAGAAAATTAAAAGAAGAAAACACAAGCGTGTATTTTTAATCGCGGTTGGATCAAGTGGACATCTTTATCTTTCTTTAACAGGATAAAATGAAATCCAACTTCTAATCGAAAAGCCCCCAACCTTAAGCCAGCTTTTAAGCCTTTATAAAAGCAAGCAGGTCTTTTTGTAAGACCCCTTTTTTTGGCGAATGATGATGATTCGTCTTCTCAGTTTTATTGTTCCTTTCGGCTCTTGGCTTTTCTCGGGTCCTTTCTTCTCTCTTTCCTTTCTATCCCTTTCTTTTTTGCTTCACACCATCCATTTTCAATTTCTAAAACCAATTTGAAATTATGAACATCATGACATCCATTTATGTTTGTCGTCCCTTTCGACTATTGGGCTTGGCTCTATGTCTTCGGTTTGGACTAAAATTTGGGCCGATAGAGGCCCCTTCGGCCGAGTTAACAGGTTCACCTGTCAGACCAACCAACCCGGCTAAGTTAACCATGCCAAAATATTAGAGAAAAAAAAAAAAGAAAAAATCGAAAATTGATTTAAATTTATAATATTTCAGTTCTAATCGATTTTTTTAAAAATTCAATTAAGATCAAAATTAGATATTAAATATATAAAAAAAAATCAAATTATATATTTTTAAAATTTTTATAAAATAAAAATAATTATTTTATGTATAAACTTATTTAAATATATTAAAATTTTTATTAAAATTATATAAAAAAATCAAAATTTAAAATTTAAAAAGTATTGAACTGAATCAACTAAATTAATAAAATTTAATTTAAATTGATTATTTTAAAAAAATTTAATTCAAATTTAAATTAAAATTTAAAAATTTATTATATTATGTATCATTCAAACAAAATAAATTAATTTAATCCGAATATTTATCACCTTTTTAACTACAACTACTTAGTTAACTAACACATACATACATACATAATCTTTCTTTCACTTGGCCAGGCCAAGCTCATGACTTCGTGGTTCGCCATTTGTCATTTTATTGAAAACATTATTATTCTCCCCTCAATCCTCCTCATCTTTACCTGAAATTTATGCAAAAGTGTGTGTTTTGAAAGACACGCAAAATTTTAAGTTTTGAATTATTCTACATCTTTGTCATGTTTGTATTGAAGATTCAACACATTAATATCTTGTTTTTATATCTACCAGACTTTTAAAAGGGCTCGGCTGTGACAAGATAAAATGATCTAAACCCTTTCAACAAAAAAAGTTCACGCGAAGCTTCCTCTTCGCTCTTCTCTACTCCATTCAGGGACGTTTTCTCTATCTTTTTCCTATTTATCAAAAAAAAAAAAAAAAAAGGAAAAAGCTTCTCCGTCCCCATTTTACTGTATTATTAAATAAATAGAATCAGATTTAATTCTGGGATCTCTTGCCTATCTTTTGCTAATTGGGCATTTCATTACCTTTTTGGATCCGAATATAAAGAATTAGATCCATACTATATTTTTGAAAAAAAAAAAAATCCAAAAATGAATAATGGAGATTTAGAAGGAGGCGGAGACGAAGCCTTTCATGCAAAAGGCGGCCGTAAATACAGCCCCGTGAGGCCTCACGATCGCGCCGTTCTCGAGATGTCCTCCATGGATCCTGGATCTTCCTCCTCCGATTCCCACTCTTCCATCAGGTAACTCCGCGCTCTCTCTTTCTCTTTTGCTGACATTTTTTTTTCTCATATTCGATGATTGTATATATATTTGCAGGAAAATTAAAGTAGGAACGCAGGGGAAGTTGGATTCCGAAGGAAGGGAAGGTTCGGTTCCTGATAATGATGGGGTCAATGGTCTCCACAGGGAACATAAATTGGAATTGTTTGGTTTTGATTCTCTTGTCAATATTCTTGGTCTCAAAAGGTATGTGATTTGTTTTCATTAATGCTTACTCTTGCATTTTTTGCTCAAATCTTCTTTTATATGCTTCATGTTTGTACTTGCTGATTACTGTTTCGAATTGTAATTAACTACTTAATAATTTACAGTGGCCGGAAAATTTTCCTTGGCATGCCTGTTTTTGAACTTATGGATTAGTATCTGCTTTTGGGTTGTTTTCCAGTATGACAGCAGAGCAAATTCCGGCACCCTCTAGCCCTAGAGATAGTGAAGATGTTTCCATCACCAATGGGCATCCAAAGGTAATACCATCCTTCATTATTTGCATTGTGTTTCATCATCAACATCAATGTTGTTATGCTTCAGCCAAGAAAATAAACTAGAGACATGTATAAAATAAAAACGTTGCATAATGGGTGAGACTATGGTATTACCCTATTATTAGTTTTTGAGTTTTTTCTGATTTCTGGTATGATGAAAGAATGAAAAGGTAGTCTTATTTAATTTCCTTCCCTGCAAGGCATGTATGTCAATTATGTATGACTTGTTTGAAATTCTGTGGACGGATAATTGAGAAATTAATTTATGTGGAATGTCAACATAAGGAAGTGGTACCCTTGTTTAATTTCCTTGAATCAGTGCCTGCCTGTTAATTATGTCTGACTTGGTTGAAATAGTAGCAAGTATTGAGAATTTATTCATGTGCAACCGTTTTTAGAAATACTATGTATCAGGTCATTCTTTGTTTTTTTTTGTCCTCTCTTCTTAATGAAACATAGGAAATTGTACTTTACAGTCTTCTCATGCTGCTCCATGTTCTGTGCAAACATCATGCAGCCCTCTGATGTCAAAATGGGTACAATGATGGGGGTATTTGTACCATGCTTACAAAGTATTTTGGGTATAATCTACTATATCCGTTTTTCTTGGTAAGTCCTATGTACTGATGTTAATTTTTTAACTTGTGCATCACCTTTATTTTGTCTCAGTATGCATGTGGGGAAGTGCATGTGCAAATATAAATTGAATGTGTGCTTTGTTTCTAATTAATGGTGCTATTTTTTAATTTTAAGCTGATATTCTTTTCAATAATTTGAATTTCACAAGATATTGTTGCATTATATTTGATATATGTGCTACAGACATATATTTGGGTCCTTTTCTTTTTATGGTATAAGAAGAGGATTTTCAGTCAAGAAAAAAAAGAATCAATCCTGACTTATGCCCTGGAACGGTTACATATGCAGTAAAATGGGTAGATTTGGTAATTTTGGTTGCTAAGGTTCATTTGTGTGAATTGCAGGATTATTGGTATGGGTGGCATTGGCGAATCACTGCTGTTGGTATCATTTTGTGGTCTGTGTACTTTCTTGACAGGAATATCATTGAGTGCTATTGCAACTAATGGAGCAATGAAGGTACACATTTGTTACTATTATATATCCTTGACAGTCATTTTTCAGTTCACATATTGCTCTGATATCATAGACATCGTGATGTCTTAAGTGGATGGTTCACTTTGGAGTTGAATTCTGGTGTTGTTACCTCAATTTTGGAGATTTCTGTCACTAACTAATTGTGTGCCTGAATTTAATGATTTTCTTGTTAATTACTGCTAGGGTGGTGGTCCATATTATCTCATTGGCCGTGCCCTTGGTCCCGAGGTTGGAGTTAGCATTGGATTATGTTTCTTCCTTGGCAATGCAGTTGCAGGAGCTCTGTAAGTGTATCTTCTGGTCCTTTTCTCTATTTTTATAATACTATTTTGTGCATAGCTTAAGGATGTAATATAACGGAATTGCTTACCATGAATTCTGCTATCTTGATAGCATAATGTATTAAGTATTTAACAACATTTTCTACTCATTCTAATACTGGTATCTTCCATGTGCTTTTGGTTGTGGTTGTAGTTATGTGTTGGGAGCTGTAGAAACCTTTCTAAAAGCTCTCCCTTCTGCGGGGATTTTTACTGGTAACAGTTAATTACTATTGACAGCACAAGAGTCATTTTGTTTTATCTTTATAATCTTTTTACTTTTTCTATTTCTTCTAATTTATTTATTACTTTAAAGATTTTGAGGCTCTTGTCTCGATGCTTGTTGTTCTGGTCTTTAGCTGATAACTTAGTTATGTATGGTACTTACTGGTTTTTGGTAGCAATTAGTCACGGTAAAGATTCAAAAGTGTTAAAATGAATCTTTTACCAATTCATTTCTAATATCCTCCTTCATGCAATGCAGAGACCACCACAAAGGTGAATGGCACGGTATCAGAACCAATAAAGAGTATAAGTACACATGACTTGCAAATCTATGGGATTGTTGTGACTATCATCCTTTGCATTATTGTGTTTGGTGGGGTGAAAATGATCAATCGGGTTGCCCCTGCTTTCCTTGTGCCCGTTTTATTCTCAGTATTTTGCATATTCATTGGGGTTTTTTTGGCGAAGAAGGATGACCTTGAATGTTAGTGTCTTATATTTTTTTTGCCCTCTATGTCCCTCTCTCTTTCTCTCATTTTGCCTCTGAGAACAAATTGCACAGTTGATTCCTTACAACAGTGCCATATTGCTTGGTGCAAGTCATATGTCATTCCTCAAAATCTATCTAAATTTTTCCTTTGTTGAGTGTGCATGTTATTCTTGTTATTGTGGATATATGAAACGTGTTACTTGTGATGTTTGATACAGCTGGTGTTACGGGCTTAAGTTTGGAAAGCTTTAAAGATAACTGGAGTTCAGATTATCAGAATACAAACAGTGCTGGTATCCCTGATGCTGAAGGAAAGGTGCATTGGAACTTCAAGTAAGAATCTTCAAGGCCTCCTAGCATTGTACTTACTAGAGTTAAATTTTGTTAAATTTGATTGGATTCTGAAGTTGTACATGATCAAAGGATGAGGTACTATTTCTGGAGGACTAGTTTGTCTCTTGATTGTGTTTAATTCCTGTTGTTGATCCTACAGATATGGCACCAATAAGCACACATTCACCTAATTGTATTGAAAATTGTTTGATAATGGAGGTCTGGAGGAAACAGATTCTAAGCATAATAGGTGGCCATACTGCTAATCTAAAAGGGGAAAACAAGTTCATCCATCTCCCTCCACCTATCTAACTATCCAAAGAAAAGGAAAATGTTGTTCCCCTACTATCAAATTTTGATATGTTTTAACCACAAACTTTTTTTCTCAAAGCTGATGAAATGGATGTTTTTCTTTTATGGAGTTTCTAACTCTTTGTTTGTTTATATGCTTCTTCAGTGCATTGGTCGGTCTCTTTTTCCCAGCCGTAACTGGAATCATGGCAGGTTCAAATCGATCAGCCTCACTTAAAGACACTCAGCGTTCAATCCCCATTGGGACATTGGCAGCCACACTTGCCACTACTGGTCTCTATCTAGTTTCTGTCTTCCTTTTTGGAGCTGTTGCCACCAGAGATAAGCTTTTGACTGACAGGTATCATATTTTCTTGTCTCACATTAAAATTCTCCATGGATTATACTGGTATCATTTCCCTTGTGCATTCTTTTTCTTAGGATTTAAGGTTTAGATATTGTTGTAATGCTAAACCACCTTTGATGCAGGCTACTTACTGCTACAATAGCTTGGCCTTTCCCGGCTATCATTCATATTGGAATTATTCTTTCAACTTTGGGTGCAGCTCTTCAAAGCTTGACTGGTGCCCCTCGCCTTCTTGCAGCAATAGCTAATGATGATATTCTTCCTGTTCTCAATTACTTCAAAGTTGGAGATGGCAGTGAGCCTAACATCGCCACCCTCTTTACTTCTATTATCTGTATGGGATGTGTCATTATCGGGAATCTGGATCTTATCACCCCAACTGTAACTATGTTTTTCCTTCTATGTTATACGGGTGTGAACTTGTCTTGCTTCCTTCTGGATCTTCTAGATGCTCCCAGTTGGCGTCCTCGGTGGAAATTTCACCATTGGAGCCTCTCTCTCCTTGGAGCATCACTTTGTATAGGTATGTTTCATTGCATACTGTGCGATCTTGGATTTAACATTGTGTCCCTTTAAGTTAAAAAAATCCTATATATTAGCATGCAGTTGTGCATTGTATTTTCATTGGAGCCTGATGCTAACATCTCTTTTGTTTCCTTTCGTTTGTTGTAGTGATAATGTTCTTGATCTCATGGTCATTCACTGTAGTGTCTCTGGCCCTTGCCAGCCTCATATATTATTATGTGAGCATTAAAGGAAAAGCTGGGGACTGGGGGGATGGTTTCAAAAGTGCATATTTTCAATTAGCCCTTCGCAGTCTTAGATCCCTGGGAGGTACTTACATTATGTATATCTTAACCATTTGTGTGTCTCCATGTATATGCATGCTCTACTTGTATTTTGTGCATATAGGCATAAGCATGCCTCTTGTGTTCCTGTATTTGACATATTGTTTTGTTTTGTAGCAAACCAAGTTCATCCAAAGAACTGGTATCCCATTCCTCTCATATTCTGCCGGCCTTGGGGTAAGCTGCCAGAAAATGTACCTTGCCATCCGAAACTTGCTGACTTTGCCAACTGCATGAAGAAGAAAGGCCGTGGAATGTCCATATTTGTCAATATACTAGATGGGGACTATCATGAACGTGCTGAAGATGCCAAGGCTGCCTGCAAGCAACTTGATACCTACATTAACTACAAGAACTGTGAAGGTGTTGCAGAAATAGTTGTAGCACCCAATATGACTGAAGGCTTCCGTGGAATTGTGCAGACCATGGGTCTTGGCAACCTCAAGCCCAATATTGTAGTTATGCGATACCCAGAAATATGGCGTCGTGAGAACCTGAAAGAAATCCCAGCCAGATTTGTTGGTATAATTAATGACTGTATTGTTGCAAATAAGGCAGTTGTCATCGTCAAGGGCCTTGATGAATGGCCTAACGAGTATCAAAGGCAATATGGTACCATTGATTTGTATTGGATTGTGAGAGATGGCGGTCTCATGCTTCTTCTGTCACAGCTTCTTCTTACAAAAGAGAGCTTCGAGAGCTGTAAGATTCAGGTCTTCTGCATTGCAGAGGAGGATTCAGATGCGGAGGGCCTCAAGGTTGATGTTAAGAAGTTTCTATATGATCTTCGGATGCAAGCTGAAGTGATTGTTATAACGATTAAGTCATGGGATGTGCAAACAGAAGGTGGATCTCAGCAAGATGAGTCATTGGAGGCATTTACCGCTGCTCAGCAGCGGGTAGCTGGTTACTTGGCAGAAATAAAAGCAGCAGCAGAAAAAGAAGGGACCCCTTTGATGGCTGATGGAAAGCCTGTAGTTGTGAACGAGCAACAAGCGGAGAAGTTTCTCTATACAACTCTGAAGCTGAATTCAACAATATTAAGATATTCTAGAATGGCTGCAGTCGTGCTTGTAAGCTTACCGCCACCTCCTGTCAGTCACCCAGCTTACTGCTATATGGAGTATATGGATTTGTTGGTAGAAAATGTGCCGAGGCTTTTAATGGTAAGAGGGTATCGTAGAGATGTTGTAACTCTATTCACATAGTTTCCTGAGGATTGAATCGTGACTGTAATTGTGTTAGTGTTCATATAGGTTTTTTCCATTGATTTGTTGTAGTCAAAGTGTTACATTCATTCTTTTCAGCCATTCCGGTCAGTGGCTCTTTTTATTTTCTTTGAAATTTTTTTTACGGAATCTGTCCTTTTGCGTAGGGTTGAGCCCGAAGTTTTAACTTCTTCTGGTCTGGATCGACTGACATTCAATGGAGAATCAAATTTCTGTATTGTTGCTTTGTAGGCCATAGTGGATGGGTTCATTTTTAATTCCAACAAAGGGAAAGAGAGGCTCAAGTCCATTTACCAGCTGTAGTTGCCAATTTGGCCACTCGCAATAGTTTCTTTATCCTGTCTCTGCATTATGTTCTCTGGAAATTTGAAACTCAATTGACGGTGATAAACGAAATTCACAAAAAAGTTGCTAAGATTAAATTAATTTACAGGATAACAAACCACGCAAATTTCGGAAATGAATGTAAAAGAAAGTTGTAGAAGAGAAGCAAGAATTGTGAAATTCATCCATCCATCCATCCATCCAGCATACCGTAATACAAATTACGCAATGATCATGGAGCAGTTGATGTATCTGATGAAAGCTCAAAGCTGGACATACCATCGTATCCACTCTTTCCACCCCGCCAACCGCTTGCTATTAGTCCAATGGTAGAAACTTTGGAATCTCCCAAAGTATCACACCTACTACCCTCTTTTTGAAGGCTACATATCCATCACACTAATCTCCATTTGTTTACTACTACTAATAATAATAATAATTGTTCATATATCCTTCGTCTATTTGATTCCCGTTTGTATTATATGCTGTGTACGTACACGGCTATGTAAATCTAATCAAGTTGTAATTTAAAATTTTGTGAATACTATAACGCTTCTATATATAATTAATTATACATCAAAAACTAGACAATCTACTTGTTTCTCTACCCCTATTTCTTGAAAACCATTAAAAATTATACCTAATGGTGGGGCAGAGTGGTGGGTTCGGCTCGTAGATTTGTCAAGGTCGACGTACGAAACATGGTTGGGTGTTTCGAACTTTCCAAAGCACGTTGCTGTGACTGTCCCTGTTTTCCTTTAGAGGTACATGAATATGCATTTTAACGTTAAATCATATATATATATATATATATATATAATCACTTCATGATGGGATTAATGGGTAAGAAATTAGTTAGGGTTCAATCAATTTTCAGCTTGTTAGACATTTATCCAATGTTACAAATCAATAAATCGCTCTTTTGATTTCAGCTGTTGCTTGGCTAGAGATGGAAGGTGAGAGCCGTGCATGGCAATGGACCTCAACAAATGCAAAGATGACGTCCAAATACATGTAGTAGAGTAGAGCCCGACAACTTTGCACCGTCGACAATCGCTCTTACTTGGTGATTTCCGCTAATTATTCGGGAAAACATCAATTACAGACCATTAGGACATTAATTCCCCGCCTTCTCAGTTTTTTCAGTTATTTACGACACTAAAACAAAAATGTAAAGACTGTGTAACTTACTGTCTTCTCTTGACTTTCAAAATGAACAAGAAACAACCTTTTCACTTTTTACGCTTCGCCATGTAAAACTCTCACGTGCTCTCACAGATTTCCCTCGTTCAACTAGAAAAAAAGCTCCTCTTTCTTCTTCTTCTCACACTGCTATCAGAAGCCACCGCTAAAAAATTCTCAGGCGATCGGATAAATTCTACTTTAAACGAGGTTATTTTCCGTCTAGATCGTTAATATTTTGTTTTGTTGTTTAAATACACACACACACATATATAGGTCTTAACGTGGAATCTCTGCTTCCATTGTGTTTGGTTTATGAGAAAAGGTGAGAATTTTTATTAAGAGCATTGGTTTTTACTTTTTTTTTTTGGTGGAAAATAGGATGGGTGTGGACGGTGCAATTGGAGACGAAGGGGTCAGGAGAAAAGGATGTTCATGCACAAAAGACGATTTTCTACCTGAGGAGTCGTTTAGGAGCTGGGACAACTATGTCCAAGCGCTCTGGGAAACTCCCACTCGGTTCATGGACCGGATGCTCACCCGATCACTTGACTCAACAGAGCTCCAGGAAATCAAGGCTCGGAGCCAACATGAGATGAAGAAGAACCTCTCCTGGTGGGACCTCATTTGGTTCGGTATCGGTGCCGTCATAGGCGCCGGCATTTTCGTTCTTACCGGACTCCAAGCCAAAGAAGTCGCAGGCCCCGCTGTGGTTTTATCTTACATGGTGTCCGGTGTCTCCGCCATGCTTTCCGTGTTTTGCTATACTGAGTTTGCTGTTGAAATTCCTGTTGCAGGTAAAAGTACTATAGTAATTATCCATTATAACTAATTTATTTATAAATAAAATGTCAGTTTTTGATAAAATTCAGCTTGGATTTTTATTTTTCTTTTGCCAATATTTATCTAAAATTACCTCTTTTTTTTTTTTTGGAATCAGTTGCTCGTCACTGAGTTCAGTTTTGATTTTATCTGTATAGGCTTTGAAGAATCTTTACTTAGTTACCCAGTAAAAAGTTAAAAAGAGTAGTAAAGAATCTGGCTGAATATTCAATATCCCATGAAATTCTGGCCCCTCAATTTTGGCATAGTAGCAATGTTGGTGGGAAATGGCCGTTTTGGGCATAAGGGAATGGTCGAGAATTTTATTAATTAATGCCTGATCCAGGATTTTGATTCATGGAAGAACACGACATTGGAGATATGAGCATGCTAATATTGCAAAATGTTCTTTTTTTTTTCAGGTGGCTCGTTTGCCTACCTTAGAGTGGAGTTAGGTGACTTCGTGGCCTTCATTGCTGCTGGTAACATTCTCCTGGAGTATGTTATTGGGGGGGCTGCAGTGGCCCGGTCGTGGACTTCCTACTTTGCCACCCTCTGTAATCACCAACCTGATGATTTTCGCATCGTAGTCCACAGCATGCCCGAGGACTATGGCCATCTTGATCCTATTGCCGTTGTTGTCGTGTCCATCATCTGCGTCCTTGCTGTCCTCAGCACCAAGGGCTCATCACGCTTCAATTACATTGCTTCCATCATCCATGCTGTCGTTATTCTCTTCATAATCGTTGCTGGCTTTTCAAAAGCGGACACCAAAAACTACAGCAATTTTGCTCCCTTTGGTATTCGTGGTATTTTCAAGTCTTCGGCTGTGCTTTTCTTTGCATATGTTGGTTTTGATGCTGTTGCAACAATGGCCGAAGAGACTAAAAACCCTGGTCGTGATATCCCTATTGGTCTTGTTGGCTCGATGGTAATAACCACTGCTGCATATTGTTTGCTTGCTGTAGCATTGTGCCTAATGCAACCATTCCAGCAGATTGATAAGGATGCCCCATTTTCAGTAGCATTTCAAGCTGTGGGGATGTCATGGGCTAAGTACATTGTTGCTGCTGGTGCATTGAAAGGCATGACAACCGTTTTGCTCGTCAGTGCCGTTGGTCAAGCACGATATCTCACACATATTGCGCGAACCCACATGATGCCACCATGGCTAGCACAAGTCCATCCAAAGACTGGGACGCCAATAAATGCCACCATTATCATGCTTACTGCAACAGCAGTTATTGGCTTCTTTACAGATCTTGGGGTTCTTGCCGATCTTCTATCCATATCAACATTATTCATCTTCATGCTTGTGGCTCTTGCTCTTCTTGTTCGCCGTTATTATGCAAGTGGTGAGACAACAACAGCTGACCGTAACAAACTAATCACTTGCATTTTGCTTATTCTTGGGTCTTCAATTGCAACAGCTACTTATTGGGGTCTAAGTGACGACAATGATTGGATTGCTTATGTGATTACAGTGCCAATTTGGTTCTTAGCTACTCTGGGACTCCGTGTTTTCGTTCCGCATGCTAGGAATCCAAAACTATGGGGTGTCCCATTGGTACCATGGCTGCCATCGGCTTCCATTGCAATTAACATTTTCCTGCTGGGGTCAATAGATGGGGCATCCTTTACAAGGTTTGGTATATGGACTGTTGTGCTGTTGTTTTACTATTTCTTCTTCGGATTACATGCATCTTATGATACGGCTAAGGAATCAAGAGAAAATAAGATTGGAGATGGCTGGAAGAAAGTTGAAGAAGGTGTTGTGTCTTCAGATGCCAAGTGAACTAGCAATTCTTCTACAAATTCTAGTAAGAGTACTGTTCGTTTTTGTCAAGAATGAACAATGCGTGTGTAGTTGGGATCTTCTTCTATTGACTATATTTTGAAATTTCTTACTCGAGGACAAAACCGTTCGTTTAAACAGATGAATTTCTCAGTTTGTGGCAGGTTCCTTTAATAGTTCACTCATCACTGTGAACAAAGATCGTATTGAAAAAGATTTTGAACTTTGAATGTTTTAAGCAATTACATGCTTTCCACACTGGTTAGCAAGTAAGCAACATTGGTTTGTCCAACCTCCTCTCACATGAAGAGTGAAGAAATTGATCTCCTTCTAATTTCTTCCCCAAATAATCTGTAATAATTCAGGTTGCTTATATAATTAATCAACAAAAAAAGTTCAGATGCTGAAAATTTTTATTTGTTTATACCATGTTAAACCAGCAGCCTTGCAAGAAGGCAACCTGATTATAATAGTATTATATGATTACCAGAGCTTCAGTTTCATGCATATTATTATAGCAAGGATCATCTAGAACTCATATTGAAAGATGAAAAAACTAGAAAGGTTGTTTGCTTTAATCTTTAAAAAAGAAAATAATTTTAGAGTCGTTTATTTTTTACCTAATCTTTCCCAACCCAATATTCAGTATCCACCATCACTTGTTTGTTCATCAATATATCATTTTGGTCTTTCGTTCTGAAAGATGATGATGCCTAACTACAATTAATTAATATTTAATTAGCTTTAGGAAGTCTATATAATAAGGGAAGATCAGTCTACATATATAATTATTAAAATTAATATATGTATAGTAGCCAAAAGAAGATGATTTAACAAAGAAAATTTATATGGGAGGAGTTGACTGAAAATCAATAATGCAAAATAAAGTTCTTTAACCTTTGTAAAATGTTTGGAAGTGGGTTGGTGGAGGAGGTCAAAATTCTTCCAATAATATATATATATATATATATCAATAATTATATGTAAAAATAACTCATCCAATATTTATGATCCTTAATTATATATGAATTCTATTCTATGGCGAATAAATTAAAAGCCATATATGTGTATAGGCTGAGCTGGCACTTGAAAGAAACTTTAAAAATAAAATCTAAGTTTGGTAGCTGTTTATGAGAAATTAGTTGTTCTGCAAACTGAAACGGCAACTTATTATTTCTCTATGGCTTAAAAATAATTGTTTTTCTTTCTTTCTTTTTTTATTTATTACTTTAGGTTTTGATCACTTAAATTAAAATTTCAGTTTTTTATTGGCAAATCATAAGTATACAAGTTATATTATTTTCTTTTAGGTTAAAAAAATTAATGTCTTAAAGTAAAAAAAAAAAAAAAAAAAAGAATTACAAAATTTGAAGTCCAGTTGCACATAGATGAGAGGACTCTTTCTAAATGGTGTACTAGAGCTAGCTAGATATATACCAACAGATATAAAAGGACCAAAGGCAGCGTCACAAAATTCTCACGGCAAGATAGAAAATTTTAGTTATTGATAAATAAAATTAATTTTTATATTAATTTTATTTATATTTTAAATAATTATATTTAAATAAAATAATTATCATACGATAAATAATCATAATTATTTGAATATAAATAAATTATTATTCATAATAATTATAATTATACAAAAAATTATAATCATTTGAATAAAATTTTATATTTATTCATTTATTATAAATAAAATTTTCAATATAACTATTTCTATTACTTTTTTTTTGTTTAAAAAGTTTTAAAATTTTATTATATTCTAAAAACATATTTATTTTTAAAACAATATTTTTCACCTCTCAAAATCAATATTTTTTCTATTTTTTTCCTTATTTATTTTTCACATATATATTTGGCCTTCACCATTTTTTTTTACCAATCCTGTATAGTCTCATTGTATATTTAACAGGCTTTAAAATATATAGCTGTTTTTCATCTGTTCGTGATCTCCAGCTTTTAATATCACCTTCAAGCTTTTCAAGGTATGATTTCTTTCTCTTTCTCTTTGCTCTCTCTGTTTCAGCAGGCACACACACGAAATCATGCTTTCTTTTCTCACAACAAAGCATTTTTATTTTATCTGCTGTAGAAAGAAAAACCAAACGAACCTATTCTGATACTGACCAAAACAAATCTGTCAAGGAAGAAAAAATTATGCATGCAATCTGCTTTCTGCCTTCCCATTTTATTAATTTTGTCAAAAAAATCATTGAAAAAGAAAAACAAAACAAGTCATGAAGGCTTTGATTTTATCAAACTGTCACAAGTCAATTGCGCTTTAATTTAGGCGACTTAGATGGGAATAATCTTATCAGTTCTAGAAAAGACCAAAGAGAACTGAAAGTATTGTGAGAAGAGAGAAGTAACTCTTGTCTGTTGTTGTTTCTTATTTCTTAATTTCCGAAGTATTTCATGGAAAATACCTTAGAAGCCCACATATACCATATTCACAAGAGTTCCCAATCCTAAATACATATGCCAATAAATCAACATTTTCATATTAAAAGGCCAAACGACCTATTGAATACCAAGACTCCTTTCAATTGAGCCAGCCTTGCCTTGGATTTGGGCTCTTGGTAGAGCCGAAAACAACCCCAATATGCAAGGTCCCTAGAGCCATGAGGCTGGATATGGGTCTTGCTCAAACCAACCCATTCTTAATTATAACAATGATTATGAAACTGATATTCCAAATAGTCTTTAATAACGATATCTGTTAATTATTCGTTTTAATTCCTCATTACTGGTAGTACATTTTACTTTTTTTTAGAGTACTAATGGCGACTGAAACTGATATTGGTGGAAATCATAATGGGCTCAAGAAGAGGGGATGTGGTTGCACAAAACAAGATTTCTTACCAGAAAAGTCATTTCAGAGTTGGACAAGCTATGTCAATGCATTGTCTGACACAAAATCTAGGCTTAAAGACCGTCTACTGGCACGTTCCATGGACCACGTAGAGCTAAATGAAATGCGAGCTCGTAGCCAGCATGAAATGAAGAAAACTCTGAATTGGTGGGACATGATTTGGTTTGGCATGGGAGCTGTAATGGGTGCTGGAATATTTGTCCTCACTGGCGAAGCTGCTAGGAATCATTCGGGTCCTGCTGTTGTGGTTTCTTATCTTATTTCAGGTGTGACTGCTCTGATCTCAGTTTTGTGTTACACTGAATTCTCTGTTGAATTGCCTGTTGCGGGAGGGTCATTTACATATCTTAGGGTTGAGCTTGGTGATTTCATTGCTTATATTGCCGCTGGAAACATCCTGTTTGAGTATGCGGTAGCTGGTGCTAGTGTGGCAAGATCCTGGACTTCTTATCTAGCTACTTTGTTCAACCGTAACCCCAATAATTTTCGCTTTCACGTTTCATCCTTTTCTGAAGAATACAGTCATTTAGACCCTATTGCGGTCGTTGTTTCAGTACTTGTTTGCATTGCCGCATGTAAGAGCACCAAAGGGTCGTCGAGGTTCAATTCTATAGCCACCATTATCCATCTAATAGTTTTGCTTTTCATTCTCATTGCTGGTTTAACCAAGGCTAGCCCCAACAATTTTTCAAATTTTGCCCCAAATGGAATACGTGGTATTCTGAAAGCTTCCTCCATTCTCTTCTTTGCTTATGTGGGGTTTGATGGAGTAGCAACCCTTGGAGAAGAGGTTAAAAACCCCGGACGAGATATTCCGATCGGCTTAATAGGCTCCATGTTGGTTATCATAACGGTGTATTGCCTTCTGGCAGCAACATTGTCCTTGATGCAACCATACTACCAAATTGATGTGAATGCACCATTTACTTTGGCATTCAAAGCCGTAGGCATGAACTGGGCCAACTATTTTGTTGCATTAGGTGCATTGAAAGGCATGACCACGGTTTTGCTAGCCAACTTACTCGGCCAAGCTCGTTATTTCACACACATAGGGCGCACCCATATGGCTCCACCATTTCTTGCAACCATTAACGAGAGAACAGGAACACCGGTTAACGCTACAATCGTCATGACCATCTTAAATTCCATTTTGGGATTCTTCACAAGCCTTGAAGTGCTGGCAAACCTTCTTTCCTTAGCAACATTGTTTATTTTCTCATTTGTTGCATTGGCGCTTTTAGTTAGACGGTACTATGTTCGAGGTGAGACAACTAGCTCTGACAGAAACAAGCTGATTGGATTCCTGGTGCTGATCATAGGATCCTCAATCGCTAGTGCTGCATATTGGGCGCTAGGAAAGAATGGATGGATAGGGTATGCAGTGACAGTCCCAATTTGGTTCCTTGCAACGCTTGGGCTAAAACTGATGGCGAAGGAAGCAAAGAAACCAAAGCTATGGGGGGTGCCACTAGTACCTTGGTTACCATCAGCTTCTATCGCCATTAATGTGTTCATCATGGCCTCAATCGATGGGGCGTCGTTTGTGAGATTTGGAATCTGGACATTGCTGTTGCTGGTCTATTATATTTTCATTGCACTGCATGCTTCGTATGATGCAGCTAAGGAGACTGAAAGATCAGCTACAGCAGCAAGCCCCGAAACAGAGGCCTAGGGGGAATTTGTTTAAACTTCTGAGGTCACTTAGAATGCAACTTGTATTGGATCACATTGCGAAATTTCAAGGGTTTATAATATATTTTTTTTGTTGGTCACATTTTATTCACTTAAAGTACTTGATAAACATTAAACCCATATGATGCAGCTTCATGATTGGATGTATAGACTTAGCCAGTAACCTTATTGCGTTAAAAATATAATTTTATGCCAAGAATTTCAACTTGATTTAACTCCAAGTCTAACACACTGATATCTAAGAAGAAAAATTTATGGTTCTGAAGCATGGAGTGAGGGTACGGAGCGAAAAGAGTTATCCATGTTCAAAACTACTGAATCATTGATCATACAGAATCTCCAAGCAATCTTGTTGGAAGAGATTTTCGAACCTAAAAAGAGTTTCTCGTGGCCTCTTTAACGTTTAAACTTTGATCCATTCTCAAACTCGAATGGAAGACGTTCACATCTTTAAGCCAACTGCTTTTCGTCTTACAGCCAATAGATTATCATTCAAATTATGATATATATAATAAATGAAATACCACCTTCGCCCATGTTTTGAACAAGGAACGCAGCACAATATTGCTTACACGCAAAAAAACCATTAAGAGGGCAATATTGACACCTATAAAAATGAGAAAAAAATTTGTGGGAAGAAAGGGAAAGAAGAAAAGAAAAAACCTTTGGTGAGAGAAATCACAGAGCGAAAAGCCTAGAGTCGAATGCTTTTTGATGCGTTTACATTTTCTGACCAAATTTATGTGTCTATTTTGAGGAGAGAATTGAGGGATGTACTATTAAACCGCTGAGCAAGACCACGGATCACAAGGACAATAACATCCCTGGGGTGTCGTGAATGCACCATGAGGTCTACTTCATTCTCGCTGTCCACCACAATTCTAAGTCGACGTTGGTCATTACCAAAAAGCTCCACCTGCCACAACTTGCACCCTTAGATTTTATGAAAAATAATGAACTTGGAGAAGAATGGCATACAATGCTGAAACAGATTGAATCGTCTAAAATTTCAGTACCCCATGCTTAACAGCCCCGGAATCTTTTCTCCCACCCTTCAAAAGAAGTTTCTTTTGTTTCTTTTTTTCAGAAATGCTGGAGGTCCTTAAATAGATTTAAAAACTCATATAATCCTATAATTTAATGGACCAACTAGAGGAGAACAACTATGGATTGCACAGTCCAACAGATATAAAATTAGCTCTATAAAGAAACAAACTTACATGAAAAGGAGGAGCATAGCTTCCACGTATTTCAGTAGTAGGAAAAGAAGTCTTTGAACCTGGCTTCACAACCTTGATTCGTTTTCTATTAATTTCGAGGATTCTTCTCTCAAGACACCCTTCTCCTAGAACCTGCAAAATAATAATGATAAAATAGATCATTTTTTTCTTTCTGAAATAGAATAAGCATATATATATATATATATATATATATATATATATATATATATATGAATGCAAAGAGAGAATATGAAATAAGAACCTTTTTTGGATTGCGGTCCTTGTCACATAATACCTGTTCCATAGATTTTGAAGCCGTAAGTCTACGAAATTGAAAAGTATAAACAAACTCTGCCAGTCCATCTGTCAAGTCACATTGTCTTTAAGTTTTTTTTTCACTTTGATTATTTCTGTGGTATATTTCCAGTTAATTCCCTATTTTCATCTCCTTTATTTGGTTTGTAGTAATTATCAAACTTTTCTAAAATTTACATAACAGCTATCTAAAAATAAATAAATAAATAAAAGCATTTGTTTGGGGCTTCACAAAATTCATAGCAAGGAATGTCCTAAATTATTCTTGTGACTTTTGAAGTTAAATAAGGAAGATCGTGTACTTATATATTCATAGTAACAAATTTTGAAAGATGCATCAATACCACGACACAAGCGGGTTAAAAAATAGTTACCATGGTGAAAAGAAATACACAACATTAGAAAACAAGGAATATAATCTCACCTCAAACTTCACAGATGCAAGATCAAGCTTCTGTTTCACTTCTTTATAAACATCAGGCTCTGCAATTTAGACAATGCCCAAATAAACAAAAGCATAGACACATAAAATACGGTAAAGATGAAGAAAAATTGTCCAATAGTTCTAAATACTAAGAAGGAAAGTCTGAAAAGTTATCTAACACCAACTAAACCCATCTCCGGGCAGTGCTCAATCAAGCCACATAAGGTTAATTTGCCCAAGTAGAATGCGATGAAAACTTCCATGAATTAAAAAAAAAAGGTTACCACTCAACATGTTAATTTAAACAGAAAAGAAAATTCACAACAAAAAACCTTTAAACACATTTTTAAATTAAGCATTTTTATCTGCATAATATATGTTGCACAAAATAATATAGAATTATGCTTTAAAAACAATTTTAAAGCTGGACAAAGATCAAGCTAAATCTAGGTTTCTATTTGATTGTATGCTACATATTACTGAAAAGCTGTTCATTTAACTTTTTTTTTTTTTTTGGGGGGGGGGGGGGGTGGTGAATGGTGATGGGTAGTTTACAACATTAACACTGGTAATACTTATTGGTTGAAAAAGCAGGAAGAGAGCTTCAGAATTACCAACTGCAATTGGTTCTGTTGATGCAGAGATAGGTTGCCCCTCAATGCCATCCTCTCTTATTGGTGTATAAATAGCAACCAACCTGTACCCGACATCATCAACATTAGCTTCATACATCCTCCCCGTTTTACCTGCAGGATCAGACAATCTTTCAGAACAAATATATAAAAGGATTGGAAACTTGACATCCTGCTTTAAAGTTGTCAGCACATAGCCAGGCAGTAAATTCTTTTTTTTTTCTGCAACTTCCTATAAAACAAAATCAAAAGTAGCTCTTTGAACTGCAATCAGGGTATCCCTCACTCACTGAACCCCGATTATATAACATTGAAAACAAAAGTCTCCAAAGCAGTTGGTGTTCTGATTGATATACTAACATCAAATTTAAAAACTAATTCAGGGTTGCTTTGATTATGTTTCACCTGCATTGCTGATTTTAACCCTAATTTAAGAGGTTATCATAAGTCTCTGCTGCAAAAATAAAAGTTTCCTAGTAAAAAATTATATTCTCGACTTTTGACTAGAAACAAGGGCAAAAAATAGATTCTGCTGGCATCCAATGATTGGAAATTTCAACCAACCAAGCATGTAAACATCTAAAATCTTTAGCAGACCCAAGGATATAGAATACCTGGTATGGAGATAAGGTCAGGACTGCCCACCATTGACCTAAGCCACTGAATTTTACTTTTTCCTTCTTTTCCTCCAGTATAAGTGCCACGTACAGCATATAAATTGGTGTGAAAGCCCCTCCCTTCAATCTCTAGCTTATCAATTCTAGGAATCCCTGAAGATAAAGAGTCCTTCAGTATCCAATAAAGAACAGATGAAAAGAATAAATTAATAAATGATTCTTAATATAAAAAACAACAGAACTAATCATAATTCTTATATATGGTAGTGTTTGATATCTTCAATCTTTATTAACTTATTCCTACCATAATTTTTATATATGGTAGTATTTGATATCTTCAATCTTTATTAACTTATTCCTACAACTTCCTCCTCCCTCCAGTGAGTCAAGCACCTGTTTTACACCTAAAGATTGTGCAACAGGAGTTTTATCCCAATTGAGAACTGGAATCTATATTAACTTTAAATGAATGTTACCCATCAACTTTTGGTCATTGTGAGCAGCTCACATAAAAGTAATTACTCTAACAAACTCAAGACAATTCTATCTTAACAACTGTCTCATTCCAAAAATGAAGATAAATAATTGAATGAGCTATAACCAAATTAATTGGTTAAGCAAGAGAAAATTTCCTTTAGATTGAATAAAATGGGTGAATGTGAAATGCAAAAAACCTGGCAATACAGGAGCAGTCACAGCATATGCTGGTGCACTTGACCTTCCAAACACATCCGTCACAATACATTCACATTTTAGGCATCTACCAATGTCCTCAAACCGAACTTTGAAAGAGCAGGAGCATTGTGAAGGTAAAGGCTCTAAAGATTTTCCATCTCCTGTTTCTGATGAAAAGAACCTGCAGGATCCCTTACGTCACATTTAAAACAAAATGAAATAACAATTGCAGGTATGAGAAAACAAAAAAGGATTTTCCTGCGTGCTCAAAGCTTTTTTATTCTTCAAATTGATTCCCTTCATGATTCAGCTTCAAGTTAAATTTTCATAGAAACAATAAGATTAGGAGACTTTAAAGCAATATTGATTGCTTTAGAATGTTAACAAGATCAAATATGATGTGAACAATACCATTGGTAGCGGACATCTTTCTTGTACTTGCTCCAAACACACTGTTGGATTTCACTTTTTGGAATCACTTCAACAGCAGTTAGTATATCACCTTCTATTGCCTTTCCAGTGAGAGCAAGCATCTCTACCATTGGAAGCTCTGAAAGGCGGGAATTTTTCCAGTTCAAATCAAAATAATGTATTTCACGTTACAAAAATAAATAAATATCTTGTACTTAGCATCAATTAGGATGTGTTCAAGTGCTAGAGGAGGGTGGAGGAGGATTGGATACACATTCTACACTCCACTGGTAATTCTTTCCCTCATATAAAAAGTGCTAGCATCAATTGGTTGCTGATTGACATCTATAACTTAGTTTAATGAAACAAGTAGGGTAACTTGTCAAGTTCAGGCCTCAATAAACGGGCTTCAATTATAACTCACATAATCGAAGCAGAAATATTCAAGGGCAATAAGGGCAGCAGATCTAGACTGGATGGTACAGGAGACACAGGTAGAAGAGAATCTATAACAAACAAATGATGAAATTCTAAAAATCTTCTCAATGAGATAGGAATTCCATATATTCATGCCCTATACAGAAAATCTCTATTTCAAATAATGCTTCCCTTCCCCTAAAACAAAGGCAAATATTTCACTTACCGGGGAGAACAATTTCAGTTGGTTCAGACAGCCTAAGTTCTCCAACAACTGAATCTGAACGAACAGGTGTGTACCTAAGAGAAGCATTTAACAGCTTAAAATGAATAAATACAGCTAAAATTTAAGCAACAAGGCTTCTAAGCTTTGGAGATAAAATTTTACGAGGGTCAATCACTATTTTCTATATAAAAGAAAACTCCATATGTATCCTTTTAACATTCAACAAATTTCTAATAGAAACAAACAAGACAATAAGCAGTAACTTTTAAGTTAAACACAGCACCATATATCAGGTTTCAGGAAAATTATTTGTAAGGACAACATAATTAATACTTTTTTAAGAGAATATCTAACCTCCCAAATAAAAGGAGTATAATGGAACACTCACCCAAACAACAAACGGCTGTTATAATCTGCATAAGTGACCTCATAAGTTTTAGAGTTAGCCCCATTGATGTGAATGATTGTTCCATCATTAGTTTCTCTATACCAACAAAAGAGACTTGATCCCTCATATCCACCAGAATATTCTCCCTCACCAGAATATATCCCTGAAGCCAGCTTCTCCACGCGAACACTAGAGACGACTGGATGTGCTGTAATATTATTCACATTGAATGCCATCAAAAGAAAAATGATTCAAAAGTAATAACAAATGCAGCATTAACATAATATGAACACTCAAAACCATTCAAGCTCAATAAAAAGGCTTAAAACCATGAATATCATTATGGATACCAGAAAACAAAAGGTTGACCATGACAAGATAATGCTTAGTAAAGACTTTGGTTAGCAGATGAATGTTATTCACAATGGAGCAAAAATATATAAAGTATAAATGAAGAATCACGATATACCTGGGATAACTGGTGAGTTGGAAATTGCAACTAATGGCTTTCCAGATCTGCCATCAACACGAGTAGGTAGCCAATGTAATGATAAATAAGCACCCACATCTTCAAGTGATGGGGTATACGAGCTGCCAAAGTAGCAGATATTAACAAATGTTCATTTACAGATGCAAAATGAATTCAGAAATCCAGGAACCTATCACATGATATTAAAACTTACAATGTTTGACAACACATATCAACATCTTCAGAAGTACTAGATATATCTGTCCATGCCAACTCATCCAGCTTAGTCCTTGTTCTATACCAAGTATACACTCCAACACCTTCCTGTCCACCAAAATATGTTTTCTGTGGGATGGCCTCCTGGTTCTCATGGCAATCACGAATGACAAGGTCCAAACCCACTGGATTGGCTGATGCAAGAAAATTTTGGGTGCGGTAAGGGGAATAAGCATGGTATCAAGTGTCCAAATTAAAAAAAAGACAAAAAAAAAAAAAAAAATCAATAATGAGCTGTACAACTCACCAGGAGAAATTTCATCAGATATTATGCTCCTAGGATTCCCTTTGACTCCATCTTTGCGCACGGGAATGTAAACAAGTTCAATTCTTTTTCCCACATCATCAAGATTTAAATCCAGATACTCTGTGAAGATATGCAAGAATTTTGCCCTTGTATCACCTAATGGCTATCCAGAAAATTTAAATTAACATTCAATAACAAAACTCACCATCAATACTTAATTTCTCCTTGACCCGGTTGTTTTTCACTCTAAACCATTCATGGAAACAATCTCCCCTCTCCCTGAATCATGAACAAGGAATTCACTTCAACAATGTCTGATTATTACAAGTAGGATACAAGAATCAGCCCTCATCCATTTCAACAAGAGCTCACCCTCCAATATATGAAGCAATGAAGCTCAAACGCTGTCCCTCCATCATTGATCCGAGAAACTCCAAAGACTGACAAGTAGGGAGACCTACATTTCAAATTTAATTTCCAGATTACATCTATGTCCATTATTAATGGCTGAAATCTTGGAAACTATAAGGTAAACAAATCAATAAACAAAAACAGCAAAAGAATGTTTTAGAAATATCTCAGAAAGTTAACTCTATACCAGCTACTATAGGTCCAATTTGTTCGGAAAGAACAATGGGACCACAAACCCGATCACTTCTCACTGGCTCACATGAGAGTGAAATAAAGAAGCTGATATCATCCACTGACAGCATATATAATGTGGAACTGGCACCCCTAATCTCACATTGCGAACCATCTGAACTAGTCTGCAGATACAAATTCTCGATTAATAAATCACAGAAAGAGCAAATAAAATTCTACAACACAAAAACATGAAAGAAGTCAAATAAAATTACATCTATTTCAGCTTAGAATGCCAGTTATATAATTCATGTGCTTTACAGGCAATGTTTCATGGATACTGCATCAGAGTAAGTAGATAGAAAGTTTACAGAAAAACAGAGTCAAATAATTACCCGAAACCAGTGAAAAACTGAATCTCCCTCCTCACCACCCCAGTACTTTTTGTCAACACTCAAAATAGTTCCTTCAACAGCATCTCCAACTATCTGCAGAGCAAGCAATCTAGGGCTTCCTGGTCATCAAGAAGCACTGTGTATAAGAATCAAATTCAGTTGTTCCAAATTTAACAACCATGGTTAAAACAAATAAATTCTCCTTTAGAAGCAGCAAAAAACAAGCAACAGGAGAAAAAAAAAAAAAAGACCACTCCATTAAACTGCAAACCTGACTGACAGGGGCATTTCAGACATTTGGGCCAACCTGACTGACATGTTCAGTGCCACATCAGCTCAGCCACGTCACTGTTGTCCCCCATAGGTCCCTCGCCTCCTAGCTATAAATATGGACATCTAGGTACTATCACTCCAAGTTCCATCTTATTCTAATTCCTTACTTTTCTCTCCTTCCGACCTCCCTTATTCTGATCTATGACTTGCGCGTCGGAATGCAAACACAGGGAACACTCCCCGCCTTTGCATCTAACCGCTCTTTTCCCTTTCTTGCCTTTCCAAGAATACCCCCAGGTCGGAGCTTGGCACAGACAAGCATATTTTAAGAATCGCATGATTGATAGTAAAAGCACCACATTTTATCAAATACAAATTTCTTCATGCATCCTTTATAATAAATAAAGTTATTTTTTTAGCATAACAGTAAGCTTCCAAAACAAACTAAATTAGAGAGAAGTAACTTATAATGGATTTCAGAAGAAATCAATAAATTAAAATGGTAAATACATTTAAAATGCTCGTTTGAATCAATCTAATACAGTCTAGAACCTATCACCAGAAGAAGCACAAAGCCATCAAGTAGATGAAACCGAGTAAAACAAGACAAATCTTATGGTCCTAAATAACAAACTTATCTTGAGTGTTACTTTCTCCAATTCAACAATTGCTCTTCATTCTCCAATAAAGTAAATGATTAAAGCTACTTATCCCAATTCCTCTACAAAAGTCCAATTAGTTAAATTTAACATGTTGGAGGAAGAAAGGATGCAATAAACTATAATTATACTCTTAAATTTTAAAAAAAATGTTGAGATAAAAGATAAAAAGTTACCAGGACAAACACGTTCCTGTCCCATGCAAGTTCTTGGCTCACCTAATATTCCATCATCACGCATTGGGGTACACTGAAAGGAGATAAATTTACCAATTGCATCTTTGGTTACATGATACTGAAGAAGCCCTGAAACCTCATGAATCAGAGTAGCAGTGTCATTTTCAACCTACAATTCCAAGAACATATAAGTTAGTAAGAGCAAAACTCAGTTAACAAAACCATATGAGAACTCTAGGTAACAGAAATGTATACCTCATGGAGGTACCAATTGTAAATACTTTTCCCTTCATGACCCCCTATGTAGCCATATGATGCAGTCAGTATACTGCCTTCAGTATAATCACCCGTGATAGATAAGAAATTTAGGCTAGGGGGAAGAGCTGCACAGATCAAAAGTATATAGACATGTACATCAATCATATAAGTGAATTGTGGAAACCAAAAGGAAAAAAGGTTGAGATCAAAGAATCAAACGTTAATAGTTAACTAACCTTCCCATGCTTATTATTCCCTTCCACTAAAATCCAACATAATAAGTACAGAAACAGGAAAAAAATTACTTACTCTCCACTGCTCTTTCTGATATAACATATACTGGTTCACCAGATTCACCATCAGGAGTCATCGGAGTATACTTTGCAACAATATAATAGCCAACCGCTCCTAAAGGTATGCGGAATGCCTGAAAAATGGTCAAAGCTCAACTAAAAGTTTGCATCAAGTATAAAATGAGAGGATGAGAGACTTCATGTGCAGATGCTTTAATTACCACCAACCTTGGCAACCTTGGACGTGCTCATAGCTTGAAGGTCATTCTCACCATTGAGTGTCAAAGAAGTCGTCTTAAACCACTGAACTCTGCTTGAACCTTCAGTACCTCCAGTGACAGTACCAGTCACAGTAACCTTACTGTTCTCCCTCAAATCACCAATTATCTTAACATTTGTTACTTTTGGAGGAGCTGGAAATTTTAAAAATAAGGCCTCAAAATAAAAGAAATTAATAACAAGAAAGCAATCATATTGACTACGAATAAATCCTCATCTATAAGGATGACAAACAAGGACCGAAACCTTGATATCATAGCTAATATTAGTCATCCCAAGTGGTAATATCATATGCATAGATAGTAGAGCATAAATGATAAACAAACTGGGAACATAAGAATAGTTTGCAATCAGTATAAGCAGATAAAATAGCTCAACGTATAAATTTAAAAATAATTATTTTAAGGTAACATTCAACAAGTCTAAAATCATACACAAGTGAAATTCCATAAAATATTAGATAGAAGTAGCACTACAATTGTCCTTTAGAGTAATGATAATAGAGAAGTCAGCCACTGGTTGCAGCAGACTCTTATTTTTTTCACAGGTTATGCATGATAAAGAGGATAATAATTTACTCTAAAAGCAACCTGAGAGTTGCCCATAAAAATAAAATTAAATCATTATGATATCAGTTTACTTACTTACCAAACTTTACAGTCATGGGTCTACTACCAGTTTGATAAACAATAATGATAAAATAAACATAACCCTGAAATATCGACAGAAATGAGCATACGTTTCCTCACTGTTCCAGAGACTATTGACACAGATTCCCCTCCCTGTCCTGAAAAATGTGAATACCACCACATTACCATATGATTTACAAGTTGCTTGATGATAAACAAGCATGTAAAACTTCAAACAAGGGGGATGTGAACAAACCCTTGAAGTTTATAGGTATATATTTGAAAGCCAAGCGTCGCCCAACATCTTCTTTGGTCAAAGTATACTCAGATGTACCACTTGTCACCAACAAGAAGTCTCTGTCAACATATTGCAGTAAAAGGATGTGTGAAGAACTCAACTAAAGTAAGGTAATGTAAGAAAACTGTATGAAAATAAAGTTGTGCAAGTCTCTAGACATAATTTTATGAAAATAATGCAATCATCAAAATAAGCCCAAGGTATATTTATAAAGTAGAACGTATACTCACGCACAAACATAAAAGAACCCAAGTGAGCATAAAACTGTATGAAAATAAGGCAACATAACAAACTGTACAAAAGTTATATTGAGTATGAAGATAGACGGAAGTCTTCAGAAACAATCATGTAAAATGACACCAGCCATCAAGATAAAGAAGTCTTCATAAGTTATACATACAAAATAGAAAAAAGAGTCTGCATGTGTTAGAGGATTGCCCATAATAAATATAAAGGGAGAAAGAGAAAGAAAACTGAAATGAACTGTCTGTACACAGAATTAGATTAACTTGAACTTTTAAACAACATAAGAGAAGGATTTTCTTTACTTGTGCTCTTACGTACGCATTGTAAAATTGTACTAACCCTGTCTCCTTATTCTCACATAACCACTCAAACTTGCTGGGACCCTCTCTTCCTCCAAAGTAATTGCCAACTCCTCTGACGACATTTCCTTCTACAGCATCTCCAATAATTTGGACATTACTGACGGATGGAGGAGCTGCCAGCATGATTATAATCATTTAAAATTAGAATTGGAAAAGAAAAGCAAAGCACCAAAGAAGAGGAACAGTAGGGCAAATGCTCCCAATAACATCTAATGAAGTCCACAACTTAGAATCCCTTTGTTGAATTATAAAAACAAAGGAATAGATAAGCAGAGTCAACAGAAATGCAAACCTAATTCTAGTCACAGAGATGCCAAGACTTTGATAAGACATATTATGTCTTTTGAACAATGCCATAACAAAGCATAATGTGCAGCATGCATACAACAATGTGAATCAGGCAATACAAATCCAAACTGCTACTGGAATCACATACAACTGCTATCGAAATAAGTTATCTGCATTAGAAAACAAAAGCATAAATTTAAAAATGAGACCACCAAACAACTTTAATAATGTATTTAAGAAACAAAATTAAATTAAATCAAAGCTGGAACTTGGTAAAACAAGATATATAGAGTTTTTACCACATACCTGCTTTTACAAAATCTGTATGCTTATATTGAGGCTCCCCTTTGGCACCTTCTTCTGTGACTGGAGTATACATAAAGACCAAACTGGAGTCAATGTCATCTATGGTCAATCGATACTCTTCATCCTCTGCTCCAACAATCACCACCGGGCTGCTGTTCCACCTTCTCCTTAACCAGCTGAAGAGTTATCCATAATGTTGATTTAAAACAAATTTCACAAGCAAGCATGTACGTGTATCAATACTAACAAGTCCTGAAACCACTTTAAGATGCATTCTTACCTAGCAACACCCTTCCCAGGGGTCCCACCACACCATGCAACCTTAGCATGACCCTTGATTACATTACCTTCCACCAGTTCCCCGTGCAATTCAAGGTTTACAACCTTTGGAATTCCATTCCCTTCACAAGGCAGAGAAGCAAGCTTTAAAAGTGGAGAAGATAAGATTGATTTGTACAAAGTGAAGAAATACACTGACTGTGTTTGTGTATATGCATATAAATCCACAGACATGCACATGCACAGAGGCATATTGCAAAACAAAGAAGCAAATTGTGGTTTTGATGTGAACCAATAACTACAATTTAAAAATCATCATCATCCTGACATGGGTTAGAAAGCTAAATGCCAAACAGATAAGGAACACCTAATAACAACAGGGCATAGGATATACCTCGTGCAACTGGAGACGATATGGCAAAAATTGGAGGATATTCGGTTTGCCCTAAAACTGGAGTACATTCCACTTTCAAAATTTTATCTATGTCTTCATGTTTAGGCCAGTAAACCTAAATATCACATGATACAGTGATATAATTTAGCCCAACAAAATAATAAAGAAAAAGATGTCATTGTAAGGCATAAGATAGAAGTATTAATTGGCCAAAAAAGATTAAAGCACAAGTAACAGTTTAGCAAGAATCAGTTACCTCCGCATTGGCATCAGGAATAGCAGTGAAATTTGAAAGTGCTCTCTCTCCCAGAAACCATTTATACGTTAAGATTATATCTGGATCGATGCTCAGTGTGCTTTCCTGAACAAAAACAATGTGGCAGCAACAAGCATCCTCTTCAAAAGGTTTGTCAATGGAGGCTTCTTTAAGCAGATAACCGGGAGGAAAATGATCCTTCCATTGCTCAAACAGGAATTGAAATGTTGAGTCTGCTCACAAAACCATACATTAAAATACGCAAGTTCTATAGGAAGCCATGTATAAATGATTTTTACATGAATTTACCTCCCCCCTCCCTTCCCATGCAGAATAATGAGTTATATCCAGCAATCCTAAACTCAGCCAATGTGCCACAAATGGTTTCAGATGAATTAACAAGCGAAAAGTTAAGCACACAATGAATATAAAATGTTAGGATAACTTAAAACATTCCAAGGCCCAACTTTATCTTTATCCCTTTTCTGTTACTGCTGTAACAACATAAAAAAAATCAGAGAAGCATGCTTTCACAAGTACATCTCCCTCCCTCCCCCTTGTTTACTGCCATATGTACCTATTACTAGAATGGCATGAATATCATGCTACTACATTTGTAAATCATATTCACCCTATGTCCACAAAGTGGCATATATGCACTGAAACTTCTCCCAAAACTACTAAGCATCATATACTCAATGAATTATGTAAACTGTTAACTGTACTAAAAATGAAATGCAAGCTCAAAATACTATTGAAAGTACGGCTATTAGCAATAATTTGCATAGCAAATGGTAATAGGGAGTATATTACAAAATACAAACCTGCTGCTTTCTCTGGACGGCAAAACTCCCAACCTTCCCTAAGGCACAAAGCTGTATGTGCAGGATAACGCTTTGCAAGTGCCAGCTCATCTCGGGAAAGATCTATGAGAATATCTAACATTAATCCCAAAGGGAACATTGAAACAAACTAACTTGTAGATAGTCAAAAACAAAGACTCTCTCTGGCTTAGAAATAGTAAATGCATAGAACAAAAAAACACTCTCGAGTTTCCTAAACCAATATATAAATATAACAAAAGTAATAGTACCTCTATCATTAAATTTCTTCATGGTAGGTCCAGCAAGCAAGATGGAAGCTGCTTCCAGATGAGGCATTTTAAGTATAGCGTTCTCCTCCACTCGCAAATGCTGCACCACAGCACAATTAGAAAACAGAATGTGATGTAGTTATGCCAATTTATATTACAAACTCATGGCACTAACTAACCTCAAGAACAGGAAGATAAGGAAAACCCTTTAGAGTTGATATTCTGTTTTTGCTTGCAGCTAAAACCTGTGCAGGAAAATATGAAACAAATTACATCAACAGTATACCATAAACTATCAAATCATTATGAAGCAAACGAATAATAAGCAAACAATTAAAACAGAAAACGAACCTGTAGTCGAGGTTGACTTGCCATTGAAAGAGACTTCAACTTGTTTTGAGCAACAGAGAGAAACTAGAGGAAAAAGGAACAACAAAAAAATGTGCAAATATTTAGAAGGCCGTAATAAAATGTAAACCATGAAACATGATCATCGAAATAGATTATACTTTAAGAGCTCACCTCCAAGTTAGGAAGCTGAGGTAAACTTACAAGTGAAGTGAGTTGATTCCCAGCAAGATATAATTGCTAAAAAAGCAATAAATACATTAGGACCTTAAGCATGGAGTACACCAACATTTGCTCCTGGCATTCAAGAAATAAGTATGCAAGAGAGCCAAACCTGTAGGGCTTTGCAACTCTCAAGAGGTTCAAATCCAGGCCCTTTAAAATCATTAAAGCTCAAATCAAGAACCTGGAAAGAATTTCGTCTAAATCAATTTCCAAGTTATTCATAAATATAAATTTGCGAGTGTAATTCACAACTTAGTCTAAATCTCTTATCAACAGGTGTGTTTTTATGCACATGAGAGACAAAAACGTGCAATTCACAAATTAACAAACCTTCACTCGTGTCAATATCTCAACCCCTTCCAGTGTTGATAAGAGATTGTCTCTCAAATAAACAAACTGCCAAAATAAAAGAATTAGTAGAAGGAACAATAATAGAAAATTCAGGAAAACTTCTCAACTAATATTCTAATATCATCCAAGTCCAACCAATATGAACAGCAAATATGAGACTGTTTTCACTTCAGTTCCTAAGTTCCCTTATCCCCATTTCAAACTTATTTCTAGTTAGTAATTATCAGCAAACATGCGTTACAGTTATACAAAGCTGTAGGAATAAAAATTTATTAAAACATTAATAATAAATTCAAAATCCAGGCTCTCTAACTCTACGTTGAGGAGTTTGCATGTCAAGTTCCCAACAAATTGGACCTAAAAATGGAAAATACCCAAACACCAGAACAACACATAGAAGTCATACAGCAGAAACAAAAGTGCCAAGTCTCTTATTAGACCTTAAATATATGGAAGTTCCAGAGGGCTTTTACATGTGAAAAAAAAAAAGGAAATATTCTGATATGGTAAAGAATTAAATGACATAAATACAAAATTTTCAAATAAGATGAGACGTATTTATATTAGAATGTATGATACAAGAAATAGTTTACCTCTAAATTTTGTGATAAGTTCAAGCCACTAGCATTGAGCTTGTGCACTCTATGGCCCCTAAGATCCAATCTCTGATAACACAATGGGGAAACAAACTGTATCAAATAGAAGCTTAGCCAAAAGAAAAATGACATTTGATGCGGAGTTATTAAAATGCAAGTGTTCATGCATGAGGAAATCAGCAGAAAAATTATGTCCAGGAAACATAGTTGATGAATGACAAGCTTTTCTTACTACAATCATTCTTATAATGGTCACGTTCAGATAGATCTTACAAAGCAGACTAGGTAGTTCCAAGAGCATATCAAGGATAATTTTATCTATTTTTGCAAATGGAAACAAACTTACAGTATGCCGCAACACAACCCAATTGTGAAGTGTTCATGTCGAAATCAACAGAAAAAGCAATATCACAGACACATTAGGTTCTTCATTTACATCATTAATGTAGAGACCAACAAATCCTAGAAAGCAGACTAGGTAGGTCCAGAAGTATTAAAAATATTGATGCATAACTTCACACATGCTCTGGTGTGACAAATATTCTTACCACATCGTCACCAGCTTTAATCTCCACCTGTGGAAGAACAATGAAACGTGAATCTCTACTTTCTGGGTTCACTGCTTTCTTCCGCCCAGATAAATTAGAATTCCTACCCAGAGATGATGACAAAGACCGGGATCTTAAACCACTGGGTACTGTAGGTAATCGAGTGGTTGGAGAAGAAACCTTTGAGATTGTCTTTCTACTTGTGCTACTGGCAGTGCTGTCCAGTGGTGAAGAAGTAATCTTTTTCAAAGAAGAGGATGCTGATAGTGCTGGCTTTACAGCGGACTTTCTCACAGTTTTTTGTATGATTGTGTCAGATGCAGTCGATGTACTTAAACTGCGACCCACCGGTGACACTGGAACCGACTTCCTAGTCTCTGAAAGGTTTGCTCGGAATGTGGGTTTTGTTGTCACTGAAGACGGTGAACTTCTTCTGACTTCTGGTAAGGATCGCCTAACTAACTCGGTAGCCGAAGGAGTGCTGGGTGTGGAGGGTTTCTTGCCTGCAAGGATACCAGCATTGTTTTGCTGTCTTGCACTAGTGGCTAATGACTTCTCAGGCACGCCCCCTGTGCTGTTTCTTCTTGTCACCGCAACAGAAATATATGCTCGCAATGAAGAAGATACAGTTGATCTGGCCGGTGTCGAGACTTTTGACTTTGCTGCTTCACTAGATTTCCCAGATTTAGTAACCTTTTTCAGACTTTCTGCTCGACTTTCTGCAAACGGGTTCTCCAAATGTAGGGGCTTTACCACCGGATCCTCACCAGGTTGTGCTCCGGGGTCCTCCATTTTAAGCTACAACACTAGTCCTAGCAATCAGAAACAAATGTTTCATGCAACCCCATGAAAGTACTAATCAACAAACCCAAAACTGAAACTTTCCCACTTTGTTGTCGGTTTAAGAAATACCAAAAGGCAAAAGCTTACAATAAAATTGGGGCTCCTTAATCTTAATTGAGCTTCCTTAACCAAAATAAGCTAATTTCCTGTAGCTTCATAATAAGTTAATTCCTTATAATACATCGTTTTCATTATAATATGAGAGGTGATTGTGCCTCGGTTGGTGACCGACAAAACATGGTTAAAAAGAAAACAAGGCTGTAAACATTCATAATGCTCACTCACTGCAACCAACGCTTAAGTTAAGGCGTCTCTTTCGGTCCTTTGAAACCAAACCGAATACAAAAATAAAACAAAACAAAAATGGGAGCTCTTTTGTCCTTCCCACTTCAATCACCTTCCTTAGCTACCAAAAGAGTAAGAATGGCACCAAAACGAAACACATTAGGCCAAAAGAATTTAAAAATAACCTTAAAAAATAAAAAAACGAAAAAGGGACTTACAAAGAGCAAGGTTCAGCAGATAAGTTGAGGTACGAGAATTATATGAGGAGAAAGATCATGCCTGGATCTAGCACAAACTGCAAGTTCTTTAGCTAAGATTTAAGTGCTTTTACTCGATCTGAGGGGGAGAGAGTTAAAAAAAGAGAGAGAGAGAGAGAGAGAGAGAGAGAAGTGCGGCAACTGAAACAGTTTTAGACGGAAATTACAATGTAGATTCTAGCAGAGAATTAAAAAAAAAAAAAAGAAGTTTAAAAGGGGCACAAAAAGCAAAGCTAAAAAGCTAACATAGGAGAGCCAAAGAGAAATGGAGGAGTTGGAGAAAATAAGCTCAGAGAAATAGAAAAAGAGGAGTACAGAGAGGAGTGTCTCGTTTTGTTGTCATTAAAATTATTTTTTGAAAATTGTTTCCAGTGATTAAATGATTGACGCCACTTTTAAATGGCGGAAAATACTGTTTGAAAACTCTGGCGAGTTCACTCGCAACTCCACACCTGCGTTACAGATTCTGACTCGAATCTTTTTTGGGATAATACATAATAAAAAAATAACAATAAAAAATTTACATTTCTTTTTTTTTAGGATAAATTTTTTATTTACAATAAAGTAAAAAATAAAAAACTAAAATAGAAAAACCGGTCATCAAAAGGGCAAAAGACAGAATTTGTAGGCCATTGTGGCGCCTGTGAAATATTTTAGTTTGATTTTTTTTTTTAATTAATTCAGGATTGGACTACTGGAAGAGGAGTTAAGTGTTGGGCTCCGGACAGATGGAAAGTGGATCACCGATAGATTGAACCTCAACATCGGTTTTGTTGCTTCAAGTAGAGGCAACTAGATCTTGATTTTTAACCGATAAATCGAGCCCAATCCTAAATTCTTGGATCTTGATTTGTTGTCGCTTGAGCCTAATGAGCCTAAAGTAACGCATTGTTCTGGCAATCTTGGGTACTATTACGAATCATATCGTTAATCTCTTACGTAAAGAGCACAAATTGATTATAAATAAAATAGGGTGAACCCGATGCACGAGACTTTTCGCTTTGCGAGTGTTGGGGTGAAAGTCTATAATATGTAGTAAAAGTTATTTTCAAGACTCGAATTCTGATCTCAAAAAAGCAACTTTACTATTGCTTTTAGTTTTAAGTTATCTAATAGCAACTACCCTTGTAACAAAAATAATGGTTTGCTTTCTGTTATGTTAAAATAACCAGACATTTCATTGATGAGAGGGAAAAAAAACAACAAAATTAATCGGGATATCCCCACATGAACCTTATTAAGGAGGGATTTTAGGCTGTTAGCATACAAACCATATTGCATTCAATCCACACTCCATTTCTCTTGTTTCAAGCTCAAAGACTTAGAGCAACATTTTTTTTTTTTCAAATGTAGATTTCATTTCACTTCATACTGGATAAACTTTCATGTACTACTGCAAAATATAAGATGATATCAACAGATAAGAGGGCAGAAAAATAGGAGTTCAAGAAATCCATGTTTCTCCTCAATTCACAGTCAAATTTTGGTTTTCAGCAACTATGCATCTCAATTTCAACTCTACTGAGATTCAAGCATAGGAAAATTCCAGATACCAAACAGAAACAAAACTAACATTGTCAGAGCAATTAATAGAAAGCAGCAACACCATGATTCCATCATACACGTCTGTCACTGAGGGCTAATATAGATTAATTCCTTAATCATCTTGCCTTTCCCAGATGGGAGCTCTTCCAGTTTGGACTTTGGCATGTTCATCTTTCGTTCAATCTCTTTTAGTGCCTCCTCGGATTGTGTAAGAGCTTTTTCATATGAAACTAGCACCTCACTTTCCATATTCTGTGCTTCTGCATTGGGAAGGCCTGAAGTAATCAGTACAAACCTGAATTGCAAAATTATCTCTTGGAGTAAATCAATTACTTGATCGAATTCAATTTCTTCATATAAGAGACACTTGTCAATTCCAGCGATGCTAGATTCTGGTTTCTCTGTTGCGACCAAGCCTGCCTCTGAATTTTCCCCTTCTTGCATTGGAAGTTCCAGCATGGCAAGGACCTTATACACTGTAATCGGAACCAGCCCATGATGACAGCTTTTCAGATTTTCCATTGCAGATTTGAACTCTTCAAACTTTATAACTGCTGCTTCACAGCCTAACACCATAGCATGCAGATTAGATAGGAGCTGACAGAAATTACACTCAAGACGAAACACCCAAGTTTTTACCACTTTCAGAATCTCATGCCTTTCGTAAGAAAGGTCACTGCATTTGGGAATCCCCTCCGAACCTTTCTCAGGAAACCTTTCAACTTCATCTAGTATCTTCTTTTGCAGAGCCTCAAATTTTTCTCTCAGAATTCCAACGATTTCCCAATCCAATGCCCCCGAAGCTTCTGGCTTAAGAACACTAAATACTGGAAAAGATCCTAGTTCCACTTCTAGCTTTATACCCTTTTCCTGATTCTTGGATGTTTTATTGATAATCTTTCGACTTTCTACAAATATAGTTATCTTGTTTACCACACTTGGACGAAACCCATACATCACAGTTATCGCATTACTCAAAATCTCCTGTGCATCCCCACCTTCAAGAAACTGATTATCACCAGATTGATCAATACTTGAGCCTTCTCCCTTGAGCCATACTTTCTTGGCTTCGGCATGTTCCTTTATCATGTCTTTGATGATTTTCCTTTCATCTTCAGTAAAGTGCACCTTTACCCCTTCAACTTCAATCGATGCAGCGAAATCTCTCAGTCGCTGTTCTCTTCTACTGGACTCTTCAGCAAAATCAGCTACATTCTTTGGGATTCTTGCTAAATCAAACTGTGCAACCAGGTCATTGATGTTCTCGATTATCTCATCTTCTTCTGTGCTCAACCCTTCAAGAACTCTCATTAGAGATGCCAAGTGAGGTTCTGGTTTTTCTCCCATCACTCTGTTAACTTCTCGTTCCATCTGAAAAACTTCAAGATTCTGAGTATCACCGATGTTATTTGGTGAGCAGAATACTACCAGATAATCATGCAACCTGTTCATGACATCTTCATGGTCTTCCCTCAGTGTTTCAACTAATCTAATCAAAATATCACGCCCGCTTTGATTGCATTCTTGGATTACTCGGTTGATGTGTTGGTCAATCTGTATGAGATGGGAAAATTTATTGCTAATTTCATTGAAAATGTTGTCGCGATCATCGGCAGCCATTGATGATCTTACAGAAAAAATGAGACTAAAACTAAAGAAGGGTAAAGAAATCAGAGACTTGAGAGAGAGAGAGAGCTTTGGCGCTCAATAGTGGGTTTGCCCTTTGCGGTTAGGTAATTCAGTTATACAGGCGACTAATGCCTGGGGAGTGATTGATACTTATACCTCGTTGAAAAGTCTTTAAGAGACCACAGGCCTTGAGCCCAGTGGTTAAGAGGCCCCAGTATGAGAAATTGAGGAATTTCAGGCTCAACTCCGAACTCTCAGCTTATTTCATTAGCTCTTCATATTCCTCTTCATTCTTACCGTTACAGCTTTTACCAATTTTTTTAAAAATTTTGCGTCACTTTCTATCATTTTCTTGGCTGGCATTGATATTTAGAAAAAAATCAAGATACAGAGAGAAGAGAGGAGGCTGAGTTATACAGAGCATAGAGAGAGAAACAGAGATAGAGGGCTAATTGAGTAACCGGCAGTGATGTATCATATGACGAAACATTACAATATTGCGCAACAACAAACATATTTACATTGTCATTAAATGAATAATAATGAATAACAATCAAAACCAAGATTACAAGCATCAATGATCTATTACACATTGAAAAAGAAAAAAAAACCTCAATGGATGATCTCTGGAATCGAATAACAAAAAAAAAGCTCCTTTACTTGCTCCTTTAGTTGCTATGGTTCCAAAGTCAGTGATTTCATATAATGAAGCTTTATCTCTGAACAAAGTTGTCTCTCAAACATTCACAATCCTTCACCTCGGAGAAAAAAAAAATGACATGGATGTGTATGAAAGGGGCTAAGTATTGACAAAGGCCCAATGAATAAATCAGCGAGTGCTTTTGTTAACTGATTGCTGGTATGGATCAACCCAACATCTGTCCTCCTTCACAGCATTTTCCCATCTTTTTCGGAAAATTTGCATTTCAATGAAGGACTGTCTTCTTACCTGCAAGCATGTTATAATTTATACCTACAGAATGGTTGCATATAACAACTTCTAAAGCATCGTCTTAAGAGGTCTTACTTCGGGTCTATTGTCAACTTTATGGGATTCAGATGGTGCCTGCAATTTCAAAGAAGATGAACAGTGTTATAAATCATCAAAAGGCTCTTGTGTTAAGCAAATTAAGGTCCAGAAAACATACCATCGCTTCTGATTTAGAGAAGTGCTCCCTCTGAGTAATATTAACTTGTGTAGAATTTAACTGCATCCATCAGCAAGAAGATGATAAGACAGTTGGAGACTAATTGTGAATTTGACATCATCTTACTTGATCAACTTTAAACAACTTTGATTCCCAGAGTAAGAGTTTCATCTTCTAGTCATTATAATTGAAATATTAATGTGTCTTTAATAACTAAAATCCTAACACGAGATAATGCAGTCCAACATGATACCAAGACAAGCAGGAATAACCAAAAGAACCTTGTAGAGTTACTGCCTTGACCAAAGACCCTTCCGTTTACATGGTTTTTTGATGCATACTTGCCTCATTTTCAGCCATAATACCAAGTGTAGGAAGTCCCAAATGAACTATGTACTGAGCATCAATCACACCAACATTTTTCATACGATCACCCTGAATGAGAGTCCAAATATCACTGAAATGCCCATGAGAATCAGAAAAGGATGTAATATGGTTTGAAAAGTTACTTGTGCACAATAACCAAGCTGCATATCAAGGCCCCAAGCATGGATCAAATCATTCTGTAGGGCAAAGTAATATTAGGGAACAGTTACTATAAAGGTAGATGCAATACAGACAAGAAAAAGCGAAATTGAGATCTTAAAAGAAACCCAAAGCAAGCAGCTACTATTTGAGTTTTAGGTTAAAATTTCCAGGTGTACATGGGATTTCTTAACATGGCCTTTCTTTTTTCTCTAAAAATCATATTAAAGAAGATCAAACAAATCATCCAATTTCGGTAGACAAGCATTATATATGAAGTAATTATATTTGAATACTTTGAGCTAACAGAAATAAATTAGACAAAGAAGAAAAAACAGTAACTGGATCATATTTGCAGAATGCCTAGCCACTAAGTTGTGCGATTATCGAAGGACTTCAAAATGTTGTTAGAGCACGCGGTTCAATAAAGATGGTCAAAAACAATGTGCATTATGTTGTCAAATACTCAGTTATTGTGCAACCAATATGGCTGCATGCTTACAGAAATACTTCGTACCTGGATCATATGCCACGCACAGCGCCAGGCAGCTCTTGAGAATACAGGGGCCATCATTTCCACCCAACTGCAAAACATAGTTTATTAACTGCCTAAGAATAACAATAGATCTTCTGTCTGGTCATAGCTTATTTCTCCTTTTTCAAATAATTGAGAAGCAAATACTCAAAAATAACATAGGTTATTACAATGAGAAAGGTATTGAATTTTAATGATAGAATCCAAGAGCTTTGAAGTTAGCACTAGTTTACCCGATACATGGAGGAGCAGTGCTGCGAGCATCACACCTTCCACTGCCTTTAAACTTGTATATCCTTCTGTTCAAACAAATAGAAAGTATCATAACTAGCACGATTAAGAGCACATCATTAAGACATATGGAAAATACACGCTCTCATCTTCATGTATAATGAGATCATAAGACAGCTTTGTTTGTAAGAAAGGTATTAGCTCGTAATTCTGACTGCTTGGCTAGCAAAAAGCTAATGTTCTCTGCAACCACTGAGACTTGTCCATCTAATTACCAAGCTACCGAAGCACAAATACCTATTGTTTCAAAAATGGCTAGTTATACAGTCTACATAGCGGGAATTTCAGTTTAAACTGAAAATATTTTGAACCCTCATTAACAATTAAAGTTATTCAGTGGTTGACAGTGTCAGAGTCAGTACAATTTACCTGCTAAGATTGTGTATGAAACAGGGGGCTTATTCTTGAAACGATTTTCCACTGGTTTACACAACTAACCTGTGCAATCTTGAATTCTTTCTGCGTGCTGTGATTTGATGATGGACCTCTGACTTATCAGGATCAAGTGCTGGTTGTGATATCTCTAGTCCCTCATCTTCAATAATCGACAAATATCTACAAAAGGTTTGATGTGTTTTAAGCTCAAAATCTAAATTTCAGTTCTATTAACAATGTGAAAAATGAGGTGCAAAAACGAACAGGAGATATAGTTTCTCAAAATTTTATGTTTGAAACTAATCATTAGAAATAAGCATTTATATGTGCGTGTGTTCAGACATGGTTACAGACCATGCTAAACTGAGTTTGACATAATGACTTAAGGAATATCAAATCTTATCCACATAAATGTAGAATATACTTACTGCCTTGGATCAAAGTTATCTACTCCAAGGTCCTCATCCCAGAGGAATATATACTTGTATTCAGCAACTATGTCTGGATGCAAGAAACGTTTGGCAAACCACCTATAACAACATATCTTAGCAGCTGATTAGCCTGGATAAGACATATACGTGCAGGTGCACACAGCTGTGAACAAGGAAGATAAACATTTCTGAAAAAACAACATTACCATTTTGTTTGATTCACTGCAGACACATGTATGGCACGGTCACTCCATTCCAAATCTCTCCATTCATCCACAATACCATCATAGTGGAAAAGCATCACAACAAAATCTCTTGAAGGAAACTGCACATTAATGATTATTATTAAGCCTAAAGATAAAAAGATAATGAAAAGGCATTTGAGAAGTTGAGGAACCTTTTTAACAATTCGATCCACAATTTCCTTTTGCTTTATTCCAACAGCGATGGCTAACAAGTTTGCAGATGGCTCTGGATTGCCCTGAAATTGCAGTATAAGCATAAAAGACAATTAACAAGATCAACAAAAGTACGACAAAAAAGTATTTGTGTGTGTCTTAGTCTAGAAAATTTTCAACACAAAGTATTGTACAGTACATTTTTCACAGCATCACTCCATAAAGGTCGCATTTCCAAGTTTGACATTTTGACCACTATTCCTTGAGGTAATGCCTCAGTTCCAGGAGGTCTGCATCGAATCTTGTCGGGAAAGAAAAAGATTTAAAGATATCATACAAAACAAAATGTTTTAAAAGACTTGGTGTGCTATTCTAAAGACAATATTCTTTCCCCTAAAGATGACCAACCTTGCACACATTGAATTTTGAATTCTGAAGCATATTAATCACCTCCCACCTTGATAATCTCTGTATACATGATTTACAGATAGATAATCTCAGAAGAAAAACACTTCAGCCACAGTATTCCAAAAAAAGACATTAATGAAAAGTTGAGGTCACATTGAATCACAAAGTTGGAAATAAAAGAAGGTTTGGCAAAATCAAAGCATAGAACTTAGATGAGTTTGTTCAACAAATGGTCTTGTGATTAAGGCTGCATATCTCTCTTTGAGAAGACTTTTGCATGTGGACATGCTAGTCTTTTTCCCAAGTGTGGTAAGTTTTTATAGTTTTCCTTTTTTTATCTACCAACCAATATGATATTGCACTTTCATGCATCAAAAAGTGGGAACAGAACTTGAATTTCATAACACTGTTGCCAAAAGTTGACATTGTTAGAAGGATTCCAATTCATCTTTAACTTCTTTTCACACGCCTTGAGCAACGCTGATATAATCCAAATTCTGAGATAAGAAACATTTCGAAAAGAAGAAAATCCATGAAAGAAATAACTCAACACCCATACCATACTATCTCACCAAAAGGAAATTTCAAATTTCAACAAAAAATTACAAAAGCAGAAATACATACATCTTTGTATTCCTTAGCAATAAATCCACTACTAATGAAGTAAGCACCACAAAATAAAGCAGCTACAACAAATAGACTGCAGAGGCATGATCGACTCTTTGGATCCCACACGGGAGAAGCCTGCAAGGTAATGGAACATTCAAGCAGAAGACGTTTATACTCACATTCCATATCTTGATAAAGATTAGAATGTGGAATAGAACAGCAAAATAAAGGACCAGAACCAGAAAGAAGGTCCTAGAAAGAAAGAGCAGCTATTAAATTTCTTGAGGCATTTTAATAGCGTCTGCCATATATTAGTCACTGAGTAGATATGCATCAATTAAAATTTTCTAACTAAGAAATTACTGATCAATCACAATGGGCCAAACGTAAAAAACATAAAAGAAGAAAGACCGAACGAAAATCGGGTAAGTTAAAGGTACAATCATTGAAGCATCTTCGTCAAAACAATACAATCCGAATAAAAAATTACGAACTCAAGCCAATATCTTCATTCAAATTAAGATTGTGGTCAGTTTCAGTTATTATAATAGTAAATAAAAAAATAGAAAATAGTCAAAATACAATATCCTTGTTTTTCCTTAATCTTCCCTCCAACCAAAGAAAGTTGACTGAAAATTCCATACCAGAGTACATCTCAATCAAGTCGAAAATTCACCACATACTTTTGTCATAGCTAAAGCAACAGGAAGGAAGATCAACTACGAAATTAGAACTTAACTTTGAATTATGAAACAAACCAAATAGGCTTCCTTCATTTACAAAGAAAAAGTGACAGTAAGACTCAACATGCTGTAAATTCTACTGGAGCTCTTTCTTCTCTTAGCAACCAAAGAAGAGCTAAAGAAACTAAGAAAGTAATCATGATGGTTACAATAACTTAAGAGTTAAGACCAGTAAACTAATCCTTCCCACTTTTTTTAAGTTCTAATCTCTCAAATTATAATCACAAGTAAAGCAAAAAATATCACCACTCCTCATCCTCCACCATCAATTACGTTAGTTTTTTTCTTTTTTTTTTTTTCAAAAACCAAAAGACCCTTTCAAAGTTCATTGCACACTGAAACAAGAAACAAAAAAAATAAAAAGAAAAAAGCAAAATTGAAGCAGAAAATCACAACAAAAAAAAGACACTTCCAAACCCATAAATTAATGAAACAAAGAGTTTTGAAGGAAACTTACACAATTAAAAGACTTCATCTTTGCATGGAAAATCCAAAACCCAGATAGAGATAGAGAGAGATGCCCAACCTAAAAAAAGCTTTCCTTTTGGTTATAATTTACACCATGAGAAAGTCTACAGAAAAAAGCTAAGAATGAAAAGGAGAGAATATGTATCAAAGAGAAAAAGACGGACAATGGCAAGTCTAAAGTAGTCAACTTCTGCAAAGTAAGGAAACGATGTCGTAATGGGCAACCAAAAGTAAAATTCCTCAGAAATTTTTGAGATAGAAGTGGAAGACAGGGAAGCGTTTAAAAGCCGTTTTTATCAGCATTTGTTAATAATATTAATTAATCTTTGCTTAGGGGTTTAATAATATTAATTAATGTTTGCTTGAGGGTGGCTGTGTTCTTTTATGGTGGTCTGCGGCGTTTCCCTTTTGTCATTATCAAATTTTATAAGTTGCAAAGATACGCGCAGTCGCCGGCTTTGATGGGAAACTGTGAGTACTGCGAGTAGTGGAAAGAAAGTGATCTGTTCGAGTACACGAAACACGATATACTCGCTGTTTATTTGGCCACGTGTCATACACCGTTCCATGTTTCTTTTGGCGTTTTAAGGTTGTCGTAGAAGAAGAGTGGTAAACTGGTAATGTTCGTTTGCCAGTTGGACACAACAAATCTTCTTTGTCTTAAAATAATTTTTTTTTTTTTATTTCTTAATCTATTTCTGAACCCACTTGATCTAATTAATTATAGTAACTTGTCTTTTGCTTATGGATAGGGGTGATAATAATTTACATTCCATCAAATTCGATTCGATTTAATTTAATTTTTTTTAAATATATTTTTTAAATATTATTTTAATATAATTTTAATATATTTAAATGAAAAATAATTATTTTTATTATATACAAATTTAAAATAATATATATAAATTAATAAAAATATATAATTTAATTTTTTAATTTTTTTCTATTCAAAATTTAATCCAAACTTAATATATATATTTAATATTAAAATTTAATTCAAATTCAATAAAACACTATAAAAATCAAATCTATTTATTATAATTTTAAATCCACGTTCGATTTTTCTTATTTTTTTCACCTCTACTTACGAGGAATATCTTACACCCAGAATTGAAACGTGTCATATGAGGTAAACTCGGTTGATAAAATAATTTTTTTTTAATAAAACAACGGGTTACCAAAAAATTATATGTTTATATTCTTATTTATATTTTTTAAAACAAAAAGATCTAAAAACTTTAAAAAAAAATTAAAAGAAAATTAATAATCACAGAAAATAGAATTTCAATCTATCTTTTTTTAGAAGGTGGGGATCTAAGTTGAATATTTGTTAATACTAAAATAGAACATGGCATGATGTCTCAACTTGGTATCCCTTAACTAGTACTCCTAAGTTTGGTATTAAGAACAAAAATCGAATCTCAGCAATCGCAAGTCATGTGGAAGGATACTTTGAATTTAAGTTAATTATTCTATCAAAATGCAAAAATTTTAAACATAAAAAGAGAAATATTTTCTTCTAACATCATCTTATCTGAGATTCTATGTGTCATCAATTGTACTTAACACATGAAAGCAAGCTTCCTTTACATGTCCTTTTTTACTTAGTATAATTCTCCAAAGTCCCAAATCATTCAAGTGAAAGTTTCATCTTTTTTGTATAAAGTTTTCATTTACTCATCATTTGTATGTAGATAAAAATAAAAAATTTTAGTTGAATAATGGAATCATATTTTATTATGTTTTTGACTATTTTAAGAAAAGTATCTTTCATTCCCCACTCTCCAATCTGCATTATCTTTCCATTAGACCCGGAAAAAGAAAGAATTAAGTTTTGTTTTTAAAGGAAGACTTGAAGCATTTAGGAAAGAAACTGCTGAACATGATGAGGAGAAGGATTCCATGTCGGCCCGCAAATGCCGTTACTCATGACTTACTATGTCTCTGTTTCAGTAAAACACTGCTTCATTTGCAAAAACTTGTTAATTTGATTAGAACAGATTGATAAGATTGAGGGAAATTTTGGGGTTGATGTAAAACAAGTAATTTTTCAATTCCAAGATTAAGTAATAATCATACCTTGAGCAAAAGAAAAGCAAAGACACAGAATTAAGGTTTAGTTTGAACAAACACAAACCTTTTTTGATTCTGTGGTTTCTAAGAAGGCAAAATTTACATTGTTGTTGATCAGTTAAAACTTAAAAAAAAGTACCAAACTCTAAACATTCAAAAAAAATTATAAGTTAATAGCAACTACAGTTGCTGCCTGGTAATTGGTATTGCTCTTTTGTGCCGTTGGCATGATCTCCCAGACTGTAAATGATAATCCTTTACAAGCTGTTGATAATCTTCTGAATAGCATAAGCCAGAAGAACTGCCTCTTCTGGTCTCTGACCACTCTTCAAAACTTTGGAGTATGACTGACCACAGCTAGACTCGCTCCGTCCTTTAAGCACTTTTATAGAGTAAGGGCCTGTAATGTTACCTCGTGGACTGATACAATATCACGTAGAGCAATTCCGATCCTCGAATGTCTGCTTGCTCACTGCAACCCTGGCATCTTGTATTTCATCATCGCTTAACTCAGTCACCTTAACTTGGTTTTCCAGCTTTACATGTTTAACAATGTCCACCTGCTGGTTTAGCTTTTCCCCAGCATCACTATATTGCTTTTCCTGATAAAAAGTTTTAGTTTGGCCATCTGTGGATTGTTATGGCAATAGCTGAGGAACAGATGTTTCCAGGGCAGCTCCGTTTAACTTGACAAAAATTGATTCCTCTTTGTTTCATCACCTTCAACTCTAGTAGCAATAAATTTAGAGTGATAACAACGATCAACAGAAATAAATGCATTCATTTCTTGCTGCTTTCCTTCTGGAATAGGTACTCCAAATGCATTTCATTAGGGGCTTCAAGAGCTTTGTCAAGGAAAAAGTAACACTAAATATATTGCTTGCACTGAGAAAGTTCTATGAGATCAGTTTCTGTTTGTTTACTTTTTCTGATCAAATGGTAAACAATTTTTTCATTCCGTAGAAGGAAACATCTAGAGCATGCTAAATGATTGATGGCAACTTTCCATTTGGGTAAAACGTTCTATACAATATTGTTTGATCTAAAATTTCATCAAAAGCTTGTTCAGCTTCTTGGCTTAATAGTTAAGAGGGCTTAGGAAGACATGTAAAGTGGGAGTTTGAACCCCATCATCCCCTATCCCCTATCCAATGGATAAAAAAAATCATCAAAAGGAACTTAGCTTTAGGATTTGCTTGATGGATTTTCCTGAAGCTCAGGGCACTGGCTTCCCTAAATATCATTCGTGTGAAGGACAAGAATTTGGGTCTTCCCTTGCTATTGTATCCAAAGTAGGATCATTCCATTTCCTTGAGACTCTAAAAAGTTAAATCTACAATTGACTATTAGATTAAAATTGGATGCACTTGTGGAATCAGGTAGTATTAGACAATGGGTAATGGTTCAGGATAGGAGAAGGCAATGACAAAAAATTCACCGAGAAAATAAAATAAAATCACAACATTCTTAATAATGGATTGCTAGAATTCATATTCAAGAGAATTCTACTTCAATCAATTATGTACAACCAATGTCCTTTGTTCCCAAGAATTTCAATTCAGCAAGTCTTACACAAGTAACAACTGATGATTTAACTTGAAAAATCAAGATTTCATATAGCTATCAGGGACCAAGAAAAAATGATTTATTCAAAATATTAACATTATAAATACTCAGTGGAATCATCATCTGATAGCTTGCAAACTGGAATATCTTCTAGCATATATGTTAGAAACTTGAAAGAGAATTTCTCTATACCTAAGAAGAATCAAAATAACAATATGAAGCAGAAGGCTAATCAGTTAAGTTAGAAGAAAGTTAAGATAAACTCCTGCAGCAAACACCTCTTCAGAAAGACAAGCTTTATGTTTCTAGAAACTATGGCTGCCAAATAGCCTTGCCTTGGATTTAGAGCTATTTCCTTTTCGACAAACTTTCGATCAGGACTTGACTTTCGCTGCCTTTAAAAAGGCACAAAGATATTATCATCATCCTCTGATTGCTTCAAGTTCTCAGCAAAATGAACTGTCAGTAACTTATATATAAATACCATTTTTGTTGACTGATTTCCTTCCCAAAAGAGACTGCAACCTTTCATCACAAATAACTTTCTTCCTTTTTTATAGGTGAAACAGCTTATGCTCTTTGCAGTATTCTGTTAACTATAGGGTAGCAACATCATACTGAGACAATTCTTGCATCACATTTTTACCACAGTAAGTTGTTTTGATGCCCATCCGATCGAGGAATTCTTTTTTCTTCGACTTTCCCTTTCTTTTAGTCAGAGTCAGCTTTCCTTTCTTTCTTTTCCTACATTGCACTTGGTTATCACTCAAATCGTCATAGTCAGATACATTATTATCATCTTCAAAGTTGCTGGTGTCTTTTTCTCCTTAGTTGTTTGCTCGAAAATAGTACTTTTTTTTTCCATCCTTCAACAAGAGATGATCTGAAGATTGCACTTGTTTTGAAGTTAACCCTTCCTTTTCTTTCACCAACTCCCAATAGCCTTTTATTTGAAAAAGAATTAATATGTTTCTCTATCATTAAAGTCTACCTTCACCTACAGATCAACTGGAACTTGGTCAGTCAAAGAAGAAGGAACAAGAAGACCCAAGTTCATTAGGAACAGAAAGACTCATGTTCATTTTCTACAGGCCAAAAGAAGAAATATAGTAGCATTTATCAATTGAATTTCAGAGTCAACATTTATCAATGATCTTTGGCTGAAAAGAACATTGTAGTGAGTTGTCAAAGAAATTCCTTTTAACACCGCATTTCTTCCTTCAAAATTGAATGAGTAATATATTCCAAAAGAGATGGAATCTCAAAAGCAACTCTAAATAAATTTTCACAAAGGAAATAACCCATATCCTTGTTAGAGTTTGTTAATGTGGTGTTATTTCACATTTAATAAATATATAATTTTTTATAATCTTATATTCAGATTGAGTCCTTTTATTTACTATCAATTGATCTTAAGTTAAATACTTAATATGATATCAAAATTAAAATTTTTTATTATTGCTTTTTTTTAAATCTATCAAATAATTGACGAATACATGACATGGATCTGTTAAAGTAGGATATCTACACATTTAAGTATCTAACTTAAAATGAGTAAATAAAAAAATCCAACATAAACATAAAATTATAAAAAATTATATATTTATCAGACTTAGGATAACCCAAAGTTGAGATCTTTCTTGTCTTTAATAAGTAGTGCAAGCTCTAAACATGTATTGTAGGACCTCTTTTCCCTTCGAATAATGCAAATTCAGCACCACAAAGACAACATCAACATACAGCAGATGGACAACAAAGCAATGAATCCAATTGTCCTACGAAAGAACTTAAAAATTGAAAGAATGTCAGCATGCTTACTGAACAGTGAACACTATACCTTGCTTTCTCCGATATTTAGTTGTCATTGTCAAATGAAATGAAGTCAGCTTAAGTTTTAGTTAAAGAAATTGCATGAGTCGAAATTTAACAGGGATGAATGGCAAATTAACTTCTTTGAATCATGTAGGATTACAAGGTCTAATTACCTTATCACATGCATGCTAAATTGTATATGGGCGAATACCAAGACGGTTCCTGTATGTGAACCATTAAATATTGTTTCTTTCATATCGTTTTAGGTATGTGGTAGAACGTCAAGACTCTAAAACTTTTGCCACTTGCTTTTTGCTTTCACATCTAAAGCAGAAAATGATATATCTTTATTTTTCTATACATGTTTCTCCCACTATCTTGTTGGATAATTGTTCAATAATTTTAGAGTGAGTATATCTTTCTTTCTCTTTAATAAAACGATATCTCTCTCTTTTTTAAATGCTAAATGCTTGTCTGTCTATAATTGTAGACTATATACCTAAGAAGCAACGATCCACGGGTCCTTCTATCTTAATCAATCGATTAAAAGTGTGATAATGTTAGTGCTTTTTTTTTTCACAATCGACATTATAAATATTTTTCGTGAATATAATAAAAAGTTTTTCATTAAAAAAACTATTAATTTAATGATATTGAAATCTATTTCTATGATTAACTCGAATTCAATGGTAATAAAGAGAAAGAATAGAAAACCTGTCTTAAAATTTGTCAAAATATAATCTAGCAATTAAAGAGACGGTCCCCATTTGACCTTTTTCGTGCCCCATTTATTTCAAGAACAAAAATAGAGCTTGTGGCATGCATATATTCACTCCTCTATGGCACGTACAACTGAAATTAATTCACTACAACTCTATACATCCTCTTTTTTTTTTTTCTTCAATTTATATATTGTTATAATTGTTTTCTCGTAATTATTATTACTGGCAGACATTTGCAAAGTTTCAAGTTTGAACCTATTCTAGCTATAACTACCTAGACTCAGCAGTGGCGAGATTATCTTGTATTTTGTTCCTAACATGCTGTGCCAGGGCTTCGAGTGCAACGTCGACGACATCTTCAAACCCAAGATCGCTCCTACTCGCATTAGGATGCGCATAAGTGAGCCTTGGAATCATGTCAATCACCTTAGCTCGCATCCTCTCCACATCTTCTTTTGATATCTTCAACAGCTTCTCTTCTATTCTTTTGCTTTCATCTCCTTGTTCATCCATATAAACCGAGTACTTGGACGCCTCCTCAGGCAAAAACCAAGCGTATTGCGTGTACGCCGTATGCCGCGAGAAAAACACCGGTATGCAACCGGAAAGTATGGAGTCAAACGTTGACCTCCGAGTGAAAGAATCCCCCGGAGCTTGTAAGCAGAATTGAGATTCTTGCATCACTCTCATTATCTCACTAGGGTTGTAGCACTGTGGGTTTCCACGGTCGCATCTCAGCAGCTTGCATCGAGTGGATTCCATACATTGCTTTATCATTTCGTCCCTGATGGCTGCTTTGTCAACGGCCTTACGTGGGGCACCAATGAAGGAAAACAAGTAGGGACGGTTTGATTGCCGCATCATGCGCTGCCACGTTAACATTTGGTCTAACGTGGACGGGTGGAAGTAGGAAGGGTAGGGGATGCCGTGTTGGTTTGAGCCTTTCCAGGGATTCCTCTCTACGGTCAGCACCGACATGTTGTTTACAGATGGCAGATTGAGAAGACAGTTCGCCCCAAAATCGGGCCCACTGTCGGTTCTCATGAAATCCCATGAGGTTCTCCCTAAAGCAATGAAGTGATCCTTGCCGTTATGTTTGTGCCACGTGGGTTGATCTTGAAGATAGTCGATCAGTTTGAAGGCTAACGCGTCGCGAATTGTGTGATTCTGCTCGCGAAATTTGCTGGACACATGCAGACCACCGTAGAAAGGCACGTAGAAGAGATTGGCTTTCGCAGGATCCCACGTGCGACACGGGTGGTTCTCTACACGTGCGTGGAAAATCATCTCCGCTATGAACTGATGGGTGGCAAACCAGGGATTGGAGTCGCTCGACGCAAGGTCCATGTTGTCCAGTGGCTGCCCTAGGCCGTGGTTAGCCACGTGGGGACACATGTTGGTGTAAACATTCAAGTGGCTGCAATCGTCGAGGAGGCCCATGTTAAACTCCGGAGGCAAATTGTACACATAAACTGAAACCCTTCCGTTGCATTTTGGAGACGATGATTTTGCAGCTGTTTTGGGATTTTGATGAACTTCATAAGTAGCGGTGGAGACGGCGGCAACAGTGGTGGTGGCGTACTGTGTTTCGGGAAGAGGGCGGGTTTTTGTCGGTGGGAAACAAAAGACGTGTAACAAAAACCATAAGGAAAGAAACACGAAAAGAAAGGCAGCGTATCTAATGTGGGGATTAACCAGGAACTTGAAGTAGGGTTCTCTGCTTTTATGGTATTTTGCTTTCTCTATCCATTGAATTGCAGAAGAAGGTTGTCTTTTGGACAGCAACATATGTAGGGACTGGAACAGAGACAAAGAGATGAGGGGGAGAGAATCAGACTAGGAATAGCAGGTTTTGCTGGTCCAGACAAGAAGAGCAAGAGTGCAAGACCTCACATATAGAAGAGAAAATATACTAACCACAAAGCAAGAAAAAGGAAGTCTATGCGGTAGGCAGATTAAAAGAAAGCAACACCTAAATTTGATGCGTTAAATGGCATATCGATGAGCTGGATAAGGAATAATCTAAGCGGAGGCGTTTAGTCATGTATTGTCTGGTAGGGAAGAAACTGGAAAAAGAAACCTCAGGGAGGGACAAAATTGAGTGAAGACAAATGCGCTAGCCAGCTTCCCTGCACATGCACTTCAATGCGTGTCACCATCCCACGACATTGACTCACACAAAAAAAAAAAAAGGTTGTTCACCCATGTCCATGTGCTTGTCGTTCAGTGTGAACTAAGCCCTGTAGTCACCTTCCATCCATCCATTTTCACCAGCTTCTTGTTACTCCATTAAAAAACTTCCCCAATCAAGCCAAATAATCATCTTGTTTCTCCATTAAGAGTCAGACAGAGAGAGTAAGAGAGAGAGCAATCAACAAAAAGAAAAGTCAAATCCATTTTTGGAAAATGAATAAAGAAGAATGAGATCTCAAATGTTACAAGAGGAAGAAGAAGACAAAAGAATGAGAAGAAGAAGATGTCTAATAATTGGTCGGTAATTTTCTAAATCATGTCGTTGGGAATTCACTTATAGAATATGTTGATGTTAATTGCAGTTAGAATGTCATTTGCAGCAAAATAAAATATGTTTAAAATGAGTTATATTTGCTAACTAATTGAATTATATATGATTAACTTTCATTAATCAAGCTGTACCTTAAAAAGAAAAAAAAATTCATCAATCATTTGAAACCAATAATGACAGTCTAACAAGTTTATAATCATTAACTCTTTCCTTTCTTTTTTATTAATTTTGCCAAATCTAAGTCAGTACATCTAACAAATTGTATCTTTTACCCATTTTATTGAAGAAATCAAATGACTGGGAAACATATCACCTCCAAAATCAGTTTTTCGTTGGACATGATTCCGTATATAAAAACAACTATCTTTATTTCTTTTTCATATTAAAAAAATACTATATCACTTAAGCTTCGCAAACCCATCCCTAGTTTCAACTTCCCAGTCCTTCCCCTTTGGGCTTTAGCCCAAATGTTCTCATTCATAAGGCTAGCCACAGCCCATTTCGTTAACCCAACAAAAGTGGCACAACGTATCACCAACTAAATGCCATGCCGGATGACCCACAGCCCATTTTGGTGCATGAATCTTTTCTATTAGTACTGCACTATCAAGAAAATCCACCAAAATCTTATCATACAAATCGTTGTCAACCACCATGAATTAAAATAAAATAATTTATTTATTAACAAAATTATTCTTTCTTAAAATATATATAATTTAAATTATTAATGTATAATAAGATATATAAATTTAATCTTATTAATTAAAAAAATTCTTCATCATTTTGAAAAAAATAAAATTATCCTATACTAAAATGATGATTAATACTTCTTGTAATCCTATCCTATTAGCTAGATATAAATCAAATATAATATAAAATGACTATCAATATATCCTATCCATCATCAATCAGACCTTAGAATTTAAGATACCATAACAAGTTATTATATACCATAACAAGTTATTAACAGCCGACTAACACTGCAACTGTCAGAGCCTAAATAAATCATCAAAGGCTGGTGAAAATTTGAAAAGCCTAACCTTCGCGAGGTTGGTCTTCCACAAAATCTTTTCACTACTTTGCTTCGACTCCAAAACCCAAACTGTTAATGGTTTTTATTTTAAGAATTTGCCTAGCTTTTATCCTGTGAGAAAAATACATCATTGATTAAAACTCTTCATTTTGTTCCAAAAAAGCTGATATAAAGCAGGCATCAGGCTGTTGATTCCTTCAGATAAGCAATGAGGTCAGCACGTTCCTGTGGCTTCTTCAATCCAGGGAACACCATCTTTGTCCCAGGTATATACTGCAAAAGAAAATTTTATCAGCATACCATCAGTTGTACAGTCAGTTAACAATGAAATTCCATGCTTAAGAAGAAAAAAGATGGTAAACTTAAACTCAGAAAGTACTTGTACTCGCAAGCCAACTCAGCTAAGTTAGTATAGATCTATATACTACAAGCCTATCTGAACCCAGTCAATTGAACCAAAAACACAAGGCCAGGCCACCAAAATGCAAACATAATAATGGCTGATGTAATTCAATAATTAGTTATTGTGATAAAAATATAGAAAAGATACCTTCCTGCAATGAGATGAACTAGCCAGAAAGCATAGCTATAGCAACAGAAATCAACATTAACCTATGAATACACTACTACCACTTAAGAGCAGACTTGTAAGAAATCACCTTTAGCTGGTAAGCAATAGCAACAAGAGATGATCTCTTAGAACCCCGTAGCATGCTCCTCCTTTTTACATAAACAACATTCTTACCACTTAATGTACAAAAAATTTATACCAGAAAAAAACCCTTTGTGCACAGGAACGTTATTTGTCATCTATGACACTAATGATCAATCAATAGCACAGTATAAATCTTATGCTGCCAACAAGGTAATCAATATCAACCACTTCCGTGTTATCAATTCCTCATGTTGGCTAGAACATAGTTAGCACATAGCCCCTAACTCTATACAACAGAACTTATCTTTCTCATGTTATTTTGAAACACAAAATTATCTCATACGACAAGTGAATAGATGAGTCCCTATTGCATATAATCCCAAATGAAAGTCCAAAGATAAGGTGCAAACATTTAATAAAGAAACCAAGTAGCTTTACTTGTGGTAAAGTTTCAAAACCATGATGTGCGCTGAACATATAAAGGTCACAGAATTCATGCCCTGCAAAGGTTTCCTTATACATTGAAAAGTTACAAACTTACAGTAACACACAAAGCTCACGAACAATCTACTAAAAAGGAAACAAGACTTGTACATACCTTCTTAGGATTAAGCAAGTAGTCGTACAATGTGTTCTCTCCCCAAATCACCGCCATATTTTTGTTAGCAGCAGAATAGGAGTATCCTGGAGTAGTCCCAGACTGCCTACCGAAAAGCCCATTCAAATTTGGCCCTGAAAATGTCAAATATTGCAACTTATTTCTCCCAAAAAGTAGTAAGAAAGTAAAACCTTCAAATTGCATCAACAGCTAATCTCTATTGATTACAAGTGTAAATAATACATTAATACTCGCAAGTTATTCAGGTTCGGCTCGGATAAAATTTGAATTCGACTCAATCATTATAGAGTTAAACTCAAACTCGAATAGTTTAACTTATCAAGTAAATCAAGTTCGAGCATTCTAAAGCCCAGCTCGAATAATTTATGAGCCTAATCAAGCTTTTAAATTTTAATATATTTTATTATTTTAATTAAAAATTACTAATTTACCCTTATATATAACAATTCGAGTTCAAGCTCAAATTCGAACACATAATTGAACTTGAAATTGAGCACGAGAATTGAGCTCATTTTTTATTAAACGAGCTTGATTAAGCAAGTTCGAATAGCTCGATTTTCATCCCAAGTTAAGTCGAGCTTGAAAATTAAAACTCAATCGAATTCGAGCCGAATTTCAAGCTGTGAGTTTCAAGTCGAACTCCAACTTCTCACTGTATCGACTCGGTTCAGATTGATTACACCCCTCCTATCGATATAGAATTCAGTCTGAATCATCGTGCTTCAATGCAAATTCAAAGCCTCTTTTTAATCAAACCAAATAAAAAGAAACATCGTATCAGTTTGCATTTAAGAACTAAAATGTTACTGAATCTAAGAACAAAAATCAAATAATTTTGACTAAAAAAGGTTTAAAAGATATGAAAATCAAAGAAATTCAGGAGAAACAGTTAAAAAAAAAAGAGCAAAAGGAAGTCTACATAAAAGAAAAGGCTAAGAACAAATTGATAGATGTGGTAATAGTAATTAATAAAAGCATAAATTTAAGAACTCAGATCTCACTCGAGACTCGACATAAAAAAATAATTAACCAAATAATTAAAATAAAAGAACAATTAAATCAGATCTCACAGAGAGAGAGAAAGAGAGAGCGACCTTGCTTGTGACCAGCGCCTTTATCGACGGTGTGGCACTGGGCGCACTTCGTCTTGAATATCTTCTCCCCAGCTTTCACACCTCCAGGCGGTGCTTGCTCGAATGAGGCCATTGCTTTTGATTTCGGTTGAGGGGTTTTTCCCTTTTTAATCAATCAAGACTTGTCTATTCTTCAATGGTTTGGTTTTGTATGGAAGGTTATAGGACGGTGGAGCTTTGTTGGGTTTTTCTGCGTACTACTGATAGAATAATGATGAGGAAAATATCCATGGGCTCAATTAGTAAAGATTGTTTTATTGGACATAAACATTTTGGGTTCGACTCTAGTTAATAATTTCTTAGGATCATTTGGATTTGGAACATACCAGCTACAGCTTATATTGAATACAGCAAATCTTATCCCGACTCAAACAAACTGATTAAAGCAAGCATATGAAGCACATTAATAAAGCGCGCATATGAAGACTAAAAATATATATATAATTATTAATTATTAATTTTTATTTGCTTAATTCATTCAAAACATTACAAACTTAACTCTCCCAAACTCGTAATCATAAAAAAATTTTTAGCCTATATGCTCTCTAAATAATAGTCAATTAGAATAATCTTAAATTATAGCCTTTCAATAAACCAAAATACTTACTTCAATAATTTTGTTTTCGTTTTGTTTATTATGGTATTATCAATTTTTTAATACCCTTTTAGGAAGGAGTTATAAATTTACTATTTCTATTAGGAATTTAATGACACCATCTGTTAGTTTTCAACTGAGATGAAAGAGTAGTTTTTAAGTTTATCTTTTACACATTCTCAATGAAATTTTTAAATTTTACAGTGAGATTTATTTTATTATATTAAATTTTAAATTATTTTCAATATATTTTATAAAATTACGTGTCATACCACAAATTTCACTTGTATATTTTTTTAAAATTTTAAAGCATAGACGGAAATTAAAAATGGTTATAAAAAAGTTACAAAGGGGGATTCGAATTATAAATTCCATCAAGCAAAAACCATCATATCTAAAATTAGAAAAACAAACCAAGAATAAAAATCCTTATTGAAGCTAAAACCTTTACAATCAGTTTTCTTTACCACAAAATTGATGTTCACCACAACTACCTCAGTTTCTTGCTTACTCTTAGGGTCCATGACCATGTTTTGACGGCCGCATTGGCCAGCCCAAAAGAGGAGGTGATCCTGGTGGGGTTACATCTCGGCTAGGAGAGAAGAGGCTCAGTTCCACGAATTCCCCAACCGAGGTTCCCTCTTTTTCATAAGTGCGAAAAGAAATTGATCCACGCTTGGTAGAGGCATCAGAATTCCTCTCAGGGCTAATCCCAAAACTTCCTTCAAGATGGCTCTGATTAGCGATAAGAGAAACAGTGTCATTCTGATCAGCAAAAACAACCCTTCTCCTAGCCTCCAAGTCATGAAGATTCCCCAGGGCTAGACAATCCCTAACTGGGCAGTATACAAGTACGCAAATACAGACCCCAGCACAACATAGTAGGACTAGAAAAGCTGAGAATGCAAGAGCTTCAAACAGAAATTGCTCTGGTTTAGATAAAACAGATAAACCAAGTAAAAGAACCCTTAATGGAAGGAAAATTGAAACGGAGAAAATTAATGTGTAAACTCTCTTCTGCAAACCCTTGTTGATAACCAATTTCAAAATCCGCCTTCCAAGCCAAAACAAGTAGGCAGTCAAGACGGCGGCAAAAAGCCCAAGAAGGATAGTATTCAGTAAAGGGTAAGTGCAAAGTGTGATGTTGTCAGAATTTGGAATCACTGGAGCAGCTGTTCTTGTGAAATATGGCAGTAATTCTCTCCTATATTTGTGTAAGTCCGGTCCAATCAAAATAAGAATAAGTTGAAGAACAAACACAGGGAGGCAGTAGAGAAGAACATAGCCTGCCGTTTTCCCATTCCATTTTCTGCTTAGAATTCCTGTGTCCATGTTCTGTAAAGGTGCACGAAGAAGAAACACAAGACTGAGGAAGAGGCAAGGTTCCGCAAAACCTAAATTTGAGACAATGTAACATTTGCAAATGTTTTCTTGCCATTTCAAATTGACTGCATTCAACACTCTTCCTTGCCGTCTTAGAAAATTTAGCCGTATAATTTCACCAAAACCCCACCAGATGGCGAACAAAATGAATGTGATTCGGATGATCCACGGACCACTGAAATAACTGAGCTGAATAAATCCTTGTCTAAGAACACGTGAACGTAAGTAAAACGAGTATGCAATGCACACCAAACCAAGAAGAATCAACAGCGCAACCAGACATATTGTCAACACACCAAAAGCTTCGGCAGAATATCTAGTCAGGGGCATTACCCGAAACACAGATTCCACGCATGCTCTCTGCCAGCATGGATACAAAGGATCCTCTGATAGTCTAAAAGCTACCTTCTGAGAATTATTTCTAGAAGCTATTACTGAAATAATACTGGATGATGCTAAGATTAACTATGTGAGAAGATGAATAAGCAGCATTATCAACAGAACTCATGTGTTTCTTGCCAGTCTACCAGATCCATGTATGTCAAGCATTAATCGAATCAAAACTTACAAATTTCAGATTTAGACTGCCGTTTCAGCCACTAACCTTCAAGCATTAGCTCAATCTCTAATTATTTGATCTAAGAACCTGTGGAAGGAAAGAGCAATAAATCAACATAACCAAAAAGATTATGAATAAAACTCTATAAAAAAGAAAGATTTCTATAGCATGCAAAGAGGTATGACAAAATCCATCACCTTCAGCCACACACATATTTCTCCTATAGAAGGAAAAATGAAAAGGAAAACAAAATTCCAGTATTCCAGTTTTTTAAAACAAAGTAAAGAACATTTTTAGATGCATATGAACACAGAGCACATCAGTAGGACAGAGCTGCACAATCACTAAAGCACAAAACATTCTCATAAAAAGAACTACTAATGTTCTAAATATAAACCCTAATATAACCTATTTAATAGCAGTCTAAATGCAAACAGGCGTTAATCATTTTGAACTGATTAGTCCACATATGCAGCACATATGTCAAGTTGTGCTGGTGCAGACTTATCCAAGCTACCATATAAATCAACATTAATGCCAGTCAAATTTATAAAAAGGAATTTAGGAAATATCCTAATTTATAGTTATGAGAAAGACACAAGTATTCACTGCCAAGTGCAAAACTATTAATGCTTGCATCACTTGGAAAACAAATTCTTACATGTCATCTTAATTAAACATTCAAGAAAAAAATGGAAGACACAAGGGAGGCCATAAGTTTCCATACAAACAAAAGTAACAGTAACGCTGCATGTTGACTAGACAAGAATACAAATATTAGGTAAGATCTTAAACATTTAAGCAAATAATTGCTGTGTAAGCAAGACAACTAAAGTTTATACAAGATTAGCATATCAAAATCAAAACTTTATATCATTTAGAGAAAGATATTAAAATCACTTCCTAATAAATGGTAATTGACTAAAAAGTGTCGTACTATAATAGATCATTTACAGAGTAGATGTTCAATTAAAATATCCAAATTGGTTGTAAGCAAAAAGGTTACAAAAAAACTCCAAAGGCAATGATTATCTAATAACACCCAAAATGTAGCTCCATTTTAAAATACAATAATCCCATTTAACACAAAGCCTACAATATGCTTTCGCATGCCCTTGCCAAAAAAAGATGACAAATCAATGTTAGCACTATCCATATGTCACTAGCGTACCAAGGACATTATAGTCAAACTGTCAAATGAATGGATTTTGAAACTAACACCTCTCTTATACATCTATCAATGTCCCTTCAAACAGAAAAATTTCACCGTAATAAGACCTGTAACTTAGTTTCTTATAGTCACAGAGAAAGATATAAATCAATGGCGTAAAAACCTCACTGTAAATCTAAACAATTTACCCAGTTTGTCATTACTTCAAGATTAAACAAGAACACTGCTATCAAAGGGAGAACGCTTTTTACAGCAATTACCATTGCTCTGATTTTACTAGAATTAACAAGGATAAATTTGTAAAATCTATAAATCTCTTTTCATTTCTTTTCCCTCCGTTTGTCATCAACTACAAATTATTCAAATAAATCACGAATTACAACCTTCACCTAAGCAATATTTCAAATCTAAACATTTTGCAAAATTTATGAACAAAATAAACAAATTAATTCAAATTTCTAACGTTCATTGTTATCACCAGTGTACAATCATTAAGCTAAAAATGCCATCAAATTTCCTCAAAAAATTAGAAAAAAACCAATAATTTCAATAATACGACACAAAGAAAAAATCCAAAAAAACAGAACCAAAATGAAGAAAACTTAGATCAATGAAGCGCTTACAAAGAGACGAATCTTGATCCGGAGACGGCAGGAGACAAAACGGAGAAACGAAGAAAGGAGATCGAGAAAATCTAATACTGGTTGTAAAGGGGAAAGGAAGATGCAAAGAGAGAGAGAAAGAAGGGGAGGAGGACGAAGGAGAGAGATAGGGAGAACGTAGTTAGGGGAATAGGTGAGTGGGACTTTGTTGGTGACAGCCTGTCTCCAGCTGTGTCTTCCGAGCCTCTTGCTTCGGAGTTCCTCAATGAGTTTGGCTCGTATATTTCCCGTTCCTACGTGGCTTTTGCCTTGGCGGCGTTCACGGCGAATGCTTTTTTCTTTTCTCCCCCTTTCTTATTTCTTATAAGGAACAGAAATTTATTTATTCTAAAATAAATTATTTTTTATTTTTCATTTTCTTTTTATTATAAAATTAAAATTTACTAATTGTAAGAAGTAGTAATAAATTTTATACTGATTATGGAAGATACGACTCTACTTTAAAGGAAGCAAAATCACGCATGAAAATATAAAATTCTTTTGATATGTAAATAGAAATTGGATTTGAAAAATCAATGATGAAGAAGGGAAAATGTATATGTCACGTAAGCTAAATTATTAACAAGAAAAAAATTCAAAACGGTTGAATTTTTGACATATGGTCGAAGAAAATTATTATATGAAAACATTATTTTTTGTAAAAACAAGATTCATATTATATGATAAATTTATCAAAATAATTGAAGAATAATTAACAAATTATCCACTATATAAAAATTAAAAGCTAAAAGAAGAAACCTCCCAGGGAATTGATTGGTGGGGAAGATTTTTTTTTAACACTTTGTTTAAGTGTCAAACTAGTGCAAATTAGTCCAACTGTGATCAACGACGAATTTAGATTTTTTTTTTTTGGTCAACTTATAATATATATATATATATATATAATTATTAGCAGATTTATGAATTTTATAATGTCTATTTTTTTTAATTTTTTTCTTGTATTCGATAGAGTTTATAAAAAATTTTTTTGAAAATGTCCAATGATTTTTTAATTTTATTATTTTTCAAATTTAAACTGCTTATGAATACTCTTCCACTAAAAGTGGTTCCGCCACTAATTATGCTGTATGATAAAAGCTTAATTAGTTGAATAATAAATTATTTAACAATTTCGATATTTACCGACGCTTGCCTTGTACCTATATTCCTTCAAACAAAGGTGTGAACCAAATAAGTTCTTTACTCCAAAATCCAAAACAAAAAAGGAACAAGTACTTTTTTTTGTTTGTTTGATTCTATTTTAAAGTAAAAAAAAAAAAAAAAATTTGCAATCCTAAAAGCTACTTTCAAAATATCCAAAAAATTGTGGATTGATGTGAAAAAAAAAAAGTAAATTTTATGAGTACACTAGGTAATGTTGTAAAAAATAATGGATCTTATGTCTCGACATAACATTTTTTCATGAATTAATCATGTTTTTTAGTTATGATTTATTTGGATTAGAGGTTTAGTGGCAAAATGAGGCTATTGGTTCCGTCCAAATAAATAATTAAATAAAAAAATAAAGTATGAATTAACGGTAATTGTTAGACCCTATCTTTAGCAAAAAGTGAAAAGTTCATTAAAAAAGGACTAAAATAATTTGGCACTAATCGACAATGTTTGCTTTTAATTTCACATGCCTAGTGCTGATAAATTCGCACCATTAAAAAAAATTAACATTTCATTTAGAAGTCAAGATTCATAAAGTTTTTTTTTTTTATGAATTATTATTTTACAAACTTATTTTACATAATTTATCTATTTACAATTAAATAATCATTTTAAATATATCTTAAATAAATACATATCAATATTTAAACTTATGAAATTAAAAAATTACATAAAAATGTATTAAATATACATATTTTAAAAAATTTTAATTTATCTTTAATCTTTCAACACTTATTTACTTAACTCATTTAACAAAAATGTTATACGTTTAAATTCTTTTAAACTTAGTTTTTTTTTCCCTATCATTGTTCTTTTGGGTCAGGAATCGTTGGGGCCCAAAGCAAAGGGGCTAACCCAAATCATATTACCATTGAGCCAAAAATATTACCGACTTTGAGCAGCTCAGTCCATTTAGTCACGTCGCTGTCACCCAGGATATTTATCCGTGGAAACCACAGTCAAACAACCGCCACTCAGCCTCACTGTATGCCACGTGGCACCACCTCCACTCTCCACCCGTGCGGCACGTTCAAGCAGAGATCTCCGTCTCTATTTCTCTGTATACTTTTGTCTTCTCTGTACTGTAAAAATTCTTTTTGTCTTTTTTTTTTCTCCGTCCAAAACAAAAACGTAGCAATTTTTTCCTTTTCTCGTTTATTATTTTCACTTCCCTGTTGCAAAAACAGAGAACTAATTCTTTTTTAAAATTTTAGTTTCTTCTTTACCGTTTACTAGAAAAACAAAAAAGAAGCTTGATACAATCGACACTCTTTTAACCAAAATTATGTTTTTAAGGGCTAGTCGTAATCCTAGGATTGATACCCAGGTCCGCATTTATCTCTCTCTTTGGTAAGAACCATCTGTAAACTGACATTTTGCTTGTTCTAAAAAAGGGTATGTTCGAGTAAAAACAAGTGTTTTCAATTTTCAAGTACCAGGCAAAAATATTTTGGTTAGTTTTGCATATGTTTAGTTGTATTTTTTTATGAGACATTTACTTCATTTTCTGTCTATAACAAATTTATACAACAGAATTATTACATATTTACAGAAAATAATTGTTATTTTTGTTTTTTTTCATCGTTGGTTAATTGTACCTGCAATTTTGTTTTGTTTTTTTTTTTTTTTAATTGTTGTGGTTTCATAGTTTGGCTCAAAGAATTCCCACTTTGATCCGTTTCTCACCTTTTGAGTTTTTTTTTTCTTTGACTTGGGGATCTGGGTTCTTGTTGATTTGTACTATAAGCTTTTTGGGATCTCTCAAATTATCAATCACTTTGGGATACCCTTTTGATTTGGGATCTTGGGTCTTCCTCATTCTGTTGAGAGTTGCATTCTTTTATATCATTCAAAATCAATAATTCGAATGTTTAAGAGGACACCTTTTGTTGAGGAATTTAGATAGTTGATCCTGGGGGGTCGTAATTCTGGGATCATTGAGTCCAATAACGCAGGAGAAAGCTGCATTTAAAGAGGCAGTTTCCTGTTTGGAAAACAACAGGGGCTTTAAATTATGGGTTGCATTTGCTCGAAAGGAACTCGGGCAAATGAATATGTTGAAAATAACCTTGGCAAAAAGGACAAGTCCCACAAAGACTCAGGGAAAATCTAAAAAAAGTTAGCTGTTTCTTCTAAGAGGGACAATGTTATGGTGGAGGCAGATGCCACTGCACGGTTGATATCAAATCAGCAGCCAAATCACAATGCCGGTTCTGGGCCTGCATCCTTTTCTGATGATGAGGAAAAGAATTCAGCATTGGCGGTTGTTGCCAGGTCTAAAAGGACCCCATCCCAGCTGCAAAGGCGGCAAGCAATGAAGGCCGGGGTGAGGAGTGGACAAGGGCAGCCGAGGATGTCCAGGATCATGAGTGCAACTGGTGGTGAGAGAGGTGCACAGGTGGTTGCTGGTTGGCCTTCTTGGCTAGCAGCTGTAGCTGGAGAAGGCATCAATGGGTGGATACCTCGAAAGGCTGACTCGTTTGAAAAGTTGGAAAAGGTCCGCACTATAGCTTTATCTTTCATTATTGATTCTAGTGTTCTGTTCCATTGCTAATTGTATTGAGTGGTTCAGAAATTTTTGTTTTTTTCATGTGTATGCTTACTTTGAAATTTATAATATATATGCTACATGCAGTTAAAATGATCGTATATTTCGTTCATGTGCATTTTCATACACATTATTTCATCCTGTGAGGGGCTTTATCTCTTTAATTTATGTGATATTTCCTTTCCTCTTTCGCTAACTTAACTGTCCTGCATATATACTAACTACATGCTGTTAAAATAACCATATGTTTCGTTGATGTGCATTTTCATACACATTATTTCATCCTTTGAGGGGCTGCATCTCTTTCATTTATGTCATATTCCCTTTCCTCTTTCATTAACTTAACTTTCCTGCTAATTATGTAGATTGGTCAAGGAACTTACAGCAGTGTATACAAAGCTCGTGACCTTGAATCAAACAAGATAGTTTCCTTCAAGAAAGTGCGATTTGCTAATACGGACCCTGAAAATGTTCGTTTCATGGCAAGAGAAATTATTATTTTGCATAGGCTTGATCACCCTAATGTCATGAAGCTTGAAGGTCTAATTACTTCCAGGGTGTCTGGAAGTTTATACCTTATATTTAAATACATGGAGCATGATCTTGCACGGCTTGCAGCAAAACCTGGGGTTAAGTTCACTGAGGCTCAGGTATATTCATATCTTCAATATGTTTGATTATATCATCAATATTGTTCAGATGAGCATAAAACGTGTGATTCTACAATCTTCTGGACTTCAAAAGAGTGATATTTGTGGTGGAAGAACACACTTTTATGAGAAGTGTGTTGCATCATGAACTGTGAATGGGACTTCATTGGTTTTTGATAGTAAATATTGTGCATGATATTAGTTTCTTGTACGCATGACAGCAATTTTGTGTCAAAGTTCTAACCTTTCATTATAATGCATTAGAATTATAATTAACCCATTTTCTTTTTTTTTTTTTTGAAAAACAATAAAGTCAGTTGTTTGGATGTTCAAGTGCTGAATCTTTTGTGTTATCTGTGCAGATCAAGTGTTATATGCAACAGTTGTTTTGTGGAATCGACCATTGCCATAGTCATGGTGTCTTGCACCGTGACATCAAGGGCTCAAATCTCTTGATAGACTATAATGGCAACCTCATGATTGGTGATTTTGGACTGGCAACTTTTTTCCATCCTAGTCAAAAACAGACTCCAACAAGTCGTGTAGTAACTTTATGGTACCACCCTCCTGAGCTTTTGCTTGGTTCTATAGATTATGGAGTTGCTGTCGATCTGTGGAGTTCTGGTTGCATTCTTGCAGAATTGATCGCTGGAAAGCCTATCATGCCTGGAAGAACTGAGGTACTTAATTCAGTTTTTGGGAGTATTCGCACATATATCTTGAAACTTCTCTTGTACATCAAGCTTCTAATTAAGGTTTTTGTTTCTTATGTTAGAAAAAAGTCCTCCTTGTGATGAAATAAGTTACTACTGGAAGTAAGCATGCATGGCTATGTATATTTATGGTTGTGTGTTTGGATGTCAGTGCACACGCTTAACGAGAATTGGAAAAATATATATGCAAAGAGAGTTTGGTTCCCTTTTTCATATTATGGCACTGGTAGACTTGATGCCAAAAGTTAGACTTAAAGTCATACTAGGCAGCCAATTCTGACTGTTTTTTGCTTTAAATTCTGCAGTTATATCAGCACTTTGCTAGATCTAGATGCAGAGTTGCCTAGACCAAAAACTATGATCTTATTTAGGGATTTAGTATTGGTGTGAATTTGCTCGTCATCTCATTTCCCACTTATTTAACTAACTGTCAAATTATTTGCTCATTCTGGAGACATGTATGTGTTTGTCTGGCGTCTATGTTTACTTTTAGTTTTTTTTTTTTTTTGCGGGGGGGGGGGGGAAGGGGGGGTGTTGCTGCTGGTGTAGTATGTAACCTCAGAATGCATCTAATTTAGTTGATAATTTACTGGATCATGGGTCATCTGATGAACTGTTATTTTCTTTCTTACTTTCACTGCCATGACATGATTACGCAAATAACATGTACGGTAGAATTGTCTAAGTCATTCAGAATTTACCCATAGAACTGTCCAAAGTGTGCTAGACTTAAGTTTTGTAGTTCAACATTTGTGGGGTGTGATGATCTCAGCATTTATCATTTGTAGGTGGAGCAACTGCATAAAATCTTCAAACTCTGTGGATCACCTTCTGAAGAGTACTGGAAGAGATAAAAATTGCCACATGCAACCATTTTCAAACCTCAACATCCTTATAAACGTTGTGTTCCTGAGACATTCAAGGACTTTCCTGCATCTGCTTTGGCCCTTTTGGAGATTCTTCTTGCAATAGAACCCGAAGTCATGGAACTGCTTCTTCAGCACTTCAGAGTGAGGAAAAATTAGTTTGGTGTTCCTCAAAGTCATGCATTTTCATCAATATAAGAAAAGCTCTTTTAGTTGTCATCTTATTTACATGTTCTTCTTTTTGGGATCGATCTTTCTATTAGTCAAACTGGTTCTGTTTATGCTTTTTCCCCGAGAACAACTGAAGGTGACACCTTTCCTCATATAAGCAAGAAGAGAAAGGAACCCTCCTAGCTTATTGTCTTGAACTGCATTCTGACATATTACCATTCACAATCTTCATAAGAGTACCCTTTAATGTTTAGTTGGGAATTTCAGATATGCGTTTTGGTTAATTTGCTAAGAGAAAGAAACCCTTCCTTATGATAAGCAAGAAGCTTTTCTTTGCATATTAACTGCACTTGAAATGTTATTATTCACAATCTTTGTAACTGTAACCGTTGATATTTAGTTGGGAGTTTCAAAAGTCCAGCCTATTGGTTCATTAGGACAAAGCAGTTCTCCATTTTACTTGAAAAGTGACATGTATGTTAAAGTTAGCTACGAAATAGTTACCGCACAGCATGTGTGTGGGTCTCATTGGGTATTTCATCATTGGAATGTCAACTAGATTGGATTTCATATGATTATCCTTTCTTTTCATCCTTCATACTTGTCATCTTAACATTTTTTTGTTTATAATATTTCATTTTGGTAATCTGTTCTGACTCTGAAAATTTTCTTCCAGTTCTTTACAACAAATCCTCTTCCCTGTAATCCATCTAGTTTGCCCAAGTACCCACCTAGTAAGGAGTTTGATGCCAAGCTTCGAGAAGAGGAATCTAGAAGGTATTTTTCTGCTTTGTTTTGAAAACTTTTGATTCCTCATCAAAGTTTAAACAAAATTTTTGTGAAAATTTTCATGTGGCTAATTTAACTTTTCTCTAAATTCTGGTTATATATAATTCATTATTGTAGAAGCTCTAATAATTTCTTCTTTGTGATTTGCATTTGGCATTATGTATTGGGAATTGGGAAAATCTTGACCATTTTGGCTCCCATCCTAAACATAAATATCAATGGCCCATTAAATAAGAAGGAAAAAACCGAACAAACTAAAAACTCTCCACCCACAAGAAAGGGATGAAAAATCTCAATTTTGCTTGATTTGTGTTATTGATTATGTTTGCTTGAGCTCTCTCTTTCTCTCTCTAAATTTTTCTCACAAAGGTATAAAAACAACTGTTCTACCTGTTTGGTAATGGAAAACCAGGCGAAGAGCAGCTGGCGGGAAAGTACGTGGACTTGATCTAGTTAGAAAGGTTTCCAGATAATCTACAGCTTTCACTGCCCCAGATGCCAATGCTGAGTTACAGACATCCATACAGGTACGGACTTCATAATTTGTAAGATTTATTTGCCTCTGCATAATACATATGTTTATGATAGTATGTAATTATGTTGTTTGAACATTTTTCAATGGAAAATTAGCCTATTGGTTATGACTAATGTTTATTTGGTTGCTTGATACAGAAGCAGCAAGGACAGATCAATGCTAAAAGCATCAGTGAAGTATACCATCCTGAAGAAGACGGAGGTGCTGCCTTCCCTATTGAGCCTCAAAAAGGAACAGCAAGAGTTGTATCCTCTCATTCTGGCCAGTCAATGCACCCCAGTAGCTTTGGATCTTTGAGGAATATGAAGGCCAATGAGATTGAGTCTATGAAGGCTTCTGCTCGAGCATTTGGTTCTTCAAGGAAGCCTGAAGAGTTGAGAACTCAGACAACATATGTCCATCGTGGAGCAGTGGAATTGTCCAGATTTTCTAACTCATTTGCAGTTAGAGGCAGTTCACGGTTTGATATGACCAAAGAGAATAGCATAAATCTACGATGGCCTGAGGAGCATTTCAATGCCTGATATAACCATCTGGATAATTCTGAGTCCTCTGAAAAGCATGAATGGTCCCATCATTTACTAGATAGGCCAAAGACTTCACATGTGAAGGATGAACAGCTACCTTTCGAGGAATCAGCAATGGTAAGGGAATTACGAAAATAGAATCAGTTCTATCAATCATGTTTTTTGTCCTAGACATCCTATTTCTTTTCCTTTCTCTGTTTGTTAGGAAAGAAAGAAAGGGGAAAGGAATGAAAAAAGTTTTAATCTAATGATTGAGCTAGATAAAAACATGTGCTATTTTGTAGAACTACCATCACATTAAAACTTTCCCTTCCCTTCCTACCAAATGGAGACGGATTCAATATCCATTCTTGTGGCAGCTGATTTCTGAATGTAAGGCTTTTATTTGACAATCATCTCCTAGAAAATCACAAAGTACATGGTTTATAACATTTCCCAACGCCTAAGTCTGCTTTTACAGTTTTCATGGCATAATGGGACACAAAATCCATCAGTCTCGACTGTCTGGAGTTACATACTAATTGCTTTTGTGTGTGTGAATCCAGGGTTATGTTGCCAAGAAAAACCGAATCCATTATTCTGGATCATTGATGCCTCCTGGGGGAAACCTTGAGGAAATGCTGAAAGAGCATGAGAGACAAATCCAAAATGCTGTCCGCAAAGCTCGTTTGGACAAGACAAAGGCAAAATATAACTTTGATGATAATGGACAAACTGAATCTCCACTTTACCATGCAAGAAATGGCCGGTGACAACTGGAAAGAAGCTTATACCGGCTTTATTTTGATCCCGAAGCTCAGCAGAGTGTCATAATTTAAACAATAATTTTCTTTTGGAGGTCTGACCAGTCTTGCTGCCAAAAGAGGATCAATGATCATATGAAATTCCCATGGATTCAATCTAGCGGCTAGGTAAACTTTTCCATCCGAAATCCACTCTGAAGTTCTAAATTGCATGATTGAGATTGGTGGGTGGTATTACGGTGATTGCGGTTGAGATTTGCACACTGGCCATTTTCTTGCTACCTCAGGGAGAGGTCTATATCCTTGTTTAATTTTTGGAACCATGCTTTGTACAGCTGAACTCAGTTTCTTATAATTAAGTTGACTGCATTTTTTGTAAAGGCCAAATGATCAGCGCGAATTTGCTGAACCTCACAGAACACATCTGTCTGTGTTTTCTTCTTCCTCTTTTTCCCGCTATTTCTGTCGTAGGATGCAGGGGCTATCCCTAGTTTGCTAGGGCATAACCCCCTTGTTTCGGATAGACATTATTGCATGTTTCTGTCTTTCACTTATTCTTGTACAAGAAACAGTAGCATAGCATTCACCAATGCAATGTTTTGATGGCAGTAATTAAACAAGGCGTCGGTCATATGGAACTGCTATGTCACCTCACCTCACCAGTATGGTGCATTATTGAGTAAATTTAAGAATCTAACAACCGAAATAGAGAACTGAAGTTCCACATCGTTTTCAATCACAACCATCAGTCACCAATCCTGAAAACTAAGGCTTCCCTAATCATCCATGGCTATTACATCTTAAAATCATGTAAGGATGAAGCAATTTGGGAGAATTGGAATAAGGAACCATATATGTCAAATCCATGAAATCCATTACTGCAGCGGCCAAACAGAAGTGAACACTAATTTATTGAATCCACCGAATCCACCAAACTTGTAGATGTGCCAACCATGGTGTTGCTTCAACCAGAATCCTTGTAGATATCTTGTCTTCATCAAGTATCTGATTTTCCTTCCCTTCATGTCCAAGCATAATGAAACAATATCATGCCATCTTTCACGATCTCCCGCAGCTCACCAATTTTCTACTGCAACTCAAACCCTCAAAAATATAACCATACATGCATCACCTAAGACTTCAAAGCTCCATATCTTTTCGCCAATTTTTAAACCTCAACAACATCAGAAAGGGGAAAAGGTAAAATCAATTCTTTGAGTTTCTCCAACTGTTCCAAACAATTCAGAGAAACATGAGGCCAAAAACCAGTCAAGCTTTGAATCTTAAGGTCCTCCTGCTAGGAGTTTTCCTTGCTTTTGTCCTTCTCTTTGTGTTGAGATCAAGTTTATCATCTTCCCTTGAAAATACAGCATCTCCCATCTTACAGAGCTTTTCACCAGCTAAAGCCTCTAATGCCATTAAAGAAAGCAAAACAGCAAACTGCTCGTCAACTTGCAACAAGATACCCCGTTCTCTTGCCCAAGCTCTCATTCACTACTCAACCTCAACTATCACCCCACAGCAAACACTAAAAGAAATCTCCGTCACAGCCAAAATTCTAGAGAAAAAGTCACCATGCAACCTCCTAGTATTTGGCCTAGGCCATGACAGCCTTATGTGGAGCTCACTCAACTATGGTGGACGAACAGTTTTCCTTGAGGAAGATGAAGCTTGGATAGAGCAAATCCGACGCCGGTTTCCCATATTAGAATCCTACCATGTCACGTATGATAGCAAGGTGAATCAAGCGGAGAATCTCATGGACGTAGGCAGGGGACCTGAATGCACAGCCATTGGTGACCCTAAATACTCAATGTGCCAACTTGCATTGAAAGGTTTGCCAAGTGAAGTTTATGAGATGAAATGGGACTTGATTATGGTAGATGCACCGACCGGGTACTATGAGGAGGCTCCGGGGAGAATGACTGCTATATACACTGCTGGTATGATGGCAAGAAATAGAGAGGGAGGAGAGACTGATGTGTTTGTGCATGATGTGAACAGGGTGGTTGAAGATAAATTCTCCATGGCATTTTTATGTCAAGGGTACATGAAAAAACAAGAGGGAAGACTTAGACATTTCAGAATCCCTAGCCACAAGGATAGCTTGGAAAGGCCCTTTTGCCCAGAGTGATGATTTTTACAATTTTGTTGGCTTTTCCCTTCATCAATTCTTTATTGTTGATGTACTGTTTTATGGGGAATTGTCCTTTATAGGAAAGATAGATACGGTTGAGTTGTTAGCAGCAACCAAATTTCATAGCAATCTTTGCTTTGCAAATTGTTATGCATGCTGCAGAAACCTCTCACATTTCTTTGATCCGATATATATAGAACTACAGAAAGTATAATAAAGACAATCAAAGGATGAGTTTATATATTTTGAGTAGTTGTTTCACAAGGTTTCCATTATCATGAAGATTAGGCGGGCCTTTTATATATTAATTATAGTTTACGGTAAAATATAACCAAAACACAAAAAGTCAATGACTCAATCTGTCAAGCTGAGAAACTAGAAAATTGGCAACTGATATGTTCGGAAAACATTTTTGATTTCATGCATGCATATGCATGCAGGCGCATAGCAAGGGGTAGGTATGGGCCATGGCCCTCAAAAATTTTAACAATTATTTCCCGTAAACTTAGTATTCTATCATTTTTCTCATCGAATTTATTGAATTCCCTTCTCCTTATATCTGACTTTATCTTTTTATGCATGTACCAAAATATGCATATATAGTTTGAGTTTGATAAAAAATTTTATACAAATTCAATCTAAGATTTATAGGTAATGTTTGTTATAATAAGATAAAATAAAATAATATTATAAATAAAATTAAATTAAATAATATCATCATATTTTATATGTAATGATTAAGATCAAATAATTTATTTATTTATCAAAATTATTTTTTAAAAAAATTTATACAATTTAAATTATTGATATAATTTTTAAAAATATAATTAAATATGTAAATTTAATTTATAGGTTAAAAATAATTGTTTTCACTTTAAAAAGATTGAATAATTATATACTAAAAAGATATTAATATTTTTTATAATATTAATCTTTTTTAAAAATATAAATCAAATATAATATAAAATAATTATTATTTTATCTTATTAATAATTTTATACATAAAACATTACCATAAAAGAAGAGTAAATATAATGTCAAACAAAAATAAATAAATAAATAATTTTCATTACTTCCACGTAAGGACGAAAAGGATAGAAATTAAAAAAGTGACAACACCAAGGTTATTTCTGTCATTTCACTAATTAATACTTTTTGACCCAAGCACTAATTAATTCAGAAATGTGACAATTTTAAATCAATAAATAAATAGTTAAAAAAAATACTTACAATAATATTAAAAATGAAATGTAAATGATATAGAGATTAGAGGCAGAGTTTCTTCTGTTGGCATAAAAACAGAAACTTTCCCTTTCTCTGCCAAACGCACCGCGATTCGTCTAAAAAATTTTCCTCTTGTCCATCCAATCATGAGCAACGAATAGTGAGTCCACCCTTCTTCTCCAATTTCTCTTCAGTTTTCCCCTTCATATCTTAATAATTATCATCTCTCTTCTTAAATTTCTACTCACATTTCTTTATAAAAAAATTTTATTTTATTTTTTTTGTAGCGATTATCTATTCAAGCTTCTACTCATCGGCGACTCCTCCGTCGGGAAATCCTGTTTACTTCTCAGATTCGCTGTAAAGTTTATTTCTTGTGGCCCTTTTTATTTAAATGTGCTTTTCATTTCTTATTTACTTGTTTTTAGCATTGTCGGTTTGGTTTTGCTTAATTTTTTTGAATTAAACTAAGAAGAGTGATTAATGAGCTTCATTTTAAGGTTAACCTTGGAGTAATTAGGGCTAAGAATTTTAAGTGTTTTTTACTTCAATTTTTCCAGGATGATTCTTACGTAGATAGCTACATCAGTACCATTGGTGTTGATTTCGTGAGTTTCTTTCTCGCTGTCGCATATATGTATATGTATATGTATATGTACATATACATATACATATGTTTAAAAAAGAAATGAGATATGTATCATCATTTTAACTTAGCTTGTGTATATACATATATTTATATACATATACATAGATATGAGAAATTATCAAATACACTGACAGTAGGGTTTTTTTTAACTCCATAAGCGGTATTAAAATGGTGACATATGTCCCTTATATATTTAAAAAAGAAATGAGACATGTATCATCATTTTAACTTAGCTTGTGGAGTTAAAAAACTCCACTGTCAGTGTATCAAATAATTTATATATATATATATATATATGATGGAAGTTGTTTCATGTACTGAAAATGTGAAATTTATTTTATTTTGTTTAATTGTTTATATTTAGAAAATCAGAACTGTAGAGCTGGATGGCAAGACAATCAAGCTGCAAATTGTGAGTATCACAGAAAGTAATTTCTTTTTGGAGTTTGATTGCAAGTCATTTGCAATCAACCTTCATTTAAACCTATTTGAAGTTTAATTCTGCTCAAAACTTTTTGGGACTATATATTTTCAGGTGTCATTAGGAAAGCCATTGGACTTTCGAGATTCTTAAGTCAAATTGTTGTTTTGGTAGAAAAATACACCACAACATAGATTTTGTAGTTGAATTATACTTTATCTTTCAGCATCATGGCTACTGTCTGTAACGGGCACTACTAATATTTGTCTTAGTTATAGATGGGTTTGATTTAAATGACAGAGAAAAGATAATCCTATTTATCAGTTTACTAGGAAGCTATGGCTTGCATAGCTAATATAGCTTAAGTTTTAATACACCAGGAAAGGAGAGTTTAGTTGTTTCATTGATGCAGGAATTCAGTTGTGGCCAATAGGAAGGCATTTATAGGACAAGTTCTCTTTGTTAATCCAATTTGATTTCTTTTCTCACATTTGACCATGGCTGTATGGTATTGGGAAAAATTAGTGAGGAAGAGTCATCCATCACTCTCCTTTAAAGGTTTTTTCAGTTGACTTCCAATTAACATGTGACATTTTATTCTTGTTTCTTTGTTTAGTGGGATACTGCTGGGCAGGAGCGTTTTCGGACTATCACAAGCAGTTATTACCGAGGAGCTCATGGGATAATAGTAAGAAACTGAACCCGACTGATCTGAGGATCCATAAAATTCTATCCCAACTAAACCTTAGTGGTGGGTTTGGGGGTATGCTTCAAACAAATTTGATCATCATGGTATATGTTAATTGATTTCCTTTGTTGTTCTTGCAAATAAAATAAACATACAGTCAATATTCTGGATGTTTTTCATTGTGCAAATTGTATTGGGGAAAGAGAAGGGGGCCTGCTTTACTGAATGTACATATTACTGGCTTTCTAAATGCTGTTTTGAATGTTGTAATCTGGAAGATGTATTTTTTCGTGTGTAATTATGTTTATTTCCAATCAGGAATGCACAAGAAATCATAATTATTTTTACACTCTTGCTGGCACCTCTATCCATTTACTGATTTCTTTTTAGTGAGCTAGGTGACATATAAGTCTGGACTTTTCTGTCTGAATGCCCTGGGATTTACTAAGATAGCTTTCTCTTAAACTTTCTTGTCTCCCTATTTTTCAGAACATCTTCAAACTTTAGCATGTCGAAGAACACAGATATGAAGATCATGTGGTTTTTTCTTCTGAAATTAGTTTTAAGAATATTACTTTCTTTGGGATTGCAACAGATTGTCTATGATGTTACTGAGATGGAGAGCTTCAACAATGTCAAGCAGTGGTTGAACGAGATTGACAGATATGCTAATGACAGTGTTTGCAAGCTTCTGGTTGGGAACAAATGTGATTTAGTTGAGAACAAGGTTGTTGACACACAAACAGCGAAGGTGTGTTTTGTTACTTTTAATGTTTGAACTTTTATTATCAGTTAATTGTCTAACCAACCAGGGGTGTTCCTCAAAGGTTTTAATCTCTCTTTGAGATTCCTAGGGTATTTTTGGTCTCCTTTTGAAACTTCTTGTGAGGCTAAGATGACAAATTGGCTAAACTAATGGAATCTGCAGATGAGATAATTTACTGCATGTGTCACAGTTCAATTAATTTGCAATTCTGTTCTTCAATGAACTACAGGCATTTGCTGATGAACTTGGAATTCCCTTCCTGGAGACAAGTGCTAAAGATTCAATCAATGTGGAGCAGGCTTTCTTAACCATGGCTGGCGAGATCAAGAAAAAGTAAAATGAGTTCCACTCTTTCATACTTTCTTTTTTCAAATGCTATGAACTGTTTATCTATTTACTAATAATCGATAATTGTTTATTGGTAAGATGTTGCCATCATCACCTACCAATAGGTTCTCAATGTACTTGAGAGCATTTAATATAATGCTTTTGTGTTCGATCTATTGGTCTGTCACATTGCTTGCTTATGCTGGAGTTCACCAGTCTAGATTGTTAGAAAATCATTTTCATTCTTGTCCAATTCTCCACATTGTGTTCTTCTCTAATTCTTTATTTTTCATATCCTTAATTATGAAGTTTACTAATATGATTTTATATCAAAATCTATGCAGAATGGGTAACCAGCCAGCTGCTAACAAGTCAACTGGAACTGTTGAAATGAAGGGACAGCCAATCGAACAGAAGAACAACTGCTGTGGCTAGTCAATCATGTTATGATTTAACTCTGTTTTAGACAGTAAACATGTTGCATATATCATATAAATCTTTCAGAAACTAAAATATTGCCTGCTTGAACCCATTATCTGTATAAGTGGAAGTTCTAATGCTTGTTCATGTATATCTTTCATTTTCTTGATAGATTAGATTACTTTGCATGCATTTTTGCTTAAAAAGCTTGGAGCACTTCTTGCTCAGTTCCCAATGGTCTGTTTCTCTACCAGACAGGTTCTTCTAACTAGGTTTCTCAGCCATTGAGAGGTTGATAATGCTTAAAATTGGTCACGTTATATTGTCCTATACCCTCTAGATTTAATTCTTACTTCAGCTTCACAAGTAACAACTCCACATCTAAGATGAGGTTATTGCTCATCTAAAAATCATTATCAGGAAAAATAAGATTTCGAAGCGAAATAGATAATAGATTGTGTCAGTCTGCAACTGCTTGAAAAGTATGATACAAGCTGGGAGCAAAAGGTACCCATGCAATTGCACCCATAACAAAATAAATCATCACTAACGTGCAATAGTTCAAGGACATGGGACGTTCGAATATGTTGAATGATACAAAATAAAATAATAGTAATCGAGAATAAAATTCTCAAATTCAAGGAGGAAACACAAAATTTAATACAAAAGGAAGAATGAGAACTGTAATGAATAAAGATCATACTCAAGATGATGAGCAGCAAGCCTTTTTTGCGTTGGGGTCTGGAGCTCCGACGACAATGGTCTTCCCTTCTGTAATACTTGCAGATGCTGGCTCATCTGAAGAAAGTGACTTCTTACTAATTATGCGGTATATTTCAGAGAGAATGGTCTGGAAAGCCTTCTCAACATTTGTTGCTTCCAGTGCAGAAGTCTCAATGAATGAGAGACCTTCATTCTCTGCATAGCTTTGACCATCCTCAGTGGCAACTGCTCGGAGTTGCTTCAGATCAGTCTTGTTCCCAATCAACATAATCACAATATTAGAATCGGCATGGTCCCTGAGCTCCTTCAGCCATCGGCTCACATTTTCAAATGTTGTTGGCTTGGTAACATCATACACCAGAAGAGCTCCAAGGGCACCCCTATAGTAGGCGCTCGTTATTGCTCTGTACCGTTCCTGACCAGCAGTGTCCCATATTTGAGCTTTCACGGTCCTCCCCTCAACCTGACCGAAGGAATATTAGGAGCATTTACCTTATAACAACCCGACCACTGAGTGTAAATGTCATGGCTAATATGAAGGAAAATGGCAGGAGAGAAAGACAGAGGACGCACATTGAGGTTTTCTCCAAGAAATGGATATCACCTATCTGCTCTCTCTAAATGGAGCAACCCACATTTTCCGGTCATTTCCCCACAAAAGATTCTAAGATAGTAACTCAAATACATCTCTAAAACGTTAAGATAAAGAAGAACATTTATCAACTTAAAAAGGTGACATCTCCAACCTTGATTTGATCATAACAGCAATTTTACAGCATACAACATGTCATTTTCTCCTTGCACAGCAATTTTCATCAGATATAAAAAGAAGTTACTACTAACTAAATTTAGCTAATATCCTGTTAGCTAAATTTAGCTAACACCATTCAACATTTTAGTATTAAAAAGATAACCTTTAATCATAGACATCTCTAACCAAGAAAAGTTGCATGCTTTTTCACATCAAACTGTGGATTTGCATAGCCAGGAACTTGTGTCATTGTTGAAAAGCCCACATCTCTTTAATTTTGGCTGATAACTGCTAACTTATAACTCGCCAATGCATCGGAAAGCAACTAAACTTATGGGATCGCAAGTTTCTTTGTTTCCCTAAGTCATTGATAGATTGACTAAGAGATAAAACACCAAAATCTGACACAAAACAGTGGCTAGACATGCAATGAATGGAAAAATTACATTTTTATTCACTTTTCTCATAGATTTAACACAATTCAATCATAATACAACAAGAATCCATTAACAATAACAATGTGATTCAATCAACTCACTTTTGTTCAGTAAAGTTTATTACCGATTGGCTCAATCCAAGAACGATCTAAATATTTTAAAAAATTCAAAAAAAAGGAGAAATTAAAACAAAAAGAAAGATTAAACAACGAACAAGTCAGATCTACTTTATCTAAACCCAAACTCAAAAAAATAATAAAAAAAAGAAAGTACAAAAAATGGGAGATTTACTTGGAGAGTGCGAGTGGCGAATTCCACTCCGATGGTGGATTTAGATTCTAAGCAAAACTCGTTCCGAGTAAATCGGGAAAGCAAGTTAGATTTTCCTACACCAGAGTCTCCGATTAATACAACCTTAAACAAGTAATCGTATTCCTCGTCCGGTATCCTCGCCATTTTTAGTTTCTGGATTTTTTTTTTTTGCGTTGAGAATAAAAATAGAAACTGAAAATATCAGGGAAGTCCTTGTCTTTCAAAGGAACAATGCTTTGGAAAAGACAGTGTGAGAAAACAATTGACAGATCATAGATTTTCAAGTCAAGAAGTGAAACCCGAGACTCTCGTTTCCGTCTTTGAAATTGATGTGAATTATACCGCTGATTTTGATTTGAGTTTTGACGGGATTTGATGGGCGATATTACCGAAACACCCTAAACGTTTCATTATATTTGTGCAACTGTTAGGGGTATAATTGGAAATAAGGGCTTTCTCTCTCTTTTTTTTTTTTTTTGACAAAAAAGGGGTTAATTGCCTAACTAAAAGATTAATACTCCGGTGGAGTCGAACGGAGTCGAACCTATATGTTAAAAAGTTTAAATTTGAACTCGAAACGAAATTAGTTATTTGAAGTTGGTTAAAGTTTTAATTTTAAATAAAAATTAATTTATCAAATTTATTCGATTAAATTTATTTATAAAATAAAAAATTAATTATATTTAAATTTAAATTTAAAATAAAATAATAATTTTTAATTAAAATAATAAAAATTTATATAAAAATATAAAAATTTAATTAAATTTATGAGTTAATTAAATCGAATATTAATAACCTAAAATTTAATTCATTCCATAAATTAAATTGTTCAGAAATTCACGATAATAATATAATTTAATTTAAATTTTATTTAAATTAAATTTAAATAATTTATGAGTATTAATATATTATTTATATTTTTAATGTCACGTTTACATTTGGACCTGGATCGGGATCAGTATCCTAACCGACCCAAAAAGATTCCTAATGCATATGCCCATCTTCAAACCCTACAATATCCCTAGTTCCCATCTTATACTACCTTCTGCTTCTCACACTCTCTCCTGTTCGTTGCGGCTTCAAGGTTCTGTCATTCTCTTCCCCCTATTTTTCACCTTAATTGATAGAAAAAACGCGTTCTTGTTGAAGATTGTTACTGATACCTTTTCGTTTTGCTTCTGTTTTTCGTTTCCAGATCTTAAATCAGAGCGTCCCTCTTTTTCAATTAAGCCATGGCTCTGGTGAGGTTTCTTTTTTTCCTTTAAATTGTGTTGCTTTTGGAAATTTAACTGTTAAAAGAACAGAAACGAAATGATTAGTGGGAAGTGATTTAAAGTTGAATTCAAAGTGAACCTTTTAATTAAAATTTTCTATATAAAGGAAGTAGAAAATGGAATATATTTTATATTATCACTATTGTAATTCAATGGAATAGTTGATGGATTTGCAAATACTAATAACAATTCGATTTCAATTTGATCAACTAATCAGCAGAAAGAGAAATAACCAAAGAGTCGTACAGCTGAGAGCTGCTAAGGTATAATAGATGGAGGTGATGTTCTCAGTAGTTTACAATGTGAAAATGGCTTTTTTATGATCTTAATTTCTTTTTTTTTTTGGGGGGGGGGGGGGGGGGGTAATTGGTGTTTTTCATTTATCCAAGAAGCAGTTAATACTTTTACCATTTAACAAATACAACAGTGTCAGATATCAGTTTACAAACATGTCTCGACTAAGCTCCCATTTTTGGCTTGATTAACATGATCACATTCAATATTCTTTACTCCGGCTAACCTTGGCCTTACTGCATCTTTAATTTTCCTTAGGTTCTGTTCTACATCGTTTTCTTCTGACTTGTATAGCCTTTTATTCCTTTCTGTCTAGATCCAGTATACATAAGCTCCCCATGCTAATCTGAGTATTACTGAAACCATTGCCTTCCCTTTCAGTCTTCTAATAGCCCACTGAAGCTCATTCTCCCAGTCTACAACCTCCCTCTGCAGATTTCATAGCTGCAACACTTGTTTCCATACTTCTTTTGAGTAACTGCAGCTGAAAAAAATGGGGTTCCTACTCTCCAATTCCTGTTTGCATAGACCACAATTCCCATCTGTGCGAATTCCTGTATGAAAAACTGCAGCTGGAAAAATATGATCTTAATTTCTTAAAAAAATATATTTTCCAGTTTTTTTTATTAATAGTGTTTTTCTCCGATGCCTGGACCCTTCAAAAATAGAGGAGTACCTGTATCGGTGCATTAGGATCCTCAACATGGTATGTGATCTGTGTCAGACATGGTAAAATAACTTCCACACTTTGGCAGCAGAGGCTCGGTACTAGATTCAATTAATTTTTTTCCCTCAAATCTTGTTTTCATTGGCTAGATGCTAGAAATACCAAAAAAAGAAAAAAAAGAGAAGATAATGAAGAGAGAAGTTAAATGCTGGAAATCCAAAAAGAAAGAGAAGATAATAGATAAAGAAGATGACAAGAAAAGGGAGAACATAGATGACAAGGAAGATTGGTGGGTGACTTAGGTGTTGGTCGACAGAGAGGGAGAAGGGAGCAACTGTTGAAAGATGTTGCAGGGAGTGGCCGCACAAAAGAGACCAAAATATGAAAAGAAATCCCTTCTGGAAGTTTAGATCTTTTAAAGTTAAGAGTAAAATGCCGGTTTGGGCCTTTGAGTTATTTGGGCCCAAATATGCTTTTAAAGGTTGATGCTTTTAAACTCAAAACCCATTTTAAAAAATTGGAAAGCTTATTTGAATAATAAAAATTTCTGAAAGGCCCTTTGGTGATTAAAAAAAAAAATCCATTATAATTTTTTGCCATATCTCTGTATCTTAGATTTAAGGCAATTGATGAATCAGATGCTTCAGTATATATCCTTACCCGAGTCGGAACAATGTGGTTGTGGTGTTGGACATTGGAATTAGCTTTTTAAACCATCTGGTTGTTCTGAATTAATGTGGTTGTTTGATTTACATGCAGGTTTTGCATGCAGGAAAAACAAACAAAAATGCCTTCAAGGCGCTCATTGCTGCAGAATACAGTGGTGTGGAGGTCAAATTGGTTGAGAACTTTGAGATGGGTGTCTCAAATAAAACTCCTGAGTTCCTCAAGATGAACCCCATTGGGAAGGTAACCATGCCTATTATTAGGTTAAATTTAGAGAAAATACATTTATATTTGTAACCTTTTTCTTTAATTCACTGAAAAAATGTCTAACTTTTCTAGGTTCCCGTGTTGGAAACACATGAGGGTCCTCTATTTGAGAGCAATACCATTGCTCGTTATGGTCAGAAGATGTGCCAACTCCTTATCTTGCATTTTCTTCCTCTAATGTTTGTTTACTTATCGGTTTCCTTACTTTTCTCTGCAGTTACTCGCACCAAGGCTAACAACCCTCTTTGTGGTTCTACACTGATAGATTACGTAAGAATTTTTTACTACCATGATCTTGTTGTTTTTCTGGCATCAGTTAAGTTTATTTTAAACCATTGTACTTATTGTTTGTATATGTTTGCTTGATTTTTCTCAGGGTCATATCGAGCAGTGGATTGATTTTGCATCCATGGAAATTGATGCTAATATTGCAAAATGGTTCTATCCAAGGCTTTTTGGTACTTACCTTCCTCCAGTAAGTTCTATTTACTGTAGCTTAAGAGACTTTCTCTTTATTTTCCCCAGGTTCTTGTGTCATTTTAATTGGGCGTTATTTGCTAATATCAGACAGTATTGTTTCTTTACAATTATGAGACTATAGGTCGCAAGTTAAGATTGGACTGAGGCAACTAGGCTATCGAAGTCCAAATTTTTAAGGAGAGAATGAGGAATGGAAAAAATTAAATGGACTACTGGCTTATGATTCTTGTTTCATACATTTTCAAGAGGATTACAAAAAGTCGTAGGACAACTACGCTAGTAGGCACTTAATTTTGGTAGTGTTTTCTGTTCATAATTTCTTGAATTGAATGGATATGAGCACAAGAAAGCATGCCCATTGAATTGATAAATCAACTAGGCTGGCTTTTCTCTTTGTTATTTGTTTTGAAGAGATTAGGCTGTTGTTCATTCTGATTTGTTTATCTATATTAGGAATTAAATTGTTTATGTCTGTAATTGATTCACTCTTGAGTATTTTGCATGTAGAATGAGGAAGCTGCTATTGCTGCATTGAAAAGAGCTCTTGGTGCTTTAAACACTCACCTTGCTTCCAATACCTATCTGGTTGGACATTCAGTCAGCCTTGCTGACATTATCATGACATGCAACCTTTACTTGGGTTTCTCCCAGATCATGACTAAGAGTTTTACGTCAGAGTTCCCTCATGTTGAGAGGTACTTCTGGACCATGGTTAATCAACCAAATTTCAAGAAGATCCTAGGTGAAGTGAAGCAGGCAGAGTCTGTGCCACCTGTAGCATCAAAGAAGCCTGCTGCCCAGCCAAAAGAAACTAAACCAAAGGCCAAGGATGAACTAAAGAAAGAAGCCAAAAAGGAGGTTGAGAAACAGCCAGCAAAGGCAGAGGCTGCAGAGGAGGAAGAAGCACCAAAGCCCAAACCAAAGAATCCTCTTGATTTGCTGCCTCCCAGTAAGATGATACTGGATGAGTGGAAGAGGCTGTACTCTAACACAAAGACCAACTTCCGTGAGGTTGCAATTAAAGGTATCTCTGTTGTTTTCATTGTAATACTCTCCCTCTTAAAGACAAACTTCGGACTGTGATTTCTGATACTTATTCCTTGTTTATTACAGGATTCTGGGACATGTATGATCCTGAGGGATACTCACTATGGTTCTGTGACTACAAGTACAATGAGGAGAATACAGTCTCATTTGTCACTATGAACAAGGTAGGCGGATTCCTGCAGAGAATGGACTTGGCACGCAAGTATGCATTTGGGAAGATGCTGGTGATTGGCTCTGAGCCTCCATACAAAGTCAAGGGATTATGGCTTTTCCGTGGGCAAGAGATTCCTCAATTTGTCCTTGATGAGTGCTATGACATGGAACTCTATGAGTGGAAGAAGGTTGACATATCAGACGAAGCCCAGAAGGAACGGATCAACCAGATGATTGAAGACTGTGAGCCTTTCGAGGGAGAACCTCTATTGGATGCCAAGTGCTTCAAGTGATAAATTATCTCTAACTTTGCGTTCTGTGGTGTTTTCTGCCTGTCAGTTTTTTTTGGTAGAGTTGTCTGTTCACTGTTTCTTCATTCAGATAGACTGTCATGATCGTAACCGTATAACTTTGTTCTATTATCCCATTTTTGAGATCCATTCAGATGTCATTACTACCAAGTTTTCCTGTCCGAATGTGGATTCTGAAAGTGCTATTTTTGTTTTTCATCTTTGTTACTTGGTTTTATTAATGGTGTTTTTTTCCCCCCATTTTACTGTTTTCAAGCTTAAGCATGTCTGTTTTTTTCCTGATCATGTTTGAAACGGATTTTAGACAGTCAAAAGTTTGTGCTGTCTTTTCATGTTTCAAAGAAGGGAAAGGAGGAATAGACCTAGAAATTACTGATTTGTTGCGTGGTGTCTAAATTCATCCAATTCTCACACTTTTGGTCTCTTGTCTAGGTGGAAAGAAGATTATGATTGGGTCTTGATTATCTGTTCTTGTCAACATTTGAACTTGGGTCAACAAGTTAATTGTATAATAAAAAAGCTGAAGACCCTGTTCAATTCTTCCGCGGGCATAATTAAGTTTACTACAAATGGAAAAATAGTTTGTCGAGAGAAATAGTGATTTATTATTTCTTTTCTCAAATGGTAGTATCATGAAATAACAATAGATGGGCAAAGAGCGAAACTCCCCCGTGGTGAAGACTGACTGTCGTCGTCCCAAACTTTATCATCAAGTAATAAACAAGGTATGGCCGCATTCATGAACGTTCCATCTTTCCAACTCATGAATGATCCCAGCTAAGCTAGGCGCCATGCACTCATCACCCTTCTTCACAACCAACTCTGTATGATACATTTCTTCATTTCTTGATTTAGTGTTTAAGAAAGCTTTAAAAAGTTATGGAGATCCTAATTTAGGGTCAAAGATTTCATCCCCTCCCTCAATACCCTGTACCTCAAAAAAAAAAAAAAAACGCTGTATATCATATATATATATATATATATATTCAATCATTAAGGGAAAAAAATAGTAAAAACTGACAAAATTAAGCCACAAGCATATATATTCCGGTTGCCGAAGATGGAAAATGTGGTGAGAAAATCAGGAAGATCGCAATACTAAACTCGCAAGAATGCAAAGTAGTCTTTGCGCACTTTATTTGGTGTGATTTTAGTTTGCTTTTGCATCCATTTTTCTTGTCTTTCTTTGTTAATGTAAAGTGCAACCAAATTGACAAGTTGTGTAGGTAAGCATTCATATTCATTATAGTTCATACTTCATATCTAATTCCATCATAGCTTTTTTTTTTTTTTTTTTTAAGAAATCCATCAAAACATTTTTGAGCCAATAATCAAGCTGTCCATTACAAAAAAAAAAAGAAGCATTGGACATATGCATATTAAGAGTAAATTTGATAATTTAAATTATGATAAGATTACACGATAAAAATATAAATATGATAAAAAAAATAAATATAAAAATAACGTAATTAAAAATTTTAATAATAATTATATATGAATTTAATAAATTTTAAAAAATATATTTTATATTTTTATATTAACATAAATTATGATAAATAATTTTTATATCAAATATAATATAAATATATAAATTTTAATATTTTTTATGATACAATTATACAAATAACCAAATTTTATTAAGAGTAATTCTTCAAAATTTTCAAATACTAATAATTTTCTTTCGTTAAACTGTGGTCTCTAACTATAAGATTATCAAAATGTACGAAGAAAGTACAAAAACTTTTACCATCATTCTCTTTTTGAAAAACATTATATTATAGTAATAAATTTGGAAGAAAATAGGAGTAACAAATAAAAGCAACTTTTGCCAATTCTTTTGGAAACCTTGGACCTCATTTGTGAAAAAGAAAAAAAAAAAAAAAATGGAAAGGAAAAGCAAAATTGAAATAACTAAAATATAGGGGCAAAATTGCAAAAACAGCATCTTCGTCGGTGACAATTTTGAAAAAAACAAAGAACCAAATACGCTTTGTAAGCCAAAAAAAAGACCGATTCTTCTGTCTCTGCGAGAGAGAGAGAGAGAGAGAGAGAGAGATACAGACAGAACACGGATTGAGAGAATGACTGAAATTTCAAGAAGTAGATCGCTGCGTTTTCTACTGTTTTTCGCTTCCGTTTCTCTACAATTCATTTCAGGTTTCCTTTCTAGATCGCTTTATACTCGATATTTGTTTTTTTTTTTGTATTTTTTTATATTTTTAATTTAAATATTAAAATATTTAGGTCGAAATTCGAATCATTAATTGCATGTAAATCTAGTTTATTTGTACATCGAGATCGGACAAACTTATATATTAATTTCCTGCGAATCTCACCTTTAGTTTTGTTTTATTAATTCGTGGAAATTCTCAAATTTATCGGTTTTTAGTTATACTTAATATTCTCTGTTTGGCTGCTGAGAAAATTAGCATCGAACGAACATGAAAATAAAGCATTTTTTATCCCTTTTTTTCTATTTCTTTTTCTTTCTCGGGAAGGGTAAGAAAAGGAAATATCTTTTTTTTTTTTAATTAAATTCTACAACTTTCGTTGATTTGCTATTGTAAAATTGAGACTTTGAGAAATTTTACCTAAAAAGTATTTTTTTTTTTTACTTCGGAGAATGAATGGATATGTAATATCTGTGATTCCAAATTGCTTGTGAATCTCAAACTTTGTAATAAATCTGCTGTTTAGCGAAAAAAGTAGGCAATTAGGATGTATGTAGCATGATCAAACTTAAGTTGTGCTTCAAACTCAGCCTGCTTAATCCGATTTCCTTGAAATTTTTGGAAGTTGTGATGTTCAATTAAATGGACTCCACATGAAACTGTGGTGTCATGCATAGCTGATCCAGATCCATGTAGTTTTGTTGCATACATCATAAGGGAGATGGTTGCATATTTCTTATTATTGGGTTACTCATGTTTTAGCGTTAGTTCAACCCTTTTGCTGCGGAATTTGATTGGAACACTGATTAAGTTGCTGTTATGGTCTGTACAGTAGAAATTGATCGTATTGGCTTAGCAAATTATTGAAACTGTTAAACAATTTGCTCCAATTTGTTTCCTTTTCTTTCAGGTTTTTCTGATGACACTACAAGTTCAAAAAACAACACAAAGACCAAGTCTAATGGGAAGAGTAATTCTGGGACAAAGGTAGTCATCATATTGCTTGGGCTTGTTGCAGTAGGGTTGTTTTCGTTTTTCCTTTTCAAGCTGTGGCAAAAAAAGAAAAGAGATGAACAATATGCCCGTCTGTTGAAGTTGTTTGAAGAAGATGATGAGCTTGAGGTTGAACTTGGCCTTCGGGACTGACTGCATCATTGAAAACTGTGCTCATCCTATTTGAGTTGTGCACGTAAGCTGTCTTTGTGGTCCCCAATTTCCTAGATTCAGTTGCATCCCTTGTTTTGTTTGTAAGGAGAAAATAATTTTTCATTGTCCATGTTTGTATTCTAGCAGTTGAACACCACGTAATGGTTGAATGTAAATGAAGAACATTGTAATCATTTCCACTGATCTAGAACTTTGGGCTTTACTATGTTGAGCACTCCCCATGCATTTTAAAGTTTGACACTCAAGTCTATATCCTTGTGCATCTTTGACAATTTCTCTTGCATTCACGTATCTATCCATGCAACACAGTGGTGACAGTGGGACTTAGTGCCATCATTGATGTGGAATGTGGACCTTGTGTTGGAGTTGTTTCGCTCTTGATGATCTTTTAAGATTGCTTCATGTTGATTCTTTTCGATAGACATATGCATTGGTTGTTGTTATCTGGTTTTGTATTTCATTCTCCCTTTATGTTTATTCTTTTAGCTGTTGACACTGAGTTACTTGCTTTTGATTTGCAGGCTCAAATGGCGTATTGGGCTTGTGTTGTTTAGAAAACTCATTTTTCTGATGATCAAAATCAGGATTTAGGCATATCCTGTGGTGAGACAGCTTTTCAACCATAAGTTGTAGTATTTGTAATGATATATTCAAATGAAATTTATTATGAATTTAAGTTTTGTGCCAACTTATAATGGGGATTGATGGTTATACCATTGTGTAAAAGTGTTTGAAAGTTGTTAGTTCACTGTTTGTAAAGAATGATTTTTATATTCATCTTTTTCGTGATATTGATAAGTTGATCCTATAGTGGTTGAGTTTTCTTGACTTCCTGCCTGCTATGCTTGTGGCTTAAAGTGTGTACCATACAAGAGTTGATACTCAAAACCTTTATTCTGAGTTGGGGGGAGAGATAAATTCCTCGATTAAATAAAAGGGAAAGCTATTGAAAACTCTAGGATTAGCAATCATTGTCTGTCCATCAGTTTATCTCCGGCAGCTAGGGCTAGGGCAGGTATGAAAATGTGACGTGATTTGATCCTCAAACTATGCTGTTTGTAACATTGAAGCGCCTGATAGTTTATGCTTGCAACAAACGAAAATAACTAATGCTGTGTTTAAACGAAGAGGTTCTTCTTATGTGCTATAATATTTTCGTATCTAGCTAGGATAAATTTCGCCCAAAAGGCAGGAACACTTCTGTCAGAGCATAACAGCCCATATGAATGATTATGATATTCGTTGCATACAGTCTTGAATTCCTACATTATGAACCAAAAGGTAGAATCAGAATCAGAGAGCTGGATTCATAACTAAACAAATTCAGAAGCACAAAACAAATTCCTTCAAGCATCTGCCATCACCATTTGTTGGCATGAATAGAAGCATAACTACGCATAAACCAATTTAGTTACTGGCAGAGAGAATAATACTTATTTAAGTCAAAATACAATACAATGAACAATTGTATCTTATAATCAAGGGCAAGCATACGTAAAACATGCATATGGAAATATTGTAAGATTGTCAGTACAAAGAATCTTCAAGTACATTAGAGGTTACGAGACCCAGATGCGGACAGAACGTGGCCAACATGAGTAGGGAATAGGTTATTCTTAACTAATGAAGTAGAGAAGTCAAGTTTATGGGGAATGATACATGAACCAACGGGGATCAATGAAGAAGGTAACCAAGATGCAAAACCAACATTGCCCAAAAATGACAGGAGTTTGACTAGCTCTTCGTGACTCAACCTCCCAAGTTATGGTGAAGTAAATCCATCACAGAGCCATCAGGATTTCAATTAATCAGATGCACTGAGCCAGAAACAAAGATTTATCATCAATTTACAAGGTCATCTTCCAGTCTTGGCCCGTTTCATTCCTGTACTGTTAAAGGGCGACATACTCGGGCTCATACTCGGGCTCATACTTGGGCTCTCTTCTCTTAATGTACCATTTAGCAAAGCCAACTCTCTAAGCTGTTGTTTCTTATAGTTATCCAAGGATTCATCCTGAGATGGTAGAAAGGGAGGAGTTGGAACAAACAGAGAAGGAAGAGTAACATAAAGAAAAACACAAATTGCTTTTGTTCGTACCACAGGCTTCAGAAGGTTTTCTAGTATTGCAACAGCGTAGTCCAAACGAGACTTTATCACATCCTCGGGAAATTCAGCCTCCACCAACACATGCAGTGGCTCATTAAGGTGTTCATATCCAGGTTTATCTTTCAGTTTCTCTTCCTACAGAAAAGTCAGTGGCGAGTTGTGAGAATTCAAAGGAAGTACAAATGAATAACAAGTGAAGCAAATATCAAAAGAAACTGACTACTTCAATGGAAAACTTGATCTTCATATATTTAAGTTGAAAACTCAACATTTCACTTCAATATGCATTTCACTAAGCTAACCAAGACCTGTCTTTAATTATGTCCGAACTCGCTTATGCATGATTATATTTAACAAGTTACTTTCAGTGATCATTGCATCAATGACAATAGTTACTAGTGCAAAAATTTTAAAGATTAAATAAACATAGTACTGAAGTTTGCTATAATGCATGTCAAATGCAAATGGAGACGCACATCATTAGCAATTGAGCATATATAAAATTAGATAAGAATTTTCACATAGACTACAATTTAAAATGCCCTTTAGAAGATGGCTTGAGAGCAAAGATATGAAAAATAGGATATTATACTCCTAAGACTAGCCCAACAATCAGCCACACTCCAATTTGCAAGAGAAAATAGAAAACACTTCCATTATATTCAGAATCTGTACAAATGACTGAGCAAGAAACAGCTTAAGACTCAACATATAGTATATCTCAAACTACATGTTGGATATAAAAGAATTCATGATTGACTTTACCTTTACAGAATCCTTGACAGAACCCTTGCCTCTTATATACACCCTACACTCTGTCACGGCTTCAACTCTCTTAAGAGAGTTTCCTCGTGGACCCAAAATTCGGCCAACAAAATTATACTGCAAAGCCTCTGAGTCAGAACTATTATCTTAGAAGGAAGTAAACAAAAATTTACTTAAAAATTTCAACATAACTTACATTTGGATATTTATCCGCAGGTACATCAAGTCTAACAACTCTCTTTACAATTGGTGTTGTAGGGACTCCTGGCAAACCAGGCCAACCCATTGATGCAGCTTGAATTGGAGCAACTCGTTGTAGATGCCCATTTTCCTGAAGCAAGATAATCACGTTAAAGAAATTTCATTTTCCTTCATTTAACACTAGTGGGAATCAAATTATTGATCTTAAGAATAAAGCATGTTGCTGGACAATAATAAGGCAATTGAAATTTATTAACCTGGCAAGCAATTACGAACTTTTAAATAAAAATAATTATTTACAGAACAACATGGTTTGTATATAACCCATTAAACAGCATTACCTCTGTTTGCATTACAGGCCATCCCTCCAAATCCATCTGTCTCCCATTGGGATGTTGACCCAATGACCTAAAAGGACTATCATGCTCAAATCTCTCATTATCCACAAAACTAGGATGAAGACCCGAGACTCTTCTGATCTCTGCAGTGACATGAGAAAACACAAAAGTGACTTGATATATTGTCCAAATTGCCTTCAGCAGTAAAGATCATCATTTGGGGTTTATGTTTGGCTACATGCTTTAGTAGAACTCTCTAGTGAAATGCCCTCCAGTATGCTTATTTTAAAAGCACATAGAAATATCTGGTTTAAGAACACTTCAGCTTGTAATCACTTAAAATCAAATGTTGCTAGTTTAGAATTATAATAGGTCAATTATAGCTAGACGGATAGTGAGTACCAGGCTGTTTTGTTGACAGTTACTATGTTTATATTCAATGTGACTGGTTTATCCTTGGAAGAAATGAACCAATAGTTCACTCATGATTATGAATCTATGATAACAATCTAGCAGATTGAACTTACGTTGATTAAAACAAAAATATAAATGGTAGCTTTAATTTAAACACAAGATTTGAAATCCTTGAGAAGTGTATATGTAACATGTATAAATAAAGATAGCTTTACCATCAATCACAAACAATCTGTAATGATACAAATTACAAACCACAACTGCTAATGATCTTATATCGAAGAAAAAGGAAAACAGAAGATTCAATAACCTTGATTAAGAAGCCTGGTGCATAGAGGCAAAACTTGCGTAAAAGGTCCCAACTTCTGTTTCTCTGCCAATAATTCAGCTAAATATCTGCCATTGTTACTTAATTGTAAGATAACACAGAAGATAACAATAATATGGTAAGACTATACCTAGATAAAATAGAATATATTAAGCACAAGCATACAAATATAAGCATCAACCTGAGGAAAAACATAAACATCAATTAACAAACAGAAGCTTTTCCTTAAACCAACTTCCAAAACCCACATCAATCAGAATAAAGAAAGCTCAAATTATCAGACCAATAAAAAAAAACCCATCAATAATTAGAGTAAAACTTATCCAAAACAAAACAAAAAACATGGGATTGGAATGATTGATTGATTAAAGTCATAAAATAAAGGCTGACCTTTCACGATCTGTAGGAAGAGAAGAAGGCCTGTGAGGAGACACAGGGACTCCAGAAGGCGGGTACTGAAAGAAACTCCCTGGTGGGATCCTCTCTCCCATCATATACTCACACCTTCTTAAGCCTGCTTCATCCATTCAACAGAGAAAAACCCTTTAAAGTCAACAATCCAACGTCAAAACCGATATGTTCAAAGACAAAAGGAAAAGAAAAAGACTTACTTTGATTGAAGGGAAAAGGAGATAGATAGGGAGAAACTAATCAAAGGATAAATGGGGGCAGAGATGCAAGGTCTGCTGCCCTCTTTATGTGGAGAAGGAGAAGAGTGTCAATGAGAGATCAAAGCCCTACTCCAAGAGGACTCTTTCATGTTTTGTTTTGCTCTATTTATACCCTCTCGATTTTTTACCACTTCCATTTTTTATTTTCACCTTTTCATGCAACTTTTTATAATAATTTTCAGTTGGAAATATTGAATCCTTTAATTTATTTCTTTTTATTATTATTATTTTATTATGCAACATGTGAAATAAAATGTTGGATTGGTCCAATAGTCTTTTTAAATAATGATGTTGTCATTATAAATATAAAAAATCTTGCAAGATAGCATATATATATATATATATCAAGTTTAATTGTCATATAGTGATCAATTGATTTTTTTATCAATTGATATGTTTTTAAAGTTGATATTTAAAATATTTGAATTTTATAATTTATGTGCATAATGTTTTTTTAATTAAATAAATAATAAAGGATCATATAAAGGTATGTTAAGAATTAAAAAAAAATCAAATACTATTTTGGGCTCAAAATTATTTGACTTATTGATATTTTTAATCAATATTCCTTTTTCTAATAAGAAAATGAATTACAATTACGAAAAAAAATATATAATTAGGCAATATATAATTTATTTATTATCCTAATATTATTTCATCATTGGTCGAATTTGTTAATACCATTTCATAATTGGTCAAATATGTTAATACGATTGAACATGAATATGATTTTTTTCACCATCAACAGCACAAATAGTCTTGATTTTGCTATTTGAAATATGTATTAATTAATATTAACATTCAATTTATGATGGCTATGTATAATTCTATGATAAATTCTCGGCTTAAGTTGATGCATATTTTCAAAGAGTATATGATATATTTTAAGGTTGTTTTTATATTAATTTTATTACCAAAATAAAATTATTATTATTTTTTTTTTTTTTAATTTTTAAATATATCTTGATAAAACATATGACAACCCTTTAATCATATATTAGATATTTTTCTTTTACATTATACAAATTATTTTTTTATATAAATGAAATTTATTTGTCAATAACTTAAAAAAAATGGTAATCTTCATGAACCAATCCCTTTTAACATTTGCCACATGAATCAAATTATCCAAACATGACATGATTGATGTTTATTGGTTGATGATACGATGGACATTTTCTAGCTTTTCTAACATACATTTGTGTTTGTTATTTAAAAAAGTACTTAAAAAATTAAATTCTTAATTTATTGCACAAAATTTTAATTAAAAAAGAAATTTACTATTGAATTTGTTGTATTTACCGTATATTTTTTTATAAAAAAAATCTAAAAGTAAATAGATTGTTCAATTTTTAAAATTAAGATAAAATGTATCATACTTATAACTTAAAATAAATGGTTACATGATGTGTATTCGATGATTATTAATTATGCATTTGAGATAATTTTCATAAATAATTATCGATAATATTTGAATTCAAAATTTTTTCATTAAAAAAAAATGATGTTAACTAATTGAACGATTTGTTAATTATACATTTTTAATTGAAAAATATCAATTGACCACCAAGAAAGTAACCTTAATTTTATCATTCACAGTAGGAATTCAAATAAAATAAATAAATAAGAATATAGTGACGGAAAAATAAAGAAAAAAAAAAAAACTCGTGGTGGACAGGGTTGGTAAAATTACAGATGCAGGCAAAAATTTTACTCCTAGGCTTTAGATTCAGAACAAAAAAAATACAAATTACAGATGTAGGTAAGGTACTTGATTTATTAGGATTTAGGAGTTTTAAAATTTAAAAAGCAATTAAAATTAAAATGACGACATGACCGGAATATTAATTATTAATTTTTATAAATAAAAGCCTACTCTTGAAAGTGTTTTTTCTTATTTTATATTTCGTCTCACGTTTTCTTCCTTTGTAGTCTCTAACACTCTTGCATGGCGATTTGGGCTTCAATTCGCAAAAATTAGGGCTCCGCTGCGCTAATCGATCGGTTATCAACTCCGTTTATAGAAGATGTGATCTCACAGTGATTCTCGCATTCTTTTGGAAGCCAGTTTATGTAAAAGATAGGGTCGGTGAAGGTTTTTGAGGGGGATTTTGTGGTTTGTGATTTCTAGGGTTAGGGTTTTGGAAGGCATAGAGGAGATTTTGGATCCTTCCAAGGTGGTTCTCTGCCACTTGCCGCCGTTCATTACGATGGTCATGCTTGACGAAGAAGTCGATAGTGCATTTCCTGGCCGTTACAACTGGCTCTCCTTCTGTCCCGGGAAGAGCACGTTAGTTTTTCATTTCTTTTCTCTTTTGAATTATGTTCTTTATTAGACTTTTTTTGAGGATTTTATTGTCCTTGTTTTCTTGCTTCTGGTTTTGTCAATGGAGTCTCTCTCTCTCTGAATTGGTAGCTTTTTTCCCTTTATTCAAGGGTTTATATGGGTTTTTTTTTTTTTTTTTGCATTTAGTGTATGATTACCTGTTTTAGCGCTAATAGTCGTTGCATGTGCATGTATACATATTGGTTTCTTTTATGGAGATTTCGTCATTTTGGGGTTTATTGATGTTCTCTTGTAAATGGGCATGTGTCGTAATATTTGGACTTCCTTTGCTTAAGTAAAGACTCAGTTTTTGTCACCTCTAAGTAGGTGCATCCACATACAAGTTCTTCTACTCCTTTTTGTAGGTGTCTGCCTCGGCTATAAATTAAGTTTATTAACACGGAAGGAAAATTTTCCATCCTTTTGATCAAATATGAATTCACCCTTTAGATGCTGTTGAGGGACTAATTCATCCAGTTGGTCTTCCATATATTCAGTGGCGGATCCTTTTTTTTTTTCAGAGTGTTCACTTATTGCAGTGGGTATCTGCTGGGTGTTGGCTGGCTGTGGGCCGAGGCTGGGATTCGGGTAGTGGCAGTGAGTGGAGTGGTTAGGGAATTAAGAAAGATATGTTCAGGGGAAATTGTTAGGGTGTCCAGGAAAAAAATTCTTTTAAATTTTCTAATTTTCCAATTTTTGGGGTGTCTATGGATACCATTCTTTTGCGTTTGCTTCTGTCACCGCATATATTTCCTTGTAGCTTTTTTTTTTTTAATCGTACATAACCAGAATTCCAGGGTTAGCATAAGAAAAAGATATTATCTTATTATAGTTTTACTTTTCGCAATGATTTTGCAGTCAGAAGCATCAATCTTATTCCAGAGTGTACATAGACTTCAAGAGGCCCAGAGGACGTCTTGGAGTTTAAAGAGTTCTTTAAGGGTCATGTGTTTTTTAATGACAAAGATAATTCTTGAACTCCAAAGAGATTGATGTTACATTACATACCTTTGCATTGCAACTGGATAAGACTTTGTCCTCTCTCTAATGGTCTAATGAATCTGATTCTCTCTTTTAGCTAATAGCTCGGAAATCTATGTGTCATTTGGAGATGTTAGATTACCTTCATTACCAAAACAGAAATGAATTTTTTGACAGAATTAGCATCTAGTATTTTTTACAAGCTTATGTAGGATCTCTGATCTTTTAATTAATCTGTTTTCATTGACCTCTATCTAAATTAGAAGCTTGCAATAAACTGATGCTACACATGCATTTCAAAGTAAAAGTATTGCTTCTCTTTGTTAGGTACCCAATATAAAAATATTGTTGAGTGTGCACCTTCCCAACATGTTCCAAAGCACTGGTCTAAAACAAATGGTCGTGAAGGGACTATGTTCAAAGGTAATAAGCTCATTTTCTTTAAGTATAATTCATGTGTAAAATGGATTTCATGTGGACCTATATATGCAACTATTTTCCTGTTCATAAATACAAGTATTTCTTGATGAACATCTAGATCCTGAGTATTTGGAGTTCCTTGAATTTCTTGCAAAGCCAGTTGGGAATCTTCCTAGTGCAGAGATACATTTAGAGAGAAGGGAGGCAGAAAGAGCTGGTTAGTTACACAAATCTTATTCACATCTGCACTCTGTAGTTACTGTGTTGGAAAATGAAAAAAAAAAAAAAGAAGAAACTTTTAGCAGTGCAATTAAATGACTAAAAATTTGGTGTCACTATGTATTGATATTTTGTTGTCATTCCAGTAATACCTTTTTTTCAGGTGTACCAAAGGATGCTCCTGTAGTTACACCTTTAATGGATTCTGTTAGACAGAAAAGAGTTGCCAAGGGAGGATCATGGGTAATATATTATAATTCAAATAACAATATAGTTGACAATAAAATCATGAGCAGTGTTTTATTTACTATTATTTGTTGTGTTTTCTTATAAAGCTTTAGAGCCAAATAGGCGTTCCTTTGGTTTGTGGGCGATAATATAAAAGTGATTTGATGGAGTAGATACCATGTTAAAATCAATCAATGACATCATTACCAGTGAGAATCGAATTCCTGAAGAACGTAAAATACTATATAAGGATCAATAGTTTTCACCTGCACCCTTTTTGATGGATTGATATATGGACAAAATTAAGATTTTTGTCTTTACTACTTTTCTTTTCCTGGTTTTATTTAATTTTATTTATGTGTTAAATTTGTTTCTGATTTCCTGTGAACTACTTGTCCCAATGGTTCATTATATACAACTTTTGGATTCTAATAATATTCTATGACAGAGGTCACTGCCTAATGGGAAACTGAGCAGAAGAGCTGGTGGGTCATCTGGTGGAAGTCCAAGTTCAGCATCATCCAAAAGAGGTTCTGAAAAGAGAAGGGGTTCTACTACAATGGTATGCATATTTGGTTAATTTAGCCAAAACTATCTAACGTGTTTTTAGTTCGCATTTTTCTTTCTTTCCCTCACTCTTTTCCCTCATATAGTAATGGTGTAGTAATTTTATGGTCAATAAACTTTAATATGTGAAATTGTCATGCTCACTTAGCTATTGAAGTAAAATTATGAACAGTTGTGGTGGTTCATTAACATATTAGAGCACAGTGTGCAACATATCTAAAAGCTTTGGGGAATAACTTTTCTTTCGTATATGTAGTAAAGATGATGACATATAAATTGGGTATTTTACTGATCCATTTGCATTGGAAAAATTTTTTCTTTTTATTTTCTAACATTAAATCTAGTTTGACCATGTTTAGATCCATGATGGATTTCTTGGTGAGTTGTTCAAAGTTTGTGTCATTAATAACTTGTCTTGTATGGTGTCAGTATGTTCTAAGGGATAGCTTGAAAAATGGAAGTGGCAAAGACGAGTCTTCTTATATTCTGGTTTCTAAAAGGGATGAGCAGCAACTTTCTAATAAGCTTTTTACTTTAGGTTCTTCTCTGGGAACTGAAATCTCTAAAGAGGAAAGTGGTATGGGCGATAATGCATGCAAACAGTGCGTCAGATGATAAGGTTGTTGGGAATGACTTGCATGGTAGTGAGAAGCCAGAAAGACGTAGTAGAAACAAAGATAGACCAGATCGTGGTATATGGGCCCTTTGCCATTCTGATGGATCATATGCAAGTTATGAGTCCTCGTCATCATCTGCTACTCAATCTATGCAGATACCTTTATATTCTTCAGAATATATGGGTATATTAAATCTTTGGTATTATTGTTCCTTGGGAAAATTATTGTCCAAGGAATTCTCCACAGATTGGAATTGATTGCTATCATGACACCAATGCAGTTGCACACTTACATATGTTTGCATTATGTGTTCAGTGAGCAGCAGCAACCCAGGATTGCAGAAAACGGAATTTTCCTTTAAGTAGAATAAAGGGGATTATGGTGATACTAAAGTTGATTTGTCAAATGAATGGAGTCTGCAAGTTAAAACCATCGGAAGTGTACGTAACAGTTCTTTAGATAATGGTTTGTTTTGATTTGGAAGCTGAGCAAACTCTGTATCATGGATTTTTTTGCTAGTTTCACATTTCATTAACACTTTATTTTTTTTTTTAAATTTATGCAGGATCCCATAAACATGTTAGTCGTCGTGGAGCAGTTGCCGATGGATCATCTGCTGTGAGTGATGGGAAACCAGGCAAAAGAGCCCATGCTTCTGGCTATGGTTCTCATGAGGTGCTTAAACCATGCTTGAATGTCTGATTTGTTTATTTGTCTTCTGTTACATTTTTACTAACCAAGTATTAATGTTCTCTAAATTTTCAGAAACAAGTCTGGGTACAGAAATCGAGTTCTGGTTCTTAGTGAATTTTTTAAATGATAAGCATTTGATTTTTGTGAACTTTTACATTTACCAGTATTCATTTATTTATTGTGATCAGAAATTTTTGGCCAATGTTTTACCCAGATTAAAAGTTATATGGTAATGTTTACCAAGATTAAAAGTTATATAGTAGTTTAGAGAATATTCAGAAATATTTGTTTGTGGGAAGAACGTATGATTGTTAGAATGTTTTCAGCCTTTGGGAGTAGCTGTATTGGAAATTCAGGGAAAATTGCCAGTTAGATCAGTCGACAGTCTGTGCTTCTTTGAACAGAGTTAAAGGTCTAACTTTTTCCTGGGAATGCCTTGGATATTCTCCTTATTATTTGGGTGGTTGCCAAGTTCATTTAAGATTGAGAATCTCTATTAAATCTGTTGCTAACTTGATTGAACTTGGTCCAGTGCCACCGTAAGTATGTTGTTATTACAGCTTGTGGTTAATTCTTTTGTTAAAGCACAACTTCGTAAGAATCTTGATGTAAGTTTTACAAATTACAGAAAAGGTGTGGAAGAAACACATGGAAAGTGTGCCTTGAAAAGTTAAAAAGGTAGTGTCTACTTTATAAAATCTGAATATAGTGCCTGTGGTAATGATAGGTGGGTTCAACATTGGTAATCGTGGTATCGTATATGGTGCTGTTAGGATGTTGTTAGTAGCAAGCTGAAGTATCACTATGGTGGTGGCAGTGGGCCTGATGGTGATTTTGGTGGTGATGATTGATGGCAAAATAAGTTGTGGAGGAGGTACTAAAGTGTGGACTTGTCGACAGTGTTCATGATGACCATATTGCTGATAATGGGCCTAATGGTGATGAAATGATATGCATTACTGATAATATTATGAATTTGACATTGCTCACAAATCTCCTTCATGGGTATTAAATCTTCCTGAACTCATTCATCCGGGTAGAATCTCTTTCTCTTAGTTGTGGAACTTTAGGTGTGTTTAATGGGATTGTTACCTTCATAAATCTCCAACATAACAGATCTCTTAACTGACTGCACGGTCCACACCTTTCTGCTTGAGTTGTTCAATGTCAAATCTTCTTCTTCCATGGCTTTTGTCAAGGTTTTATATTCATTATCTTCCATATTCTTTTGCAGCAAATTGCTTAGTCAATTGAATATTGAGCATGCACTTGCATTTGCTTTCTTCCATGGTTCAATAAATGTTTCAGCAGCAAAGTAGGGAAAAGGTTCAGTTGACCTAGAGGTTGAAGATATCATTGTAATTTAACTTGGTTGAAGAAATCCCTATGTTAATACTTCTTCGATTGAAGAAATCTCGATCTTGGTCAAAGATGGCTCAGAATAGAAGGAACCAGAAACAAAAGAGAAATAAAAGGTTATCATCTTTGTAATCTCACAGCACCACTGTTTTCATCACTGCAGACCCTAGTGGATTTTCTCCAGCTGAGGTGCTATGAATATCCTCTGAATTCTTGCCATTCACTCGACTAGGTACCGAGATATTCTGATTTTATAGGTGGATTTCCTCCTTTTGCTGGAACTGTAAATATTCTGATTTTATGACAGGGCCCTATCAACTGTCAGCTTTACCGAGTTATAATGGGTGTCTTGTTGAGCGGTTCACGCCTTATCCCTAGACTCTAGTTTTGCATAAGCCTCTAGTGCTTTCAGCCGTGAGGGCTTTATAAATGGGTTTCTTTGTGCAGAAGAGAAGGAAAGATGGGGAACTTTTAGCAGCCTGCATCTTGTTTTGTTTTTCATCACTGATACATTGATATTATATATAGGCATTGGAGTGATTTGGATGATCTGTAAATTGATTGTCAGTGGGAACCGATGTGGGTTTGGTTTTGGCTGTCGTAAAAGCGTTACTCAAATTGTTGCTTTGAAGATAAATATTGGTTGAAAATTGTACAAGAATTTCCTTTTAGAAAGCAAAAATTAAGTTTGTAAAAAAAAAGAGAGAAGGAAATTAGCTTATTTTTATTCATGACAAAACACTTGCTAGTTAGTTTTTCGCTACTCATTTACTTTTCCACTTGGAAGCGTACAAAGACATTTATGCATGCATCAAATACCCAGGGCTCTAAATTTTTATTTAATTTTTGTATAGTTAATAACAGATTTGTCAGAATTTGATTCTGGTTTGTAATCTCTTGCTCAAAAAAAAAAAAAAAAAAGAAAAATCCTTTAGTCTTGGAAATAAATAATAAAAGAAGAAAATTATTATGGTAAGCAATAATTTTAAGAGTTGCATGGCAATTGGCAATCACAGAGGAAATTGACTTCCATGACCACCTGCTAGTATATAATATTTGAGGGTCAAGATTTCATGCAATTTCTGCATGGAATTCTCAATCCTTGCTGGCCAATTGTCCTCTTCGTTAAACAAAGAAGATTATATATGATTTATATTATGATAATTGGTGCAAGATGCTTACTTCATACGAGTATAAAGAATGTATGTTCACCCTGTTATGATCTGTTACATGGGACCCCCATCATCTTCTCCTGCCTCGATTTATTGCCACATGTCAACTTGAAATGCCATGGCTTTTGTTGGATGATGGTGATGAAGATGAGCGTGTTATATATATGTGGTTGAAGGTGGTGAGTCACGTGACACTGTCCGACACTTAGAAACCACCTGCTTAAGGAAATTAAGTGGAACGAGGCCCGATGATAACATCCTTATTAGGGAAACATTAAAAAAAGGATAATTACTTTTTACAGTATTTATATATAAGGTCACTGTACATTATAGTAGTGGATCTTTGAATTTTTTTCTTTTCGGTGCGAATAGCTTAGGATTTTAGAAAATAATGACAGTAATAAAAAGAATTTGTATGAAGATTGTCAGGTAATTGGCCGTTCTTATTCCGAAAAACATCCATAAACTCCAACACTATCGTTCTCTCTCTCTGTCTATCTCCACAAAAATATAGGGAAAATATATAAATTACAAAAAAACAAAAATCGGAAATCAAAAAAATAGAAAACTTGATCAGATCAGAAACAGTTCTCAGTCTCGTTTTTTTTTTTTTTCAAAAATATCTGCTTTGAAATTAAGATAAAAAATGCGGTTGATCTGTTTTCAGTTTCGTTCCAAACACTTCCGAGAAAGTATTCGAAACTCTAACTCGTTTTCAGTGTCTGTGTTTTTTTTTGTTGAAGTGAAATAAATTTGGTTTAATTATCAATAAAATTAATGCTTTCTTTTCTGGTAAAAGGTTTGATTTTTAGGTTTTTCCTCCTCACTTTATCATTTAGAATGGAAATTAGTGTGGTTTCTGGTGTTTTGATGGGTTAGATTAGCGCTTGATCTGATCGAAGCTTCTTTTAAGAATAACGGATAATTTCATGGCGTGAATCACTGTAAATTTTCTTTTTTTTTTTTTGTTAATTTTAGTACTATTTTATTTATCCTCGTTATTTCTTTAAAATTATTAATGGATTACACTGATAATCTTGGCAACACTTTACGGAAGCAAATTACTAAGAAATAAGCTTTAATTTAATAGAAAGAAAGGTCATTTGTTAAGGTAAAGTAATTGACTGAAGATAAATCTAGGGCATGTTTCGGGGAATATGAATTTATGTAGCTGATCTCACTACTTTGAAGTTAAGACCTGGTCTAGTTGTCCTAACAGCTTGCTTCTTAACTGAAAATCTCTTTCTTGTTTCCCTGTTATATTGCATTTGTTAGACATCTCCATTCCATAAAAGTATATTTGTATATGATACATGACGAAGTAATCCTTTTGATTCCCATATGTTTTCCATATACCATTTTATCTCCTTCATTGTTATTTGCTTGAATGCCTTATTGCTTAAATTCATGTCTCCTAGAAGCGTATGGTTCTTTTTATTTGAGTAGTTTAATCTTGCGATATTGTTGTTTAAGCAACTATTTTCTTGATGATTTTTTTTCTTTGTTCAATCATTCATCTTGGTCATATATGTTATTTTTGCATGGAATCTATGATGTTAATCATTCTATATTCATCTTTTCTAATGTTTCTGACTTGGTAATTTTGGGAATCTATTAGGAAAATAGGTGCTTGGACGGGATGGGCAGCTGCACTATAGAGTATTTGGTGGATAGCTAATACTAGTATCTATAAGGTTTACCTGGCTGAATTATGGCATCTGCAAGCCTAGGAAATGAAGGAGTAGGTAGTTCCAGGTCTGTCAATGGCTTCTTAAGCTCATCTAGTTCCATTGATTGGCTGGGGAGAGAAATGCTTGAAATGAAATTGAAGGACAAGGTGGACCATGATGAAGACAGAGTAAGCAGCTCAATCTATAGTTTTTTTTTTTTTTTTGGGGGGGGGGGGGGGGGGTGGGTTGGGGATTGAACTTGTCCAAATTTCTTCTGAAGTGGTTTTACAACAGCACTCATGCTAATTGAAAATATAGTAGTTTGAATGCTGAAACCTTAAACAGAATATCACAATCTTCTTAAAATGTTTCTTTACTTGTAGACCATCCTTTATGTTTTATCCGTGCAGGATACCGAAGCAGATGTAGTTGACGGAGTGGGTGCTGAAATAGGGCATGTGACAAGAGCGACCATTGTTGGTCGCAATGGTCAATCAAAGCAGGTTGAAAGAAAACTAAATTAGCACACAAATTT